TTTTGAATCACTTGGGGAAGACCGGGAAGAACCTTTGTGCCACTCCACTTCGCTTGTTGAGCTTACACAATGGCTTCTGTATTTTTATTGGCTCGAAAAAAATCAAACTTTTTTCCTGTGATCATTTATGCTTGTAAGTCTAGACGGGATTCAGTAATATCAAAAGTTACAAGAACTCTTTGATGTTGTATCTCTAAGCGTCTCTTCTTATGCATCCCTTGTTTAACTGAGATGAATTTGAGGTCAGATATAATATCAGCTGCACCTGTGGCAATGATCTGTAACGCAGGGTATCAAACGCTTTGCTGAGATCCAGGGATCATGGTTGACCATTCTGTAAACCTTCAAATCGAGTTGATTCACCTCTGTGGCCATTTGAATAAAACATATACGAGTATAGCATGCATTGTACATGTACTGCATTGAAGTCATTTGTCTTTCATACTCATAGAATTATTTCACTTTGAATTTCCTTTGAGGACAATTAGACTGTCACAAAGTTTAGACTGTCACAAAGTTTTTTTTATCATTTTGTTGATTTTGATATTTTGTGTTCCAACACCATCAAAAATTCAAATTTGGCAATGAAGATCTATCTAGATGTCTGGATTGGAAATTATTTTGATGCACATCGATAATTCTTTCAGAAAAAGATGAAAGTATATCATAGGTGGAGGTTTTATAGTAGAGTATAGCATTTCGTATTATAGTAAAAATATTCTTCTTTCCTTTTGGGCTGGCATGGTTGCTTTGATTGCTGCACGGGATGATTATACGGTTTTCAAGTGTATGATCTATGATTGAAACCGCGTTATATAAAACAGTGAAAATATGATAACCCATATGAATTTCTATGATGCACTTGTGTGCCAAAACATATCGTTAATAAATATTCATATTCATATTAAATTGTCGATAGTCAATAGTAACTGCAGATGAAAATGCGAAAAGAATATTGATATATTAACACCAAATATAAACAATATGAACATGTACCACGAGACAAAACTTTGATTGAAGTGTTTGATTAACCCCCTGAAACTATTATATGACGCTTTATTTCATGTTACGGGACTATTAGGACAACACCAGTACTAGTGTTTTTTGTAAATCAAAAGGACTAGTTTTGTTTTGTGTCTCCTAGTATACTTCTTAATTTTATGCTTTACCGTTTAAGAATGATTGGCATCATATACAAGAAATCAAGTTTCCAGGAACATTGTCCTTAAAATTGTAGATGAAGCTTACAGTTTATCCACGACTGTAAAAATGTCCAATGTTTAATTTAGTTCTATTGATTCATTTATATTGAAGCAAGAGTCAACTGACGGACTGAAAGTTCATACAATACAAAACCTGTGACAAGGCTTCGCACTGATAGGCTCCCGGCGGCAGGTGCGCGAGGCCCGCAGAACTTAAGGAGTACTATTGTACAGGAATGTTAAATCTTCTATTGAACCCCTGAAGAAACATATGTTTCTAGTCAAATCGTCTCATATTTATGCTTGAAAGTCACAATGAAGAGCTGAATGTCTATATATTATGATATTTCGTAAACAACGGCCGAGTATAGGCTAAAACAAAGGAGTTCCTATATAAGGCGTTACACAGGGATGCATAGTCGGCAGGTGTTGGTTTAGTATCATTTACATATCCTAATGAACACAGACACTCAATTTTAATTTTCTTGTCATTATTACAAATGACAATCAGTTAGTAAAGTTATGATATTTTTCTTTTAAGCTCTTGAACAACACCCGTTGTTTACGTATATATGGATAGTTACAAAATAAATGTTTCTAAATAAATCGCAGGTGCCTAGCTTTACACATCTATTGTTAAAGTATCTAAACATACAGATATTTTAAGTTCAACCTTTTCTCTCGAAAGTTTAAAATTGAATGGAACTCTTTGGGGTTTTGTGACTTATTGTCTGTTGAGAAAACAATCAGATTTAAACAGATGGATATGTTCAAATATACTCTCACTTTTCACGGTCCTTTAGCCGCGTGAAGTGGGAAGAGGTTGAAGGTCAGCATCGACATGTTCTTGATGGGCTTAAATGGATTCTCTAATGGTTAATGTGTATTGTCATCTACGGCACTTCTTTATTGATTTGTTTGGCGACAATCTGGAAGTGTTGAAACGAAATCTAGAAAACATATAGCGATTTGTCCAAGACATCCATTTACAATGTTTGCATTCCGAAACACAAAGGATGCCAAATGGGAGTTCCACAAATAGTGGCATCAAGGAGAAAATAGTTATCAAAAATAAACAAATGAAACATTAATGTAATATGTTTTTGGGAGATTTAGAATGATTAATTAAAATAATTTTTATATTTGCATTGTCAATTGGACGTTGAATTGAATCAAGTTCATCAAAAAGACCGGGCAAAAAGAATTCCAAGTTCCACACATATTTTGCCCTTTTCTTATTTTACGGACTTCATCGATTCAATTGTCAACGGCGGTGCTCTAATAACATGCGTTGAGGGAATTTGATAACTTTAATATTCCCTCAAAAGTACAATTCCCTTCATGGTTCTAAAGTAGTTGAATGAAAACATATTTTTTAATTTTGCTTTGAGGCCTTTTATTTCATCAACGCCCTATATTTAATAGTTTGTCACTCATACAGTTGACAACAGGATAATGTAAAAAATAATTAGAAAAAAGAGCAACGGGTCAAGCCAAATCACACCCTTTAGTTGCAACTGATCTCTCACAGCTTCAACTTGGCCTGGCGAAGACTGAAAATGTAATCATTCGGAAATTTAGAAGTATTGTGTACTTTTAAGATAGATTAAATTTATTGAAATATAATTATAAGAGATTCAGTGATGTGGATACTTGAATTGAAGCGATTTAAAATAGGTTTATCAGACAACATCAATTGAAAATAGGTAGACAGTATTCTATATGAAAACTCTGACTGTCTTAAAGCTAACGTCCCTCGGACAGGGGTATGGCCCGGGGGTATGGTGTGGCTTGATGAGCAATGGATGGGTAGAAAGACTAAAACTAGTATGAATTGTATGTTCCCACTAGAAACATGTACGAATGGGTTTTCTTTCGAACAATGCTAAAATTTATTTGGAATTGTCAACTGATGACCAACAAAAAACATGGACGATATTTGAAAAACTAGAACTAAGCGTATGTTCCACTTGAAACAAATACGATTGGATTCCCGTATGAACAATGCTATTAGAATTGACAAGAGAGTATTTACTATGGCATGATGAGCAATAAAGAACATGGGTTGAGATTTGGAAAACTAAAACTTGTATGAATCGTATGTTGTGTTCCTACTCTAGACAAATATGAATGGGTTTTCCAACGGAATGTTAATAAAGAATGAAGTACCCTGAGAAGCGGAATATTCAAAAGTCGGTCTCCCAGACAATTCTTTCAACGTTGTTATGAGGAAAAGTATACAAGTCCATATTCACAGGGGGTAAAGCAAAACAATTGGGGACGTTTTAACCTTAGTGAACTTTTACGTAAACGTGTCCTATGTCTAAGGTCCTCTATGGATTAGTTCTCCCCTCGGTAGTAATTAATTTTCCGATAGAGTATAACTGCATAAGAAACATTTTGTGAATATGTGCCTGGAAAAAATAATTATCGGGAGGGCCAGTTATCCCTGGGGTCATAATATCGCACGTTCCGGTATACGTTATCTTAGAGTGCAGATCCATTGTCTATTGTCTACAATACGTATTTGCTTCTATTCTTTTACATGCGAAGATTTATTTAATACAATTTTTCTGAGGAATTTGTTTTCAACTACGGAGCTAGGGTTTTAAACTCATTTTGACAAAATGTATGCACGCATTTTGTATACGAATCATGTGCATCATAAAAATCTCATTCATTTTGGGCTGTGTGTGTTTGGTTTGTGGTTAACTTTAGCTTGTGGTTTTGATTTGGTAGTCAAGTTACATAAAACCGGAGTGGTTCAACTTATCAGGTTACTTCACTCCAAATTGATAAAACTGATGTGGTATTTGGATGGGTTTCCATTAGTGGTTTTTATCATTAATCGTAATGTAGCTGTAGAGGTTTGATTGAATGCACAAAAATAACGTTAATTATAATTATGTATAAACATATTTTATTTACATATTTTATATACAAATATAATAGTTAACAGTATATCAAAATATAAATTATTACCAACCAGATGTAAACTGGGGTTTGTCGACCAACCAGATGTAAACTTGGGTTTGTCGACCAACCAGATGTAAACTGGGGTTTGTCGATTGTAAAGATTATGCAATCTTTTAAGTGCCCCGTGAGGTTTGGTTAAATATAATTAATGTGGCAAATTTACAAAAATACAAAATCATATAAAATTTCTCCCGCGTAGCACATCTTTAAATATACACAATATAATGCACGTTATGTAGACTGAACACAATTGGTTTAAATGCTACTATAAAAGGGTTAGAAAAAACAATTAGTGCTTAATTGTTTTTTAATTATGCCTATAGATACTCATGAAGAAATCCACAAAGTGGGCAAAAGGGCCCAATAATTATTAAGTTTATGCTTCCAAGATAAATACACACACAAAAAATTGTTCTAGAAAATACAATATACTTAATCGTGAACTACTGAAATTCTAGAAGTACTTCGTGCACTTAATAAATAAACTAGAACTATTAGTATACATTAATAAATAAAACTTGAGATCTTTTAACTGTTGTATAAGAACTCAAAAACTTCCTATGCAAACTTTACATTTCTTTATTACTCTAATTAACATACGAATTAATAATTTATTTTCAAAATAGCCAGCTGCCTTGTATTTTATGTCTCTTTTATTCGTAAAACCTGATAAGAACTTGTTGACAATATATCCGCGTGTCGAATTCCAAAAATTGAATGCTACATTATATACGATATATATCAAATGTACAAATGTAATTATTGAAAAATAATATCTATACAAAAAAAGGCCTTTTTGGAGCACGTTCATTAAAATTCAGATCAGGGATGTTGAAGCGTGCCACCTTACATCGCACACACTTCTTTCAAATACCGATACGTGGCAGCCTACAAAAACATTCACTTAACTTTTAATGTCGGAACAAATACACATAGGTTAACCAGTTCAATACATACACCTGCAACATGTAGACATGCATACTTTTATTTATATTTCATTATTATATATATTTTAAATAGTTACAACAGGAATAGTTTAGAGACATTCTTCCTCCCATAACATATTCACTTTGACATTGTACTAAGTTGCACGCTGGGTTCTGACACGCGAACTCTAGCGTACATCGATATGTTACTACTCTGCTAAAAAAAGAAATAAAAAGAAAGGAGTTTTGCACTATAGAGCAAATATAAAACACCATCATAAATAGTTGATATATATGTAATAAACGGCTGCACGCTAAAGACAGCTCTAAAAAAGACTGAATAGAAAATCGCACAAAAGAGCACTTTAAATTAATGTCATTTAATGCCCTAGAAGTATAAAAAAGTGAAATATCAAATATTGAAACCATATTGTTTGAAGCGTCCAAGAAAAGGATCACAATTGTTCGGCAAAACAATGTTGATGCCTGATTTACATCGTTTAGTCTTTCTGAACCTAGCTTAATACTATATTTGGAATAGTCTTTCCCCAGTCACTATGATGTTGTTTTTCCAGTTTTTCAACTTTGAGTCGGGTAACGCCATCAATTCCTCCGATATGAGACTTTTCCGTCAGTCCTATCCATCTTTGTATCACATCGTCTGCTTGTGGGAATGTTGCATTCTGGGTAATACACTTTGGTGCATGAGCGTGGAGATCATCATTGAATCTGCAAATACAAAAGTTAAGAACTGCTTAAATGTTGGTCTAGTGGATGTGTCGTTTGTGCATCTGCATATCAGAGACAAATAATGTTTTATATGTCTCTGTGCATATTCATAATCACTCTAGATTAAGAAGCCTCAATAATTTGATTAACTCCGATTCATCAGAGTATCTCTTCATCTAAAGGGATGGTAGAGACTGTGGATCACAGTATGGGATAACAGCGTGCTTAAAGTGTTCAACAATGCAATAAAAACGAAGAGCTTGGGGGCAAGTTCACTGGGATGAAGACAACAGAAAATAGAAATGGCGATCCAAAACAATACAACAGATCTACATCAGTGGCATCAAATTGTATTTCCATCTCAAACAATTAATACAATTACAATATCAACATTAATAATACTTCTGATCAAGGAGCGCATCTGGGGTCCTCTGATCCCCACTGATAGCCATCATTATATTTGACAAACTTCAATAGAATACCAAATGTCATGTGAAAGTGGACGCTCGATGGGCACTTAAGAAGATCTCGTAAAATCAGAGCACACTGTCAGGAATAAAGTTACTTTTCCGGGGAATCGAGGACATATGAGCGCAAATGTTATATCTAGAAATTGGAGGTGATTCTATTGTCCCAGATATCAATTCATAAAATAATGTTGACAGGGCGGTCGGTCGAGCATCTCAATTTTCAAATGAGCAGTCCATATCGCACACATGGGATCTTAAGAAAAATCGCTATGTAAACTTAATCTCCAAAATCCAAATATACTCCATTTAAATCAATGAATTAATGGATTGAAGTACTCGAAATCATTTAATATTAAAAATAGGATCGATAAATCTCCGAGAGCAAACAATACTTTAGCAGTTGAATCATAATCGGAGTGTGTAGCGCTATTTCTGATTTCTTCTTGGCATATGGCAATTTCCCTTGGGAGTCTGGGGATATGATTAAAGATGCATAGGTATGACAAAGGATAATTCCAATACCCCAAATATATTGTTAATTGTTGAGCGGGATTTGTTTTATTGCTTATCTACAATCTGGCCAGATAGCGAAACCCGTCCTCTGATTTTATCACAAGTTTATTGTATTCTATCGGTCTCTAACACGCAATTCGAAACCACCAATCACTGATCCTGATCAACCCATCATCTCCAAGGAGACAAGATTAAATAAATCACACATGGCAGACCATCCCATTGTATTGGAACATAAAATGACACTAGAACCATGCTAAAGTGCATCAACATTAACCAGTATCTCTTTGAATAAGTTTTCCCTAAAATACTGGTATATTAAGTGTAGTAATTACACGCTCAGTGAGGAGAGCTCTATGTATTTATCTATGGCTGTCGTGTCCCTAAGTCCAGATATGATAAGAAGGACGTGACACATGAAAAACCCACGAGAGTGTCAAAACGTTACGGTAGAAAATAAAAAATAAAAGTGTCACAATTAACCTTTCACAATATCCCGCACTATCCACACATCTTGATTCCAGACTGATAAAGTTCACTATTTTTCGTGGGTATTTACATCTTTGAAAAATCACATCGATTTAGTTTGGGGTTCAGTAGTTGTTTTAATAGATAACAATGACACGATAAAGTTAATACATAATGGTGACATTTTGATATTATATAACAACTACATGGTGTGAAGTTGAAGTTAACCTTGTGTTTTATGGGAATAAATTACATGGTAATATAGCTTGATTTAGTGCGCTATCAATTTTAAAACAAAATTTAGTCAAATTGAGTTTAAAATAGAATTTGGATTCATTTTTTCTTCAGGTATCATCTCTTTTAATTCTAATCTTTAAAAGCAAACTATAGTTTACCGCATCACGTGTGTGAGTGAGTACTTAACAGTTTGTTATTGTGAGTATAAGTGATTGAATAACTTAATATCCACAAGATATAGCATGCGAGATAAGAGTGGGTCCCGAAGTGGGTGAACGAAATTAGCTGGTCTATGTACACACTATTGTAAAACACACCCACAAAATACAATGGTTTACAATCGACAACCGGGGCAGGTGTTCCAAATCTTTGAAGCACTCTTCAAAAAGTGTAATCACATAACCATCTTGATATGTGTCTCTTTGATTCATGTTATATCACCCTTGACAGAGTAAATTGTTCTTGAGGAAATCGACGATAAATCTCAAATATCAGAACAGAGAAATCAAACATATATTAAGCCTGAATTGATTGGTCACGCAATGTCGCAATGTCCCCTCCCAGCAACCATTGTGGAATTCCGATGGTACAATCTGTTCGAATATTGTTCAATACAAAAAAAGGATCACGGGTGTCGGATGCCTATAGAGTTGATCATTTGATCTGATGTAAGTGTGACAAGAGAGCCTCTTGATATTATAAACGATCAAATTATACGTACGTGTCTTCTACATCCAGATGCAAGTTATAAAATTCAACCAGATGCAAGATATCAAAATTCAGTTAAAAGACATTGTTTAATACCATATGATGGCCAATCACAGTATTACAGAGAAATACTCCTACATGTACAAGAATAAAGTAAAATAGTACAATTTTTTCGAATCGTTTTTTTTTTACTTTTCTTATTGCTGTCAAAGGTCTGACGGGGGAAAGAATAATATAAACAAGTTCAACAAACACCAGACAACCAAAATCATTTAAAAGATCGCAAACACATCATGTACAGATATAATAGAAAAAATGAAAAGTTGACCCGGTGACTCTTGCGGTTTCATTTGCGGTTATAACATTGCGCCTCTCAGCGGATTGAAAATAATATCGGATAATCGTTACCATAGCAACCTCATTAACATCAATATTCATATCACTTTATGTAAATTAACAATGGTTACCTAGTTTCATTTAATGTTTCAGTTAAATTCCAAGAGTATCGTCTAATAAAGTGTGGAAGCTCAAGAAGGCATAGTAATTAAGACTAATTGAGTTATCAACTAAAACAATTTATAATTGTCATCTATACTTATGTCTCATTTTCTCCAAAATCCACTTTCATCTAGTTTTGTTTTTTAATTCAGAGCTTAATTTCATGTAGTTTAATTGTCTTTCTTTCTAATCTGACGATTGGTGGAATTGTTATGTCGGTGTTATTCAAGTTTGGGAATCGTGTCCGAGATAAGATAAATGGTCGACAGACGACCGTATCAGTAGATGGGAATTACTCACATCTGGAGTAACAAAAGGTAGAATTAATGGAGAAAATTAATGACTGAAGTTTAATTTGATTAGCGAAGTGGATTCCTGAGCATAACATGACTCTGTCATACATTGATCGGACACTGGCACAACCAAATGGTCATGTTCCACTGGGTATATGACGTCACCGATAATATAAAGAGTGCGAACTGGCCGGGGTGACAATCAAGGTGAATCAACGGGAGGTCCACTCCAAGAATGTTCCCATGGCCAAATTTGATATGCCACATTTATGGTCAAAAGATCAGAACGGTTCTGCTTGGTGCGCAATAAAAATACAAATAGGCCATTTAAAAAACGACAACCCTGTAAAACCACACAAGTGACCTGAGAGTACCCAATCCAGTTCCACTGTTTTCTTCCAGATGATAGTTTTGCCAGTGTAGTTTTGCCACCCTTCATAGAATCCTGCTACATTTCAGAGTTTCATTGCAAATGTCAAACAATTTAGAAGCGAGGATAGCGTTAAATGATAAAGAGCCGTTAAATATAATTTATTGTTAGGTGGAGATCTTCAAATTCAAACACATTATTCCCAGTGGCATCAGAAAGCCATACCAGTAGATGGGACAGCAGCAAATGTCGTCTGCGACAGAACCGGGCACAGAATGCATTCTGGTTGGACAGATGGGGTTAATGACATTTCAGCAACCACAAACCTGGGACTAAAAACGATGGCTCTATGTCGAATGACCTTTAACGACCGAAAGGCAAAAGTCACTAATTGTCTGTGATCTGATGGGTTCTTTGATAGCATCGCTATTTATCTATCAAACTTGTATACCCTTGTAACTTGTAACTGACAGTATTTATAACTCTTAGGTTTACATTTTTCATTTGGATAAATGTCTCTAATCTCTATGTATCTTAGGACAGTCAGGAAAATCTTGTGAACGGATAACCAATAATATTTTGCGTCTGTTAATTTGACATGATGCAATAGTACTGTTGTATTACCTAACTACCTACGACTGGAACAATTTTCTTTAATCAAACAAGTGGTCAAAATGCATATAAGTACATTATGGGATCCACAGCCTTACCCTCCTTCGGAATACGCTCTTCTCTCAAGCGTTTGATAAAGAGTGGCTCAGATAGATTCAGAATGACCGTGACCAGTTGGTTCTTTCATATTAAAATTGCTAACAAAATGCACAAGTTAAACATTGAAAATAAATCTAATATTAAATATCAACGCAAAACAATTCTATCACAAAATTATACATACCATTTGGTAATCTGCGTTTGCACTTCTCAAAACAGTGACGTAAAGTCGAATAGGTCGTCACCATCGCCATCTTCTGTCGGAATGTTTTCAAATGAATTGTCTGAATTAAAGCTTCGCGGAGAATGTGACTGGTCGCTTAGCGGTGATGAAGGGTGGCAACTTGCTTCACTCCCAGACGTTGGAGAATTTGTGAAACCGTGTGTAACGTCTTGGTACGTGATGTGCCCCTGATTTGTGTTATTGTTCATATTGTCCATGCATTGAGACTCCGAGGTGTCCATATCTGCCTGCAACTCCAGAACATCTTGGAGGTGATGGATGTATTTTATCGCAGTTTTTAGTGTATCTACTTTGCTCAGTTTCTTGCTCTTGCCAGACGGAGCCGGGAGATGCTGACGTAGAGTTTGGAAAGTTGAGTTGATTGTTTTCACACGATTTCTTTCCCTCTCGTTACGTCGTAGTACGGATTGTTGGTTCACTCGGTAGCCCATCTTAGCGAGGTCTGGACGTCTTTTGCATCGTAATATCTCAACCGGTTCGCTGCGGAACTTCTTCGCCGGTAGAACTGGATGTGCACTACTGTTTGTCATTGCACCAAGCGGAGATCGGTTTAGGATCAGCACTTGCCCGGATTGCCTCTGTTTTGTTGGCGTCACATTCAAATTCATATTAGCATTGCTCTGCATTCTGTTGTCTTGATGTTGCATATACACCATGTTGCTCATGATTCTTGATGTCTTTTACACGTCTCGGGTTATCACCTTTCACTAACTTCAGATTTCTCTCATCTGCCACTACCAATGATTGGTGTTATTTTATATGTGAAGGAATCTCTTAAACGATACTTAAGCACGCACTTGGCTCCTCCCATTTCATTCAGATACCACTTGAGCAGGCTTTGTAAGCGCGCCCTGCGCGTGCCCCGAGAACGTGCACCGGCCTGCTATTGGCTGACAAAAAATAAAGTTTTACCACAATATACACACACATGCTCAAATATTAACCCTCTGGAGTTCTTTTTAAAATGCTTAAAATACAAATCTTAAGAAACAAATTTCGTCAGACTGGGAAAATGAGTACAAATAATTAATACTATTGACTGGATTTGTCAGTTTTGTCGAATTGCATGTGGGTTTAAAATTGAATTTTAATTCGTAACGGAAATAATTAATAATTTAGTTTTGTTCAATTTAAACTGCGGGCGTTTTCGACATTAATAAAATATAAAAGCTCATTTTGTATGTCATATCTTTTTTCTTAAAGATAATCTATTATACAGCGCGTGTTGCTTCGTGTCTTATCTTTTAGTTCTGCCCCTTAGAATCATATAATCTTCTAAATCCCAACAGACGGAAATACTCAATAAGGCTACTAATATGATTGTCCTACCCATAAGTACCATACTCAAGACACCTTTTCTGATAGCAATATATCATGATCATATCTTTTAAAAGAACATTTTTAGCTACATGCTGCATTTTGATTTCAATGTATTCAAATAAAATTAAAATCAAATATATTTTGAATAGTGAAAACGAATAGCAGTGTTATTGCATGGTGGACAATATTTTTAGATATCAACCGGGCACGGACTTAAGGCCTGGCAAGAAAAAAACTAGCTCATTTGAAATACTATTTTATGAGAAAATTTCAAGTACGTATGTGACACTCGAGAGCACTATGTATCCAGGGACAAAACTTGGACTTAAGAATATTATAAATAAAAAATGATGTATCGGCATTCGGAGAGCATCTGTCGTATAACTGGTCACGTGACTAATTAGATTCAAAGTTTGACATTTTGATTGTTCGGCTCGTTCCGGAGAATTCAATACTGCCTTTTACATACCCGATCATTATGTTTAACGATTATTATGATGCTTATAGAAATAAATAAATTTGCAAATACTGATCTGTCCATACACTATAGACACAAATATATTAATACGCCTGGTCTGTCCAATGTTTGCTATTTCATCTTTTATTCACTATTTTACCGAAAAAAGTTAACCGACTGGAGATTTTATGTTAGGGCGAACATACACAAGGGCACTTCTTCAACGACCTTTCAGTGAAAACAAAATGAAAATCAATATGTAAAAAAACGTAAAAAATATTCTTGGTAAATGTAAAAAACTTGTTTTATTCATCATCAGTTGTAACCCTTTGCACCCCACATTAACTCTGAGTAGAGGAATTTGATAAACTTTGGAAAATTGGGATCAATAGAGACATTAAATTTTAATTCATAAAGTTTTTGAGTACACAAAGAACATATTGATTTTGAACTATTGATATATATTTTTTAATATCATAGGGCCTATCGAGTGTTTTGATACGGCGTTAATTAATTTCTTTGATTTGGTGTTTTCAGATTTTTAAAATGCACAGATTCAATTAATATTTGCCCATCAAAATCACTTCCACATTTTGAAAAGTTGCATATATAACGCCATTTCATTCTTATAAACCATTCGTCAACTAATGTCTACATATGTAATTTGTATTTCTGAAAACTGTTTCCGATTGTTATATTTCAATGTTATGATGTATTCTAGGACACAAATCTTAATATCAACAATTTTCAGCCTGGAGTGCTGTAGCCTCTGAGTTATCTCTGTCACTGAATTCACCTTATACAACTGATTAGGCGTGTCAGTGTAATTATTACATTGACCACTAAAATGCTTATCTTCACATTTTTTAATTGTTTGAAACTTTGTAAACCGACAGTAATATGTGATATATAAATGTATTATAGGATTTATTTGTACTGATGCCATATTAATGCGAAACGTACATCCAACAATAAAATATTACAATTACATTAAAAATAGTAAAAATGTACATGTAGGAATGATATGGTTGACACTACAAAAGAGCTGATTTTAAGTATTGCTTTACTATGTGCCTTTCTTGTTTGGTATTATGTCTGTGTTTGGTGCATGTCGTACTTGTTTGTCATTGTGCATGGATTGTTTGGTTTATGTCTTACTTGTCACTGTGTATGGGTTGTTTGGTGAGCGTCTTACCCGTTATTCATTGTGTATAGATTGCTTGTTGTATGTCTTCCTTGCTTCTTATTGTGTATGAGTTGTTTGGTGTATGTCTTACTTGTTTGTCACTGTGTATTGGTTGTTTTGTGAATTTCCCACTCTCATCTGTCATTATGTATGGGGTGATTGGTGTATGTCTTAGTTGTTTGTCATAGTGTAAGGGTTGTTTGGTAGACGTCTTACTTGTTTGTGACTGTGTATTATGTATGTCTGTTTGGTATTATGTTTCGTTTGGTACGTGTTTGGTACTTGTTCCTAATCGTGTCATACCGTTTTGGTGCTTCTTTGATAATGCACCATCGTTGTTTGTTGTTTGGTAGTTGTTCATAATTGTGTTATATCGTTTTGGTACTCGTTCGTTATGTACCATCATCGTTTGGTGTTTGGTACTTGTTCATAATTGTACCATATTGTTTTGGTACTCGTTCGTTATGTACCATCATCGTTTGGTGTTTGGTACTTGTTCATAATTGTACCATATTGTTTGGTACTCTTTCGTTAATGTACCATCATCGTTTGATGTTTAGTACTTGTTCATAATTGTGCCATATCATTTCGGTACTTGTTTGATAATGCACCATTAATGTCCATCATCATTTGGTGTTTGGTACTTGTTCCTAATTGTGTCATATCGTTTCGGTCTTTTTTGATAATGTACCATCAACGTTTGGTGTTGGATACCCTGTTTGGTACTTGTTCATAATTGTAACATATTGTTTTGGTACTCGTTGATATGAAATTGAAAAAAAACATTGGAAAACTAAAAAAAACAGCAACTCCTCGTAGAAGCAAATCTCACACAACCTTTTGGCAATATCTACACCCATCATACAGGGTGGTCAAAAAACGGCAACCCTGTCACTTTTTTCACCATATCATATCATTTTAGAAAATTCTCCCTAATATTAGCCACATATGTACATCATTCCATTTCCTACCGGACTACCATATTTCATGACCATTAGATTGATAGTCACTATGTTACAGCACTTAAAGCAACATGCTCCAGTGGCTGTGGGCAAACTTGCACACATTGTCCAAAATGTCCGTACCTGACCTCTTCCTGTGGGAATATGCCAACAATAAAGTGTACAAGAATGATCTCAGGACAATTGCAGACCTCAAAATGGAGTTCATCCGTGTCTTTAGGCCATACTTGCTGAGGAATGCAGTCGGGTCATTGACAACTTGTGCAGGTTTGCCTACAGCGCGATGGTGGCCACACCTGGGGCATGTCATTCAAAGTGCTGTAACAATTGGACTATCAGTCTAATGGTCATGAAATATAGGAGGGTGGTAGGAATGATGTACAAATGTGCCAAATAACAGGGTGTAATTCTTTAAAATGACAAAGATATAAGGAAAATACAGGGTCGCCGCCCTTTTTACCACCCTGTATTATAAGACACAATATAAGAAGTTCCTTCTCAAGTTGAGGTCCTATACCTGATATCTGGTTTTTGAGTTATCGTGGGTTATGTTTCTCTTGTTTGCCATTCTAAAGTCAGCAGCAATCTTTAGACATGCTTGAGCCAGAAACATATAAAGTATGTATGTCTCTGCTTGAACATAGCCTGCCCCCACTGTTTGAGGTATCAGAGAATAAAATCTGACAACTGCTATCAGTATTTGAGTATTCAAAAATAATATTTTTCTCATAAGGCAGCCATTTTGAATTGAGCAGCCACATTGGAAATTCTTTCTCAAATGACATCTTTGTATTTCCAAAAGACAGCAGCTTAAAAAATTTGACAAAATTTGATAATCAGTATTTGAGTTGAGAACCGGTTGATTGCGCCATCTTTACAAAACTTGAAAAATTAAACTAACAGTTAATTCAGGAAAGAAAGGTAAACATTTTCAAAGAAAAAAACTGACAAATATGTACATCTAGTTTTATCTTACAGTTAACATTCACATTCTCATACATGAAGTGAACTTTCGTACATTCCCTGTGAATACATTGAAGTAAACCATAAAATAATGTATATTATATATTAGTTTATTTATTTTGAGTATCCTAACAATTGTAAGTAGAAACTGTATTGCACTGGTGTATGTCTAAAATCATGAGTCATGAGCTGCTCAGAGTATCAATGGCTCAATGAAGGTCCTTACCCATGATGCACTTGAAGCACATTTGTGTGCACCATATGGAGAAAGCCTTCACAAAGTAATTATACTAAGAGCAGTTCACATTACACAGAAATCTCTTAACAGTGCTGTATGGTACCACTTTGACTAGGGTACTGTAAAATATGGTACCGTAGATTAAAATAGTGCCTTATGGTACTAGTACTAGTACCATGAACACTGTGCAGAACCATATTCTCAATGTTCCATTCTGCACCATGATTTTAGAGTGCAGTTTGGAGGGTGCTGAAGTGTTGATTCTACATGTAATAATACAATATAAGATACTCATATGGAAATTATGGTTCTGAAAGAAGAAAATGCATTGGCTTATCTAGGTTCAGACCTCTCGTAGAATTAACACATTGTTATCAATTAATATTTTTTATGAATTTAAGGTCAGAACTTCATCTCTGACAGATATCTAGAAGATATCGTATATCACTATGTTCGCATTACCTCATATAAAACACTTATGGAATGCATCACAATATTTTAATATTTCCTTTAACTTTCAAAATGAGGACCTGGTTTATGAATTTCTGCTTTGTTGAACCCCATATGGTTTACTCTGCTATTTCCTCTTTTATTCATTCTATTTTACAAGAATTGTCAATTCTCAGTCTTCGCCAACTGGTACTGCATCTTCTAGTCTTTTAATAAACTTTAATCTGATTTCTGTGATATTGTCCCCTTTTAACTGGTCTTGTTCAAATCTTACATCTACATCTAGTTGAACCTGGAAACGTACAGTAATATGTATTGTCAACAAATTGTTTACATTTATTTCAATTAACAACTGTAGAAGCACTCTACAATTCCATGTTAAGTTAAACTTGTGTCAGTGGAACACCAATGGTACATCAAAATAGTGTTCCACTATCACTAGGGGGGTGTTCTACATACAGAGGTTAATTGAAGATTATTTTAATGAGCAACAGGACTACCCCGCTATTGCCTCAGTCAAATTTGATCTACAGCAACCATACAGCGGCTGTAGCTTCCCAAAATCAAGAGAAGTACTTAGTATGCAGCATAAAATATAGGAATAAGCAGTATATTTCTTTATTGATTTTGTGAAGCTACAACAATCGCCGCACTGTCGCCATACAACAAATATGACTGAGGCTTTGAGATATCTCACTCAGATTTTACAGTACTACATTAACAAAATAATCTGTCACTGTCAAAGAATCCTCCACTAAAATTGTTCTGATTTGAAATTCAACGTTTAATACGTTTAAATGTAAAAAACTAGTATAAAAAGAAAAATGCTTTGCTTCAATCCCATTTTAGAGCCTTAAATGACTTATGCTAAAAGCAGGACTCAATTATAAAGTCAGTTAAAAAGTGATGAAATGTCAATTTTACCTCATCATTTTCTCATTTTTCGTCAAGAAACCGCAAAGAATTCCCCTGGAATTTACCCTTTTCTCTTGCAGAATTAACTGATTACATTTGCAGGATACAAAATTTAACCTGCAGAAAACTGATATAAAAGTGTGTGAAATTTTCCCTCATTATTTTCTCATTTTTCGTCAAGAAACCGCAAAGAATTCCCGTGGAATTTACCTTTTTCTCTTGCAGAATTAACTGATTACATTTGCAGGAAACAAAATTTAACTTGCAGAAAACTGGGTAGATTTCTCTTAACTTACCATCTCTAATGCACCTCTGAGTACACCACACATTATGTTAGAATAGCTGAGGTTGCTGTGGCCATCTGGTAGTTCGACAAAGTCAGTGAGGGGGTTGTTTTCTAAAAGGAGGGAAAACTCATCCCCAGCAGGACTCCAGTTTGTCACAACGGGGGTAATACCAAGAAACATTTTGAAACCAACCTGAAAATAATTGTTTGGGTAGGTAATTGTTTGGGTAGGTAGAGAAAGGTAATTTTTGAAATGTTGTCTAACCTGGAACTGATCGGTAATTATTAATCAACCTTACTTGTTCAATGAATCAGAATCATATAAAAATTTACAGGGTGACAAAATAATTGGATCACCCTGTATTGTCTCTGAATGAATATGTGATGTACTTTCACAAAGTGGTATTCCGCTTGATTTTTTTTTCATTATATTTGTAATGGAACGAAAAATTGTTTTATTAAATTGAATAGCTGATTGTACATAGACTTAGAAAATTTCTGGGGCTGGACAATTTTAAGAGATGCACTTCAATAGAATGTAGCATTTGTATGATATTTCCCACTCATCAATTTGACGTATACAATGCGTGGATATTGGACATGTTATTTGTCATGGGACTTGTATTCGACCAATGACAACAACAATGAACAACAACATAATACAGAAAAATACTACATGTAGTTCTTACTTTTGAAATGACATCTGCCGTCTCTCTGAAGTCATGACATCTTCCAACATTAGACCTGGCCAAGAAGTCTTCTATCAGCCGCACTCCTATATTGTAACCCCTAAAAATGATATACAATGTATAAACCATAATTCAACAAGGCATTAACAAGCAAAATGGTACCACCTGCCATTTGTCACATAGGCCAAGCACTGTTTACCAAAACCAATGAACACCAAATACCATCCACAAAAAAGTTGGACACTATAACAATCACCACTTCTGGCAGTACTTAAAAATGTGCAAATTATTTACAGTATCTCCCCAATATTGAAATACAGGTAACCAATGAGTACAGGTATCTTGTGTTCAGATTTTCACAACAGTGCTTAATGTCAGATATGACAAAAAAACTGTGAGACCAATCAGCATTCGAAAAAATCCAAGTTCAAATAGAATAAGATTATTTGAGCATGCTATATGTATGTTTGTCAGGTAAATGAGGCTGTTTAACTTTAAACATTTGTTTACTGGTTTTTACACAAATTATCCAGTTTGCACTTACATTTTGTACACATATTATCCAGTTTACACTTACATTTTGTACACAAATTATCCAGTTTACACTTACATTTTTGGACACAAATTATACAGTTTACACTTACATTTTGTCGAGTTGTTTATTGACATCATCCTCATTTTCATAATCTTTGATAAGTTGAGAGACAAGGGCACCATATGTCAGAGTGAACAGCTCCCCACTCTGAAATGTTCAAGGAGGTATCTATAATCTTGAAAAAGTTGAGAAATACAGCCCAAGGCAGTGGGAATGCAAGTCTATGAAACATTAAAAGCAATCAATTTAAAGAACCTCAGAGAAATATCCTATTGAATAATGTCTAAGCTGCAAGCCCTTGTGAGCCCTTCTTCCAACTACAATGTATTTTTCAATAGGTAGTCTTGCTTCAAGACTATGAACCTTTCCCCTTATCTACTTTAACAACTAAACACAACTTCTCCAGGGATTTCCAAATAAGAGCTGCCAGAAGTTTAGGAATTTGCTAACGTCATTCGGAAATCTCTGGAGATTTTGAAGGTCATTTTTCTGTCAAAACTGCCATTATGGTCAAAAATATTCCCTCAAGGATAGATATAATATCTCTCCTGACATATATCAATATATATCACCATATTGATAAAACTCCTGGGGGGTTCACTGTATTCAAAATTTGGTTCCCACACCAATCTGTCAAATTTTAATGTGTTTCCATACCAACCAAAATAACGCCCAAACCCCTTACCAAATGTAAGACCAATGCCATACCAAATGTCCAAATATAAGAACAATGCCATACCGAATGTCCAGATATAAAACCAATGCCATACCAAAAAAATGAGTCTGAGAACTAGAAGGACAAAAATTATCCAATACAATCTCAAATTAAGAATATGTGTAACCTGCTGGACCAATACCATACCACAAGTGTGAGGTAACATACTTTTAGTGACCACTCTCATATCAGGAAGTGAAAAAATCAGACCATTGCCATACCTCATAATTTGGGGGCATTCTCATACCAGATCCTAAAATTTGGGTCCATTGCCACACCAAATGTCAAAAAAAAGTTAACCCACATGCGCCAAGGATCCCAGCCAAGGTTTATATATATAGTGAATCAGGATAAAAATCCTCCTCCTAAGCAGGTGTTCAGAATCCGTACCTCCTTCTTCCCCCTGCTATAACCAATTTGGAAGCGCCCGATTTAACTGAATCACGTTATCTAATTATGCACAATGACTTATACATGATTTCTGTTGCAGTGTTGCGACAGCCAATCAGATTGTGAGTTCTTAATCGGGGAAATGGTAACTGCTTATCGCAGGGGGTAAAAAGAAAGAATATATTCTGGATTTTGAAGCCCTGTGATCGGAGGATGGATAAAAATATGTGTGTCTAATTTGAAGTTTTAATAAAGCATGGACCTTAAAATCTATGTATAAAGAAATTAAATAAAACATTAATTATTGAAGATCGTCCAACAATGCATGGTCCGAGAATGCCCCTAAACTTGATAAAACATTATAATACAGACTTCCGCAAACAGAGGATGGAGATGTAGCGAACATTTGGATAAAGTAAGGAGCTGATTTCTTTTTCAGCCGTCACAATTCTGTATCGGGTAATAGGGGGTGTGCAAAGGCTGTTCTATCGGATCAATCAACCTTTGTATTGAAAGAAGTACATGTACCTAGGCCTAACCAGGGAGTACATCTTTTTGCATGATAAAAGAAAACATCCTACCACTTTCTTTGGATCCACACTTCTTCCAATTTGTCGGGACATATTCACCGGTGTACTTTTGGAATTAGGGCTGCTAGGTAGCCTTGTATTTCAGCAAATGTTCTTAGTAAATATCCATGAATTTCAGATTTTTTAATTTTAACGACAACAGATCGACTGACTGGCATTATTTTGCTTCAAATCTCCGAACAATCAAATATTTTGGTTCATGATTGGTTCGTATTTTTAGCGTCATTAGAAAAAAGTCTGATTGCTACTACGATAGTCCAACCCATCAAACCCAGAGCAGTCCTACCTTGCACACCCTATAGTATTATAGCTTATTGATATTCCAAAAGGTTACTTTATTTGGATTCGACACTGAATAGGTGTGGAATGACTTTTATCAATTGGCGACGGGAATTGATAGCCTATGCTAACAGCGGCGATATTATCTGCTATTTCAGGTTGGTTCAGAGTACTGAAGAAAGTATCATTAACAGATTATATCACTAATATCAAGCCTATGCTAATAGCAATACAATGATAATTGATAATACTGATATTAGCAGATGATAGCAGATAATACCAATATCATGCTAAAAGCAATACTTGATCTATATCATATTATTGCTAATGGTGATTTTGGTAACTTACCTTTATCTAAACTGCTGTGATAATATTTGATGTTATCCGCTTATTATAATGTCCAGTAGCCATTGCCCGTGGTTTAAACAGAGGACTGACGGAATTATCATTAGCAGAGACACTAGCAGATAATTTCAATAAATGCAATAGATTGGTAATTATTGGTAATAGTGATGAATTTGATAATATCAATAGTATCACTAATAGCAATAAATTAATAATACTGACATCATCGCTAATAGCAATGTTATCTGTTGAATGACATCATTACAATGCTCATTCCATGTGTGCCCCCTGTTGGTCTAACATACAATCCAGACCAATTTTTAGCAATTATAATAATAGCGAGAGTTTTGATATAAGCGATTTAATAGCGATAAAAGTGATACTATCTGATATTAACCACTAATGCTATTTTAGTGCCCTGGCTGATAATATCAATATTATTGCTATTAGCCGCATATTAGTGATATTATTCAATATTATCTGCTAATGCTAATTTTTAGTATACAATCTTCTTAGGCCGGAATATACCCAAGTGATGATAGCTGAAACTGACGTAAAGGTAAGTTAGTCTCAGATAATAGCGATAGTTCACATGACACGCAATAGTTGACCCTCGGTCCGATCATGCCTATGGTCCGATGGGCTTTCAATTGTCTTGAACTGACTGGATATAATAATATTAGCAGAATTAGCGATGATTTAATAAACTTTTTTTAACATCCTATTCACCAACTAAAAGTGAGCCTCTTGCAGATTATTGACATAGACCAGGTTTGGCAAAGACATAGACTCGGAAACTGTCGACGTTCAAATTTCCAGTGTCTATAGATGGTGTTGATTTCTTATCCGAACCTAAAATAAAAACAGAACTAAAATCAAACGCTCAGCAAACGCTCGTATTTTTGTCGTAGTCATAGTGTCGTAAAAATAATGGATGTAGCCAAGTAGTCGTTTACCATGTTCTAAAATTGAAAAATGTAACTTTATGTTCCAACTATTACGGCTTTTATCACACAATGACAGACTACGAAGAAGAACAAGCAAATGAAATAGAAGCCTTAGAGTGTATTTATGCTGGTGAACTAACTAGTAAGCTCATTTCTCCGGTATATTTCTCTTGTAATATAAATAGAAACGGGTTATTTTATTTTTCTGGCTGGGATGGATTTGGAACAGATTGTAGACTAAGACTTTATACTGTAGTACAGAGAATGAGATAAGACTTATAGTTAATTGATATATAGGTAAAAAATCATGCCTCTGAATCGTCGTTATTAATAAATCTGATATGTATGAAAGTCTGTGATTGTCTAACTCTCAGAACTGGTCGCCCCCGTCTTAGTGAATTACTTCCCAGGTTACTTCTACCTCCAAGTAAACCGTGCCATCTTTTGGTAGATCAAAGAATCAGTGATATTTTTGATAGATTGACGATATCATAGCAATACTAAACAAATATTGAAACCTGCAATTCTGTGGAGAGTTGAATATTTGTATTTGTATTTCCCTCAATTACAGGGTGGGCCAAAAAAAACGCCACTTTTTTTCAAAATGCTTTAACTTTTTGAATTTTTGATATAAAATCATAATTTGCATACCAAATGAAACTAGCCATGGATCATGAAGTATACACTTTTACTTAAATAAAATATGTCAGCAGCGTCTCACTTAAACATGTGGTGTGCCATGAGAAATAAGCATAATTTGCAAAATATTCCTGAACTGATACGGCCTGATGATCGCCAAGCTAGTAGCCCTGATGCAAACCCCAGTGAGTATAGGGTATGGGAAGGTCTCCAGGAGATTGTATGAAGGCACCCAATGTAGAAAATTGCTCAACTAAAGCTGGCAATTAAGACAGGTTGAAAAAAACTTAGCTAACATTTCATTGATACTGCAATATCAGCAAGGCGACTAAAACTAAAATATATCATCAATTAGGGTGGCGGACCAACTGAACTCCCCTTTTAGATCAAATATAATTCAATTTTAAGGACTTGTTACATTATATTATCACTAAGAACCCTTGGCACTATATAACTGCAAAATTTGGGGTATGTAGGTTGGAAAATAAAAAAGTTGTAGTGTCTTGAAAAAAAGTGGCGTTTTTTTGGCCCACCCTGTATTTAGAGGTTATGTCACTATGACGTGAAATATGCCTGAGTTCTCCCAATATAGGCCGACCTTGGGAGGCTCTATATTTGGGCAAGAACGAAGGCATATTTCACGTCATAGTGACATAACTGATGTATTACATGCCTTTGTTCCCATGGTTACTTTGTATCAATGACGTGACGTCATGATATTATCATGGTTATTAAAGAAATCTAATATCAAAACGAGGTAAGCGGGCTATATCGGGGTAATCGGGCAATATCGGTGGATATAGCTCGCTAACTTTCCCATTGACTTCCATACAAATGCTTCGCTAGGTATGTAATACATACAGATATTAAACGATCACAGACCACAATATTTGTTTTATTATTTCACCAGTAAAGTACACAATATTAGTTAGAAGTACACAATGATAAGACATTTGTTTCAACGTATTTCCAAACATTTGGCAATATTCTGTTATAATTTACAATCTCCATCACACCATGGATAGAAATTAGATTTGGATCTTCCATGTTAAAGTCTAAAGTCTTCGTGCTTTGATTAGTTGCGACTTTTTGAATCCTTATCCCGTGTTTGTTATACAGTTGTGAACCTTTTCTTGGGAGGACTTCCTGATACAACTTCACCATCTGTCATATCGATTGAAAATACTTTTTTACAAAATTCCCAGGAATTAAGTGATGTGACGTCATTTATAATTGAATATATAGTGGTATTCACTTAAAATGACGTCACTCCTGGTGAATACACACTTCTAATTGACCAATGAGAGAACAAGTATCACGGTATGGAAATAATAAAGTATGCTATACTATTTTGCTTGGACAGATGGCTACATGAAAGAGTGTTAGATATATCGAGTAGATTGATAGGGTGCATGATGTCATTGGTCATACTTTTACCTACATGTACAACCTATGCCATCACCAATCTAGCCAACTTATCACAGGTTTTTTGATGTTTCAAGGGGTGGCAGGGTTTATTGGCAAGGTCTATAGGATTGTACATCAAACAAACCTAAAACTAAAGACTAGCAATCAAAGCACCACAAGTACAATATTATATGGAAAAATACATTTATATTTATGATAAATGCATATTTTTATTTAACATTTTTAATTAGTAATTGCTGTGATTCATGTGATTTGATTGGTTGACTGAGAATGTTGATTTGTTGTGAATGTGGGTTGCTCAGCAAAAGTCAGTTGAACACAAACTCTCGAGATTAACATTCATTTCCATGTGCAGTAGTTCAGCAATAAGATATATATTTATATTGTCCCTATGTTTTTTTTACTGGTACACACAGAGTGGGGTAGGTGGATTTTTATTTCAAGACAACTCTAGTCTGCCTCTGGGTTATTTTTACTACATATTGCTTTGCTCAATTACTCAGAATGACATAAGGTGATCTAGCCATAAGAATAACAGCATATTACAGTTAATAGCTCCAAATAGATTTTGCAGGACATGGTAATAATGGTTTACTCAATCTGATCTGTTATCTTCTTCCATCTGTAATGATTAATAAATATAGTTGAAGGGAGTACTATCAGATCTAGCAACCTTAAAGGACAACTGAAATAACTTTTCTCAGTTTGCAGCTAGGAAAATGCGGTTTTCTCCATTGTAAGCCCAACGTAGAGTTCTTGCGATAGCCATTATAAAATAAATGTTAGATAAATAACTGCTAACGGTCATAGATAACGAAATAAAACTAACTGATCAATCAAATTGGCCCCCACGTGATTAGTAACATCATAAACAAAATATAGCTTTGGTTTATTGGTTTCTTAGTAATCACAACGTCACAGCAACCATAGGATTGTTGTGTAAACAAATAACAAAACATTTCAGCATTATGACGTCATGATCTAATGGATCAAAACGGGCCACGTGGGGACCAGTGAGAGATCACGTGGGGGCCAATAACGTCACAACCAATTTGAATATTGCTTATTAAGGAGGAGCTATAACGATCGTTAGAGTGAAATAATTTTCACACTACTGATGAGAAAACATGTCCAAATACATCTATCAAAAAATTATATTGATTCCTTTAGGTTAAAAATACCATTTCATATCTTCTTTAATAAAAATAATTGTCCAAAATTGTCTCAATTTAAGATCATTTTGAGCTCATATTCATTTGTCATGTCTGTTTTCTAAAAAATCCCATGTATACCTCATTTGAGAGAAATACATTTTGCAATGTTTTCATATCCCCTATAGCTCTGATTCTGCCTTTTAACATCACATGAATCTAATTGACCTTTTGCGATCAGAATTTTGTTTATGGATACTGTTGTCACGTATTTCGTCTTATTGGTGTGACGTCATATAGAAATGATATTAGACATGATGGAATCACGAAATGGCGGACACTTGGCAGTTTTGAGCTAAAAATATTGTCGTTTCTTTTATGAAAACCATGAGTCGGATATTTACCAGTTATGCCAATTTGACTAGATCATGATTATTTCTATATATGTGCGAAGTTTGGGTGAAATTCATACTAAACATCGATGCCTATAAGCGCCCCCCGTTTTTGTCAAAATGGGGGGGCGCTTAACCGCTATCTAAATCATGTCAGTAAGATCTTAGACTTGGTATGTGCTTAGCATGAATGTTGATCTAGTCAAATAGAGCGCTTTCATGAAAAATGAATCAATAAAGCACGAAATATAGAAGATAATCTCTCAAAATCAAACATCTAGAGCTAGGTGACCTAATTGTGACGTCACTACAAGATAGAATCCATTCGGTGATCGCAAATCATCAATTTGATCATGCCTGTTCTATATTTTCAGTCATATCAGATGATCCACATTGCTTCACACTTCACATATCCTCAGTTGATGAAGAGGACTCAGGTTAGTCTATGTATGATACAATAGTCACTACTCTTGACCTATCTGATTGCTTGTCTACTGTTCATTATTAGATATCAATGAACTTAATTTGGCAAGTACATGTAACTGCAGTACTCAAATCTGTGGCAGAGTTTTTATGCATGAATCCATAGATCAATATTAACATGGGGGTCATTAACAGAACTTTCGCAAAGTTACGAATTCGCAAGTCAATTGTTAATTTTACGAATTTGGTAAATGTGCATTAACAGAACTTTCATAAAGTTACGAATGATTCGCAAAGTTACGAAAAAATGACGTCACGTATGCTTTCGTTCATAACTTTAATAGCACCTCAGACCCTTTCGTAACTTTGCGAATGGCATATTTCTCATCCAGTTTTTATGTAAGGTATACAGATTGGCAAAAGGAGATTGTTCTTTATATGAATGCTAAGTTTCAAGCTAAAATATCCACCTATTCTTACATGATAAGCAAATATGTTCCTGAGCTGGGAATCTTTGAAATCGCGGAGACAGGTTTAATCACAGCGCGCAATGATATCAAATGACATCATATTTTTATTTGTGCTAAATAATGATATAAGATGACGTCATAATTTGAAATTCGTTTTCGAACGATAAAACTTATGAATGACTTACGAAAGTGTTCTGTTATGGCCGATTCGTAACTTTATGAATTCGTATGTCATTCGTAACTTTTTAAATATTTACGAATTTCATAAAGTTACGAATTACGAATTTGCGAAAGATCTGTTAATGACCCCATGGTTCACAGGCCAATGATCATGCATGAAGTCCAATCTGTCTAGAAATTCATTTTTTATGAAATCTATATACATGTAACTGTCTTTCATGTCTGCCATTTACTAATACATACATAATACATTTACTAATACATATAACTATCTTTTCAGCATCATGCACTGCCAAATTCACATATACACCCACCTACCCAGAGGAAGCTCCTTTGATGGAAGTGTCAGATTATGAAAACCTTGAAGATGATCAGATTGATTCACTCCTTGACTTAATGAAAGAACAGGTATTAAACAAATACTGGATGATCAGGAGCTAGATATGGCAGAATACCTATTCGAGAAAAAATATTGGGCGAGGTGGCAGCCGAGCCCAATATTTTTTTGAGGATAGGTATTCTGGCCATATCCAGCTCCTGATCATCCAGTATTTGTTTTATTATGCACCTCCCAATCAAAGTTAAGTGGAGTACTTACTGGAGTACAGGCTTAAACTGTCGTTTAGTTGACATTATTTATTTTTTCTTTCAAAACTCAGACGACTTCCCGCCAGTTTATTCGCTACACTGGACGAAAATATTTGCCCCGGGAATTTAATTTTTATTTATTCGAGACGTTCTTGCAGAATTATATGTAACTTTTGAATGATAAGGGTAATTGTGATTGATTAAGTGCATTTTTTTCTTCTATTTTCCGCCAGTTTCAGATGTAAGCTTTAAGTAGTACTCCAGTTATTAAGAAATAAAACTCTGAAGTGGGAATGTTGCAAAAACATTGAAAAAAATATCCGATCCTTTTTCTCGAAAGGGTCGGATATTAAAAAAATATCCGGCAGTTTTCAGAAAAGAGCAGAGTATTGCCAAATTACAAGCAACTAAGAAGCAATCAGATTTGAGTATTTTAATGAGGTGCATAATAAATTATATTATTGGATGTTCCATCAATGCCAAATTATGGAATGTCACATTGTGTAAATTGTGTTTGCACCAGAATGTTATAATACAAGGTTTATATATGTTCTACTGTCTCGGCTTTTAGAATTGATATTGATAGTAATCAAGAAACATGTAAGTTGTTAATCCGTATTACAAATTCTCAAATTACACAATGATCGTGGATGTGCCTAAGGTATAAGGTAGGCAAGGCAACCGCAATACCAAATTATTCCAGAAAAAAAATATTAATTCAGAAGTTATTTTAATTGAAACTGTACAAAAGAGTTACTATAGTATTTTATTTCCCCTTTAATTCAATTTTGCCTCAAAAATTAAAATTTTCCTTGCATATCCTTAGATTCTCGCTACGACCCTACTGATGCATATACTATTTATTATATTTGAAAGTATTGCATATTCAGTTTTAATGTCTATTACACTGTACATAAAACCTTATTACAGGCAGCAGAAAATCTAGGGATGGTCATGGTGTTCACGATTGTGTCTGCTGTACAAGAAAAAATACATGACTTGGTAGAAGAGACAAAATCAAAAAAGTTTGATGAAAAACTAGCTGCTATACGAAAGCAGGAAGAGGAAGAAAAGGTGAGCACAGTCTACTTTATTTATTTTTTGATGTTGTATTTCTTTAACACACAATTTCTTACATGCCTGATAATATTCATACTCTTAATTGGCATAATTTCGTTAAAATTACTTCATGAAATTAATAACATGATCTGAAGTTGCATGTATGTAGATTGCTTAAATCCTTAATGACTTTATCTAAGTGAGCACTTTTGGACTGTTTCTTGGTGGTAAGGTAAACTTAATAGTCCTGTTTTGAAGTTTTGTTCATGATATACTTCTGTTTTATGTAATAAAGTGATGTTTTGTATATAATGTAGCCTATTATATATAGTGATATCGTTGAGGGGGGGGGGGGGCGAAGAACAAAACTATGAATAATTAAAACTACATTGTATGTGAAAGAAATCATTCAAACCTATTACCATTTTAGAAAAAGTTTGAAGGTACACGAGTGACAGTTGAGACGTTTATGGCTTGGAAACAGAAATTTGATGCTGAAATGGCAGAAATCAAGAAACAGCAGGGAAAGAAAGAAAAGAAAGTGAAAGGCTTTACAGGTAAGTGATCCTGGATTTCATTCTAAGATGTGCATCTTTATTAAAACATTCACAAATTTCATTATAAAGTACAGAATGTGCTATGTTTATCATTGGCCATCACTTTATTGTGAATTTCTTCTTAAGTAGATGGATTAACTCATTGTTATTCATGGTGCCACATATATGGTGGCATAATTAAACATAGCTAGCTAGGCAAGGTGTGTCCGATTCTAGCCAATCCGAACACAGTATTGCATATTACTGCAGTGCATTATATCACCAATCACCCATCTAAGGTCACTCTCACTCCTTATGTGGCTGTCAAGGTGACAACTTGACTCTACAGATTGAAATTGATACTTTGCCAACTTGACCCATGCAAAAAGTTACATTGAAAATATGCTCTTGTCGTGAATCTGTATCTTTTAAGTGACATGGTAGAAAATGTTTTGCAATATATGAAAAGAATTTGCAAGACTCAGTACATTGTGGAATGACCATTTCTTTCAGGCATTATTTCCTAAAATTTTTGAAAGCATTACACCTTTAAGTAATGACCATTCCAGATTGCACTGAGTCCAGGGCTTAAATCCTCAAACTAACTGTATATGTTTTTTAATCGCCATATTGGCATTATAGGTTGGCCATCACTTACATGTAAAAAATTTACAACTATATATGTTCACTTGCAGGTTATGAATTGTTTATGACGGACCACTCACTTGATGACTCAGACATGAAATTCTTTGAAGAAGGTTGGTTTGATTTGCTGTTTTAAAAGTGACATTACACGAACTTAACTCATATGTACACATTTAAGACTAACAAGTATATTCAAAATATGTGGTAACGATATGAATAGAATTTTTTTGAAAAATCCATTAAATGTTTCTGCATTGTCAACATTTCATCATCTAGACCAAACATTTCAATAATTAAACCTGCACATCGCTCCAAAACGCAATATGTTGACATATATTGTTTTTACATTTTTAAGCTCTAATATAAAGTTTATGTTAATAAAAATTGTTTATTCTGCGTAATATCAAAGAACAATCATTTAGTTAAAAAAATTAAAAAGTTAGTGCGGGATTCGAATCCGGGACACCTGCGTGCTGAGCGAGCATTCTACCGCAAGGCCACCAAGTTTTTATGAATGATTGGAGTAATTAAACGCTACTTATCTTGAATGCTATAATTTGGAAGTGACGTCACGTTCTTAATTTAGAAACCTTTCCAAAATCATATCGTCGTCACCAATCGAAGCAATTCAATGAACAATCTTTGAAATGACACATTTATTGTAAGTATTTATACACAAGATTTGCCCCATTTGTTCATCATTCTATAATCTTTCATTAAGCTCAAAATGATATAGTTCACCCCCGAAACAACCCAAGATTGCGTCTTGGAGCGATGTGCAGGTTTAACTTTACATTCTGCCAGCAAAACATTTCCAAATGAAAGTAGCAATTAAAATCAGATGAGAAACTCAGTTTTTACACCTAGTTGAACATGATACAAGTGTTTATCATTCATGTAAAAGAAGATTGAAAATTCAACTTTCTTTTTCAACTCCGATTTAATAAATCTGTTATGCCTGGACCAACTCGTAGAACATATGTTTAGGCTAGTTGAATTATGATACATTACTAATAAATTGCTGGAGTTATTATTCCCAAACATGAAATAATTGAATGTTTTTCTGTTATTGCAGAAGAAGAAGAAGCTGTTAAAGTGGATGAATCTTTATTTGATAATATGGATGACCTTGACCTAGATGCTGAATTGGATGACCTTGACACCTGACCCAGGTCAAATGACTTTCTAAATGCCTGTGCTAATGTGTTTTAAACTGCACTAAGAAACTGTATCTTAGTTATTGCAATAATACCCTCCTTTATAAAATATATAAACTGCTTAAATGCAAAGAATTATTGTTTTTGTACAGTTTTCTCATTCTGGTGTTTTGTCAGGAAAAATTCATGAATCCAGTATATTTCTAGTGAATATCAGACAAAGTTTTAGTGTGGTCCATTCTGTAAATTTTCTTTATCCCACCCTAAGTGCTTTATATTAGTGGTGTCAATTAACCGCTTGAGCATTAACCGGTTAACCGGGGGTTTTTACCGGTTAAAGTCGGTTAACCGGCGGAAAATTTGAACTGATAATTTCAAATGAAATCTTCATCTTCGGTCTTGAAAGTTGAAAAAAATTGGAAAAATGATATATCGGCGTTTATTTTTACGTTCGTCAAGCTTTACTCTATTCTATGTAAGTAAGCGCGGGAAAGCAATGTGGCAGGAATTAAATTTGCTGATTGGATGTTTGTAAGGAATTATCAGACCTATCACATGTATGAGTATCTCACATGAAACTGACGCTTGAAAAACAAACAGATTAAAATGCAAAGTAAGCGCGGGAAAGCAATGTGGCAGGGATTAAAGTTGCTGATTGGATGTTTGTAAGGAGTTATAGGACTTATGACATGTATGAGTAGCTTACGTGAAACTGACACCATAAAACCAAAACGGATTAGCATGCAAAATAAGCGCAGGAAATAACAGAATTATACACGGTCAACTAACCGCCCATAAAAACACAGACCGGTCAAGGCATTATCGGCGGTTAACCGGTTAATACTTGACACCTCTACTTTATATGATTTGTATAATAGCATTGCAATATGAAACCAACTCATCGTATACAACTCTTGAGAACGATATACAACTCCTGGATAGCGTATACAACTCCTGGGCAGCATATACAACTCTTCGACTTGATATACAACTGATGAATTTAGATTAACCTTTTATTGATTAAAGATTAGGGTGGGATAATAAGATTCCCTTCAGTCACTCGTGAATATATCATATACTCACTTGAGTATAAACACGATATACGGAATCAACCATTATATAACCTCATATTATACGAGGGTGAATGTATGTTATATTCATGAGTGGGTCTTGCTTAGTGATGGTGGAAAACCAAAGTATTTGTTTCACATTTAGGGTAGACTGACCACAGACCCCCTATTGACCACCCAACCAGTCAATATCCTCGATTGAATCCCAAATCTTGGTATTTTCCATTCCGTTGTCACAAATGGCAGATGAAACCATTTCAACTCTCCAATTGCTTTGTTATCATTTCTTGGGTCTTTATCGGTGCTAATTTTGTACAAGTATTTAGCTCTTGTGACAGTGTATATATGAAATGCGAGTTTTGTTCAAATGCAGTTGTGAATCATCTAAATATGCCTTCTTCCAAATCATCAAAGACAATGGATTCTCAATTTAAAAAAATTAGTACCGTGGGTACTGGGCTCACATGGTGTTGATCAAAAGTGAAGTGAATGATGGCTAAAATAACAGAAAATAAAAAAAACGGATATAATTTTTTGCTTATTTTTTGTAACAAAATTATTTCAAGTCACTTGCCACTATTTTGGACTGACTGAGAGACAGATGGACAAATCGATGTTAAGTAAAACGGCTGAAAAAAAACGGATATAATTTTTTGCCAATTATTTGTAACAAAATTATTTCATACAACTACTCTTTACAGTTACATGGCTTTTTGCAAGGCAGGACACCTGAAATTATTTGTAAAGCTAGGAAATGGGCCAAAATTGAATTTCACGAGACAAAAATGGCGACCATTTTGAAAATAGGCACTCTTTTGAATCAGGAGTCATAGGGGAGTTCTTTGTATTGATGTTGAACAAAAATAACTTGAAGCTGGAATCCTATCGACAGAGGTTTTAAGCAAATGGTCCAAAAGAGGATTTCGCGAGACAGATTTACAAATCAATGGTAACTAAAATGGCTGAAAATAAAAAAACGGATATAATATTTTGCTGATTTTTTGTAACAAAATTATTTCATACAACTTCTCTGAAATTATTTGTAAAGCTAGGAAATGGGCCAAAAGTGAATTTCGTGAGACAAGAATGGCGGCCATCTTGAAAATAGGCGAGCTTTTGAACCAAGAGTCATAGGAGAGTTTTTTGTATTGATGTTGAACAAAATTAACTTAAAACGGGAATACTATCGACAGAGGGTTTAAAATGTGCCACTATTGTTGACAGACGGACGGACGGACAGACAGACGGACAAACAGACGGACGAGTGAGTGATTGCAAAAGCTCACCATGTGAGCTAAAAACAAGACAGGGACAATTGATTGTTGTCCCAAAGGTTTTAAAACGTGCTCTATTAAACATGCAATGGTAGAAAATCAAACTAAATACAAACTTCATCTACCATTAGTGACAACGGAATATGACATTGTCGTTGTCAGAGTGTTCCAGGCTGATTATTCAGATATATTGGAAATTACAAGGGACGTATATGATTTAATGGTGGAGTGACTCAATGCTCTAAATTCTCACTATATTCACAAACTAAGAAACGTTTTCAGGTTATGATTGACTTTATTTACATACATAATAGTTTACATCATGTAACTATGAAACAGTCAAAATGAGAATACATAACATGATTTTTATCAAAACATACCAAATTGAGTTTGTACATAATAATGACCACAGGCTAATTGAAGACCAGTAGCGTATCTGGAAAATTTCATGAGACTTGAAACAAAACTTTCATTCGGACATAAACTAGTTCTAGAAAGTAAGACATGCAGTATAAAGCAAAAACAGTCATAGTTCACTACACATAGTACTATAGCCACAATCTTAAAGTGATCTTAAAAAGGTGATATGATTTAATTGAGTTTAATTACACTTCTGGACATAATTTTCACAACTTGTTACAGACTCAGAGTCAGAATGCTAGAGTCTGTAACAATATGTCACCATTTCTATATCAATGTATATTGGTACTTGGTTTGTGATTTTTAATCAAGTCTATTGATCTGGATCAAATAAATACCTACATTAGGTCAAAAGTTGTAGTCCTTACATAATTCATGTGAAATATGTATGAGATATTAACACTTAATGATTAATACTTTCAATAACACCTACATGAAACCAATTAACTTTGCAAGTATTGTTCAACATTTACATGAACTTTGTAAAACACAATGAAGATTCTGAATGGCTTCATGGGTGCGTTCAATAAACAAACACACAGTTGAGAGATTGTCCTGGATACATGATTTATCACTATGACGATGATGCTGGTTTATCTCCTCCTCTTCTCTTAACATCCCAGTTGTAAACTCGTGCCATGTCTGGACATAGTTAAGGAAATTCATTACGCGCTACAATTAAAAGGTCTCAGGCAACCAAATATGGCTGAGCGAAATTCAAATTCTTCTTTAATGGTAGAGTTTAGGAATAGGGTTAGGGTTGAAGAATCTTCAGTTGCAGACCAAAAATCGTTACTTAAATAACAGTAAAACCTGTCTAATTCAAATGCCTCTGGAACCAATAAAAAGTGTTCGGATTAGCATTTAAGATTTCTTTATATGCGAGTCTATACATGCTGCAGGAGATCTCAAATTTGGGACCCAGAAAAAGTGATCACATTAAGAGGTGTTCCGATTAGAGAGGTGTTCAGATAAACAGGTTTCACATATAAAGTACACCTGTTGTATTGTAAACATGGTACTGTTCAGTTACCTAGTTTCTGAATTGACGTTTCAAAATGGACACGCTCTGATCTTTTATAGCTTCTTTTTGAATGAATGCTTATTAGCTTTTATTTTATCATTTACTTTTACAAAAATAGAGGTAAAGCATCTCAGCGTTTTTCACCATACATGTTCTGGACATTTTTTCTTAGCATCTGTTAATGAGATAAAAATCCAAAATTTCATACAGTGAAATGAAAAGTCAGTTTGCTGAAGTGACACCAATGTCCATTATAAATGTTCCAAAACAATATGCATGAAAACTGCCCACCAATAACTGTGATATTACCCAGAAATTTCACAAATGGTCAGGTCCAACAATATCCCTACCAACACACTGGAATAGCCTGGCAACGATAAAGTCAGATACCATTGTCTAAATGGCGGACATAACCGTCGCTTTAACTCTTTAATTACTTAGTCCTTGTTTCATGTGACTTTATCGTTGCTAATTCTGTGCATCTCGTGTGATGATGTATTATAATAAATCCCAATTTTTATCAAATGGGGTCGTGAATCGCCACAATATAGCATCTTTGATATTGTCAATTACAACGGAATCTAAAATAATTTACAAAGACAACGGCATATGGAAAGATGTGACAATGGACTATGGTGGATGTATTGCATTGGAACATAGGAAAATGACAATGGTAAAAAAACACTTTACCATTGTCAAATATTACCATTGTGACTTCGATTTTACATCACATTTGACCCACATCTACCATTGTCATTTATACAGTATCTGTTGTCCTGTGTCATATTCTGATCGGTAAAAATAAAGCCTTTATTTCAATGGTAAAACATATTTAACCATATGATCAGTAGAAAAACACTTTGAGTGATTGTCTAGTCGCTCTATTAAACATACAGTTCATGAAAATCTAATTGAAGCGACGATTATGTCCGTCATTTGTGACAATGGTATCTGACTTTACCATTGTCAGGCTATTCCGGTGTGACCAAATTAAAATAAAAAGCTCAGGCATAATCGGTTGTTTTTAATAAGGATACTGACTTCAACAGTTGTTGTTTGGTCTCTAAGGTAACCAAGGTCATCATCTACCTGATCGAGACTGTTGTTAGCCGCCTCAAGATTCTTGATTAATAATGCCTCAGCATCTTCTAGGTTGTATTCTAACATCACATTAGCCTACATGTAACAAATAAACTTGTATTAAATAAATGAGCTTTTCTACACATATACATCATAGATGGATAACACAGGAACAACAAAGTATATCTGACTATTATGACGCTTTAAAGCAATAAATGTATTAGTTATTTTTTGATTGTCAGAGGAATCTAATTTCAATGCAGTTGTCTAGTGATTGAACATAAAAGCACCTTACCCCTAACCAAAGACAGACTTTGTCTGTGGGAGGTATGCTCGCTTTAGCATATAGCTGGTCAGACAAGAGGAACTGTGTCTTGATTGGGTCCACAGAATCCTAGGATTATAAAAAATATTAATTATCAAAATATTCAATTATTTATCTATTTGGACACTGCGCTTTTGAAGCCAAATGCCTCACTGTGAACACCAACTGCTGAACATCATCCACAAATAAGTTGGAAACTATAACAATATGTTACCACTCCCAGTATGTGACATAATAAAAGTCAATCCAAAGTTTGACATCAATGGTTTCATCAATAACTTTTTATCATGCCATGGATATAAATTGACCTTGAATTAATTCTGAAAATGGATGAATCATTTGATTTTTGTACTCTTTGATAAATAAATTTTTTAAAAATATTTTATGGGACCTTTTCACTAAGATTGCTGTAACAATTCTCAAAATCTTGTCCCTTTGCCTCTAAACCTTCCCAAAATGCTTGCTGCATGCATACTGGAAACAAAATGTGATGGAACCTTTAGAAATAACCCTAATTCACACAGATTGTACATACTATATAAAGTAGTTCCAAAAAATCGCAAGAATATATAATGCCCAAGGAGGATGCAGTAGATGCAGTATGTCATATACTTTATTGGAAATCCATTATGGATCCTAATGACATGGGTGTCATAGAGACATATGTTCAAATAAATAATAAAGTTTCAAATAAATTGTATATATGAGAATTTTCTTATTCAAATGAATAAATATTTCATCGGGAAAACACATGAAGGGGGGTACTTGAACAATCTGGTATATTTATTGCTGATAAAACACTCCAGGGTAAGGTCAATACACCAAATCATAAAGTATGCATGAGCTCTTTTAGTTTGGGAAGCTTCAATATTTAATTTTTTATCTATGAATAATAGATATGAAATCTGGAACATTTGTCATGAAAACATATGCCACACCAGGATGTTAAACATCGATAAAAGGATTAGTGCAACATTTTAGGATTTTGTGCCAACATTATTAAGTTTTAGAAATTTTAAGTGCAGCATTTTAGAATTTGAAACTCTATAGAAAGGCATTGGATTATTAGGGGTAAATCTGGATTTACAAATTAATTGGAAGTACTGCCTAAGGATTTCAATATAAGGAGGGCCCTGTAACTATTTTCTACATAATTCTACTTACCTTTTTAGATTTCATATGTCTAACAATATCTAGAGATGTTTTGATGTCTGGAATTTGACTCTTTAACCTACAAATATAAATAAAGAAAACTCTAAATTGATTTAAAAATAGTACAAAAAAGAAAAAAGAAAAGATCAAAAAATATAAATACGTATATAAAATTCTACAACTTCAATAAAAAATGCTGTGTGCCATGAGACAATCATCCTTGCTGCAAGGGTATTTTACAAGTAAATACCTGAATTTAAGCATAAATGAAGTCCTTTGAAGAAGGATGTGAGACAGTGGTTTGTATTTTTTTTTTGTTTTAGCAATAAAAACTAGAAAACGGCAACTCCACCGAGTAGCAAATCCCAATGAACACTATAACATATATGAATCTGTATTTGTCACAATGTAATATTTAACATTACTCGTTCCATAAATATAATCGGTAGATATTAAAAACCTTATTACATGTAATATAAGCCAAAACAACTCAATTAAGGTGTGTATTAATGATTAACTTTCCTGTTATCTCAAAATCTGCTTGGAACTATACCATTGGAGTACTATGGGAAATTCATCAAAGAGAAAATTCTATGGATTAAGGAAGGGATACCATTTACACAATTTGAGAAATTATTGGCATACATGAAACCTATTTAAAACAGCATTAATATTATTCAAAAGCGCTCGTAATAATGATTCCCAGCCCTCTAGTTTGAAAAATAACAATACCTGGGTGTTAATCCAGAGATAATTCTTGAAAATGAGAAATATTTTTTGGGATTGTATGGTGCAATCTTATTGTCAATTAAATGTTTTAAAGTGTATTGATGTTTTTTAGATGAAAAACACCAGCAAAATGCATGAAAAAACTACCAAGATTCATTATACAAACAACTCGTGGTCCTTTGAAGTAAATCCATTCAGTGGTTTTCCTGGAGTCGCAATGACAAGATTTATCTAAAAACTTCCAAGATGGCCACCAGAATGCAAGGTGGCCGCCGGAAAGTTAATCAGCTCTAGAACTATGTAACATGTGTAAAAATTTGAAGTAAATCCATTCAGTGGTTTTCCTGGAATCGCGATGACAAGATTTTTCTATAAACTTCCAAGATGGCCACCAGAATGCAAGGTGGCCGCCGGAAAGTTAATCAGCTCTAGAACTTCTTACCATGTAAAATATGTGAAAATTTGAAGTAAATCCATCAAGTGGTTTTCCTGGAATCGTGATGACAAGAAAGTGAGACTTCTTGGTGGTGACATAAAAATGATACCAGAACTATATTTTCATTCTACTCTGAATTACCTTTCTTTAAAGTATAATAAAGCTATACTTCAGAAAGATCTCAAAATTGACGCAAATTCCTTTGGCAGCCATTTTGAATTGTCTGAGGCACAAATCAGAAAAACAATACCATATTTGTAATCTACCCTAAATTTCTTTCAATTTTAGGATAATATAGCTATACTTTGAAAAGATCAGAAAATTATTGTGAAATCTAACACAAGGTGGCCATTCTGAATCTAATGAAATATAATAGTATAATATTCCCACCACTTCTAAAGTGGCTGCCATCTTGAAATTTTTTTGCTTTTTGCTTAAACTATTCACTGATATACGTCTTTCCACCAATTTTGAAGCAAATCTATCCACTAGTATTTGGGTTATCTTCCAGACAGACGGACTGATGGACAGAGGGCTTCACTATATCCCTACTGTTTATTTCCACTTTGGTTCAGCCTTTGTAGTAGTTTGCAACAACAACTTTTCAATTTAGTGCCAGAATAACTTGGCACACGGTACGTCATGGTCAAGTGACCTCAAAAAGTGCAAAAAAATAACAACATTTCAGAGGTTGACAGTCTTATCTTAATTAATCTTAAACAAGCTTTGTAGTCAACATAACAAAAGGGATGCTATTTGTGCTAAAAACAAGATAATAAGAGATTCTTTAATTGGTTTTAGTACAACTTTAAAATTCCAAGTAGTGTGAGGCAGTATAATTGTCACTTTCAGCCAAAACTGAGGTGTGTGATACTGTATAAGTGGTATTTAATCCGAGTGGTTAATTTTCCGAATGGTCAAATTTCATCATTTTCCTAATGACAAGAAACCTCCTATTGGATAACATTATAAAGACAATATTTCCACCATTTAATTTTCGGAACCTGGCCAAAATTAGGAAATAGGCAAATTAAATGATTAGGCAAAATTACCACTTATACAGTATATGTCACAGCATGTTTCATTTGAAAAGCCAAGTGAAACAACACAAAGCCATTGTACATATTCAAGGTTTACATTATAAGTTATTGAATGATTTGAAGTAAGTGCAATACAGGATATATTTTGCTTGAGAACTTCTGCATTGGAACCCGGGTATTGGAACGAGATGAAGTTGAGTTAAAGTGTCTGTTCGATGCTCATGGGGTCAAAATTCAGTTTATACATGTTTTAGATGAAGTAAACACCATTTACAATTCAAACCATGTACCGTTTTTGTAAATCTTTCTATAAAAGTGAAATTTGATGTTCAAAATCGGGAACCCAATGTCAAGTGCCAATCATGACATCACGATCAGAACAGGTTTTGAACATGTTGCTGGATTTTATGATCTCCGAACGTGCTTATAAAGTGTCAGTGAAATTGATTGCCACTGCATTCGATGCAGTGCGGAAATGATTCAACTTTGACTACTTTGGAGCCACGATTTTTCCTCCGATGAGCGAAAAATATAATACCTCAATTAGAGCTCCCGACCCTGTGGTGCGTTTTCACAAAGCTAGTCATGCAGAATTACGTTCTGGCCAGTCAAAATACAGTATAGAAACTATACACGTTGAGTTGATCCTGTTACATAACTCAATGCTGTTTAAAATCTTACAACCAAAAGGCATTGAACCATGAGGTGATTTTGAGAAGCGTTGCTCCTTTCTGGCCAATCAGAACACAGTGTAACATGGACACATTTGAATTTACATTCGAGTTGCATAACGATTAAAATCCATAACCGGTTCTGATCGTGACGTCATGTTTTTTTTTCCGGGAAATCTTATTTTGGCACTGAATGACAATCGGATGAAGATGTGAGTCTGTTGGTATACTGTTTCTACCAACCAATGCCCATTGAATCTATTTGTGTAAAGAAAAAATAAATGGAAATTACCGAATTGGCACTTTAAGGCTATTATACGTTGTACCATGAATGCAATTATAACCTTCTGCATTGGAACCCGGGTATTGGAACGAGATGAAGTCGAGTTTAGGCTATTATATGTTGTACCATGAATGCAATTATAACGTAAAGTAAGGAATAATTGACAACGTAACTATAACATTTAGATATAATAAAAATTTACTTCATCCATTCTACAGGCACTTCAATGGGTATCCGGGTCAGTGAAAGTCAACCACTTCCTATACAGTAAAAATTTTAAAATGTTTGGAACTACTTTGAATTTAGAAAATAAGCAATCAAATGGCTATATTGCAACAGTATATGAAAAAATGGAAATATATGAAGTCCTAACTTTTGTATATTTCAGATAGTTATGTATAATGTGCAGCAAAGCTGTGGCCTTTTATAATTTAGGGAGTTCAAGCCATGTTAATTTTTCCAAAAATACTGACCCACACTGACGCACACACACACACACCCATCTGCACAAGATGACGATAATAGAGCACTTTGAAAAAGTGTGATGAAAAGGATAGGTCAATGGACATAAAGTAATTAATAATCAAATATATCCTACAGGGCATTACAGCCAATATTTATTAGTAATAATTAAAAAAAATTATATTATTATATAACATATACACGTATGTTATCAAGAATGAACAATCATACTATAATTTTGAAATTGAAAAACCTGATCAATAGCATAAACAGCCTTTTATCTGTGCTTAAGTTGCACAAGTATGTCCACGATACAAGCATACTAAAATACGGACATATCATTATCACAGAAATATTTCAATAGTAAGGACTACAATAACACACAATTCAGGTACTAGGTATGTGGATATTACTCATGATTGTTCATATATAAAAATATTCTCAAACAAGATATAAATCATTAGATTCTTCAAATTACCATTCCTGAAAATTGTTAAGATCAAAGTTTAAATACAGAGATTTAATTATGGTCTCAGATTTGTGAAAACCAGATGCGAAAATTTAAGAATATTTCATTGGAAAAACAAAACAAAAAGCAACAAAAGTACTGAAGAAAAAGAATTCAACACATCAAATATTAACCTGAAAAACATGGAAACGTGGAGTTGCTTTTATCAAGTCACGGCCATAAATCGGAAAAAATGAATGAAGTGGGGAAGCAGGTGATTTCTGCTTGAAAATTCAATAAATCTGCAAGATCTATTTTTCATGAAGAAGATGTTATTTGAAGTAAAACATATTCTAATCTGTGTTTAGACTATTAAACCCAGAATAATTATTATAAACCTTTGTTAAAATATGTTAAAAAGTTTTGATAAAAGAAAATAATTCTGGTTAGAGGACACTCGCACCTTTTTCGAAAACTTAATCAGATCATAATTGATTTCCTGCAAAGGATAGGTATCGAAAGGTTGAACTGAATTCAACAATGTTTCTCTCTTAAACCAATCATTGAATATTTATCCTATAAATAGGTTTTAATAGGTATACTGATTGTAAGCGTTCATGCATGGAGTGGGTTGGCTCAAGGCCAGGCCAGATCAATTGAATTCATTCAGTCCAAATATGATCGATTGAGCAGGACGTTTCGGATTTTATATACAGTAAAACCTGTCTAATCCGAACACCCATGGGACCAGCCAAAAGCATTCAAATTGGCAGGTGTTCAAATTTCGAGGATATTGTTGGTCGGGGGGGGGGGGGATTTTCATTGTTCAGTCTACTATATTGAACACTTAATACTTAGTCAGAAAACAATACATGTTGTTGATGAATTTATTCTACGATAGGCCTATAGCCTACATGTATATGCTATGTTTTATTTACATTTTGAACAATTTCATTATTTTTGGAAAAATAACTCTTTAATTTTGGCAAAAACTTTGTAATACACTGATTAAGTATATGATAGTCTTGTACGAAATCTTATGCTTATTAAATGACTTATCTCATATTATGGTTACATAGCACTGCTTTACTTTATCTTGAAAAAGTCGTTCATTGTTGTTTGTTTCTTGGCACTTTTAGCATTAGCAATATTTGAGTAGATAACCTCTTCAATTAAAAGAATTTTTCATGAGTGCTCATTCGAGATGACCCAGCCCATTGCCAGGTATGGTCAGTATATACTGACAGGTATACTTTCAGTCTATACTGACAGGTCAACTTTTAGTCTAGTTTCAGTATACTTTCAGTATATGTCCCATGTTATGATTCCATTGACAGGTATGTTTCAATTATGGTAATTAGACCTACCAGTATGGTTTCAGTATACTTTCAGTATAAACCAATGGGTATACATTCAGTATACTTTCAGTATATACATACCAGTATGGTTTCAGTATAATTTCAGTATATACCAATGGGTATACATTCAGTATATACGTAAAGGTATACTTTCAGTATGGTATCGGTATATACCTATAGGTCAACATTTAGTCTATACTGACAGTCTTAATATGTCAGTCTGTAGACTGATATGGATGAATATGACTATTAATGAGATACCTTAAATTTTAAATCATTCTGCAGATGAGAAAAATTAGTACATGTAATTTGGATAGCAGTCTTATTTTCTAGCATTACATTATCTAATTAATTAGATGCAGGATTATGAAGACTTCTAAAAGACAAACCACTAATAAATTAATATTCTTATATTAACTATATTCAAGTTTTATTCATGATGTATTTTTGATGCAAAGTTTTAATTTTCAAATTTTAACTGTATTTATTTTTAAATTTTACTATGACTGTATCTTTCATATCTTTTTCTCATTTTTTGTGTTTTCAATGTATAAAACATTCAATATAATTATGAGCAGGAATGCTCCCCTGCCACCTAGTCTGGTAGGACAGGTTGTGAAAACAAATGGTCATAAAATAGAACTTACATATGAATAATTGTTGACTTATAGTTTTATCATGAATTTTGCATTTGCCGTTTATATTATAAAATGATAAAGTAAAACTGGTATACGTTCAGTCTAATCATTATTTATCAGAGTTTATTTGGTATGCTTTCAGTATACTATTGAAAATCATAAGTAAAACTGGTATGCTTTCAGTATATTCAGTATTTATCAGAGTTTGTTTGGTATGCTTTCAGTACACTATTGAAAATCATAAGTAAAACAGGCATACTTTCAGTATATTCAGTATCTTCATACCTATTTACAGATCTATATTCAGTATATATACCTATTAATTGGTATGGTATCAGTCTGGTATCAGTATAGACCTATCAACAAGGTATACTTTTAGTATACTTTTGGTATAGACTGACTATACCTGGCAATAGGCTGGGGATGCATAATCTTTCAAAATATCAAGGGCATTCAGTATGTCAGATGTGCCTTTTTAGGAGGCATTTTAGTGATAGGATATTACGAAGTTGAATTTTTTCTCTTTCTCGTGATATAATCTTGTCTGCAAATGTGTCTGTGTTGTCTTTGTGATTATAAAACATTTACTGATTGAATCCTAGCTATCATAACAGAAACATGGGATATAAAACAGTTAAGACTTGATCATAATCCAAATCAAAAACATCCAGTTAATTTAAAATAAGGATAAACCAATTATCTCCCAGATTCTCACCTTTCTCTTAATCCAAATCAAAAACATCCAGGTAATTTCTAATAATGATAAAACAATTATAATCTTGTCTGCAAATGTGTCTGTGTTGTCTCTGCAGGCCTGTCAACTGTCCCGCAATTTGCGTATTTGTCACGCATTTGCTGAAGAATTTGAAGTCACGCCAGTTATTTTTGCGTGACAGAAAATGTCACGCAAATACGCATTTTACCTGGTAATTGTCAAGCAAAAATATTTGTGTAGAAAATTTTCTAAAAAAGATCGTCTACACAGCAAAAATACGAACGACGGGAAAAAAACGTACGCATTTCGTTCGGACTTTTCACGCGAATTATGGATATGTCACGCATTCCGTTCGAAATTTTTCGTACCTACCCCCCCCCCCCCCCCCCCCCCCGTTGATGGATGTTTGAAACGCGAGCGTGAAAAATTTGAGGTGTTCAAAATTTGGCAAGATGTAATAAAATTTAAACCAAGCTGTTCAAAATTTGGATCAAGGTGTCCACAATTTGAGGGGAGGTGTTCAACATTTCCAAGTCACTCATGTTAGGTGTTCCCAAGTTGACAGGCCTGTCTCTGTGATTATAAAACATTTACTGATTGAATCCTCGCTATCATAACAGACACATGGGATATAAAACAGTTAAGACTTGTTCATAATCCAAATCAAAAACATCCAGTTAATTTAAAATAAGGATAAACCAATTTTGATTCACACCTTTCTCTTAATCCAAACATAAAACATTCAGTTCTTTTCTAATAGGATAAATCAATTAACTCCCGTATTCACACCTTTGCTGTTGTTTTCCACAATTAGGGATGTCATCGAGACTAAAAAAGTTGATTAGGACAATATTGGTTCTTTGATTACATTGCATATGTAAAGATAATAAGAACTATAACATTGACTCAATATGTGGCTATTATTGAAATGTCCAGACATTTGATTTCTGATGAAATGTTCAGATTAGACAGGTCAGTTTTTCAAATCTGGTTGTTCACTGTTCAGATTAGGAGGTGTTCAGATTTCAAGTTTTTTTTTAACATGGGAGTCAATGAGAGGAAAAAATGGGACCGAAAAAAAGTGTTCAAATTGGAAGGTGTTCGGATTAGCCAGGTGTTCAGATATACAGGTTCTACTGAAGTCAATTTTATACGTTTTAATTATTTATTACAAATTATGGCTTTACAAGACACACAAGAACAAGGTAAACACTGCACACAATGCAAGGAACTAGTTCGTGGACATAAAGGTCCCATAGGACCAAAATGTTCAAACTTAGACGTGAAAGCCAAGGCCGAGCTGCCACGCCCAGAACCGGTTTCCACGGCCGATACAAAACAAGACATTGCAGGATGGCAACTTGCTATGAGGAAGTGTCTCAACAGATATCTGGACTAGTTGCGGTTACAAAGGACTTGCAAGTCGAACAAAATAACATGAGGGAACAAGTTGTGCATTCTGTAAAAAAACATGGTCCTTTATGTAATGTTTACTGATTGGCGACAATTTAATGCAAAAATTATTTATATATATTTTATATAGGTGCTTTTGTTAACATTTTTGTTTTTTATTGCAATTGTTTTTTCTTCCTTTCTATCAACTCTTGAGAATGAAATAAAATGTCTTTCTTAACCTTGTTGGAACAACAACATTTTCCTAGACCTCTCAATATTATAGTTATACAAAGGAAATTTTGGTTGATTTAACATAAAATATGCAAAAACTTACAACAAAACCCCCCAAAAATTAAGATAAACCTTTTATTTCATTTACAAGATACTTTTTTAAAATCAACCAAATTTTCCTTTGTACAATTACAATATTGAGAGACCTAAACAGGTTGTGTTTATGTCGTTTTGTTCCAATGAGGTTCGGATAGATGTTTCATTTCATTCTGAACATATGACACCAAGAACAAAAGAAGTGTCTGATGTGTTTTCTTAAACAATATAGAGAAAAGTATGTATGTATATTTCAAATTATAATGTTACCATACGAAAGATGACTATTTAATTGACGATGTGTAAAATTTTCAGAATGTTTTGATGACTGGTTTACGAGAAACACGTGTTCAAAAAGTTCACCATATCGATACCACTCCTTTCTCATATCTAATTCATGCATGTCTCAGTTAAGAGAAATTGACACTTTTTTGTTTCAGAGAATGATGTGCAGGCTATTGAATAGAATTTGGTTGATGTCTAGGAGCATGAAATTATCTTGATGAAGTCTCATCTTATTGAAAATAAATCTGGAAGTTATAGGTACACTAATACACTCTACTATACCTTGCATTTGGTGTTCATTTGGGTTATTAGTAATGATTATGTTATTTGATTTTATGTGTCTGTTCCTTATGAATGGTTTATCAGATGACAGTTAGATGTTAATAAGGTACTTTCGAAAATAAACTAAACAACACAATTAGACAAACAGAGTATCTTATGCATTTATAGGGGTTAGGTATAGCAGAGTGTAATAGGTACAGATTCCTTCAAGTCAATGGAGCCAATATAAAACACTGTGCTGTGGAATACAATTTATTTTTGTACAGCTGTTTTTCTATACTTTCAGTTAACATCTGGGAAACATTGGAACAGAAATGGTGATCATTCGAAAAACATTTGCTTTAATTACTGCTGTTGTGGTCAGTTTGTATGTCTTTTGGATGGCGCAAGTACAGGATGCTGAACAATTTAAAACACTCCCTCCAATACAAAAACACAATCAACTGAACAATACTCCTATTATCCCAGCTTCAAGCAAACAAAATGCAATGTCAGGAGGCATTTCAAAACATCAAATGAACAATACTCCTATTATTAAAAGCAACCAAAATGCAATGTCGGGGGGTATTTCAAAACAGATTCTTTGGTATAATGATTTTTTTGGTGAACAACATCCGTGTTTTAAGACCCCTTCATTATGTTTACAATTATGTCCTGAGTATAAATGCACTCTAACAAGCAACAAAACTTTGTACAATGAAAGTGACGCAGTAATATTTCATCGAATTGGTCTCGGAAACACTCCACCTATTAAACATCCACATCAAGCTTGGATATTTTTTTTGATGGAATCACCATCAAATTATCCTCACATACCAAGTAATTATAACGACAAATTTAATTGGACAGCAACTTTTATGAGAGTTAGTGACGTCCATGTGCCGTATTCTGTAACTAGAAAGTTGCCAGAGATTAATCAAACTGCTTTGAAGAACCAAGACTTTTATGCAGGCAAAGAGAAGAAGATAATATGGGCTGTTAGTAACTGTCGTACAATAGGTGGTAGAGAGAAAGTGGTTGAAGCACTTAAGAAACTAGGATGGCAGGTAGAGTTGTACTGATAATGCTTACAATAAACACAATGCTATAGTAATTCTTGAAGGAGTTCTTAACACTGATATTCTTGTCACTTGAATATTTATGAATCTTTAGAACTATTGAGATAGTGTGGATGCAAAAACTTGTGCTACGTGCAATGTTGAGCCCCCTTAAAAATGAAAAGAAAGTTCAGATCGCTGATTCGCAATTGATTTGAAATGTTGATTCAAATCAACAAACTACAGTGATCTCCCCAGCATTAAAGCAAGTGGGCGCAGAACCCACCTGAGATTTTTTTTTTTTTTTTTAATACATATTTATTTAGGTCAAGAACAGCTACATATTTGTCACATGTTTACAGAATCAAATATATCGAAACAGATGCATACAGGTTGTATTGTCAATTATATGGTAAATTATCAAGGACAATCAGCATCGAAGTATATCGTTTAGAGGATCCCATTTATCTCCTCTTCCAACACTTATGTCTAGTTTGTAGTAGGTTAATACATTTAGCTTAAAACCTCTAAATGTTGGTTTCACCCTAGAATGCTTACATAGGAATACATATCTTTTAAAAATACTAAAAACGTTATTTAAAACAACCGCCTCTTTGGTCATTAACTTTGGTCCTAATATGATGGTCTGCTTGTTACAGAAATGCTCGTATTCTTTTGGGAGCCATTGTTTTATATCTTGTACAAGGCCCTGGACTATTACACAATCGTAAAAAAGGTGGCATATTGTTTCTACATGTAACCGACAAAAAGTGCACATATCGGAGTCGGTTAGACCACACATCTTTAAGTATTTGTTAGTCGTAACAAATCTGTGTATTACTTTATAGTTGAATGATGCAAGTTTAGGTTCGAAATTGCTTATTTTGTTCATTTTATTTATTATTTCCCAGTCTCCTATTTCAATTGTTGTATTCAAATCAATATTCCACTTTTCCGAATAGGTGCCGTTCATTGGTATACTTTTGGTAAATTCCCAGTAAATTTGTTTACATATTTTTGAACGAGATTGAAACTTATCCAAGTATTTTTTAATCGTACTTGTTTCATTCATATTATTTTCACAAGTTGAAATAGTCTTAATCCAGTCAGTTGGTATTGAGTTTTTTAAAGATAAAAAATCCAGGAAGTTTAACTTTGCCTTAAATTTTTGGTTAAATTCGTTGAGGTTAATAACTTGTTTATTCGGCTGAAACATATCACGAAGTACAAGTGTTTCTTTTGCGCCTTTAATTTCCTTAATGATAACCTTAACATTTTCGTTTCTCGTATATTTTAACCATGTATTGCACAAAATATTCTCCGCGTGAAGAGATTGATTATTTTCTACAATACGCTCTTGAATTTGGGTGTAATGTTGGAGGGCACGAGTAAAACTTCTCCAAAACGGATTTGAAACGCTACATTCAATTCTTTGTAATGATTTCGCGTCGTATGTAAATAGCTCCTTACCCGATTCCAAACCCAAAGTTTTTATGGCAATATCTTGCCAGGTGCCATTTCTAAGTAATTTTTGCAACCATGTTAGTTTTAGTGAGTTTTCAAATAGTTATGGGTCGATCATTCTTAAACCCCCGTCTTTGTAGTCTTTGACCAATTGAGAAAAACTTACCTTAGAGACTGGGGAATTCCAAATAAATGTAGTGAAAAGGTTTTTAATCCGTTTGTGGAACTCACCCGATATACTAGGTAAAACCAGCATTAAATGAACTATTTTTGGTAAAACAAAAGACTTTAAAACCGTTATTTTCCCAAGAAGAGATAGATTCCGTCGTTTATATTTGCTAATTACGCTTTGCATTTCTGTTAATTTCGATTCAAGGTTCAGCGTTTCTACATTTCGTAGGTCGGATGGCAGTTGCAAACCTAATAGTTTAAATTGTGTTTCCCATTTCAAAGAAATATCTTTACATAATCTGAGTAATCTCTCATCTGAATTTGCTTTGCTTCCAATCCAAATAGCTGATGTTTTATCAACGTTCAATTTTAGGCCAGACGCACTATGGAATTTTTGAAAAATGTCAATACATGTTCTCAAGGATGGAGGTGTCCCGTCAAGGATCACAAATGTGTCATCTGCGTACATACCCGTTTTTATCGTTTTGCCAAAGATTTGGACGCCTTTTACACTATTGTCATTCTTAATTTTCATGCAGAGAGGCTCTAAAGCTAGTATGAATAGGTAGCACGACAAGGAGTCCCCCTGCCGGCAGCCTCGATTTAATTGAAAAAAGGTAGAGAAATGGCCGTTGTTTATGACACAACTTTCGGGTCGATTATAAAGAACGTGAAACCATCGTATAAAACTTTCGCCAAAATTGAATCTTTTCAAACATTTATCAAGGTAAGACCACTCAATACTATCAAAGGCTTTCTCGAAATCTGCTAATAATATTAAACCAGCTTGTTGTTTTCTATTTAAATGATCCATTATGTCAAATACTAGGCGGGTGTTCTCCGCCATCTCTCTACCAGGCAGATATGCTTTTTGTTCAAGAGAGATAATTTGTGGCAGAACAGTTTTCATTCTGGTTGCAAGCGAGGCACTTAGAAGCTTATAATCAGAGTTAAGTAGAGTAATTGGCCTCCAGTTTTTTAATAGTTTTCTCAATTTGTTTCCTTTTGGAATACATGTAATTATACCTTGTTTCTGTGTTATAGAGAGTTCACCCAAAACAAAAGCTGCATTCAGCGAGTTCAATAAAAAATGTCCCAAATCGCAATAGAAAAACTTGTAAAATTCGACGCTAAAACCGTCCGAACCAGGTGATTTTCCATTTTTACTGTTTTTTAATGATTCTTTTAATTCTTGTTCGCTCAACTTACCTTCACAAAATTGTTTCTGCTCGTCTTTTAAAGACCCGAGCGCGTTATCAGAAAGAAAGACGTCATAATTTTCGTCATTGCTTTCAATTTTACTCGAGTATAAATTTTCATAGTATGCCCTTTGAGCTTCTAACACGAGTTTTGGATCTGAGATAAGTTGACCATCAGTTTCTATTTGACATATTACCTTATTAACATAATTTCTCTTTTCAAGTGCGCTGAAATATTTTGTGGCTCTCTCACCATGTTCATACCAATCAAGATTGGCCCGTGTCATAAGACCTTTTATTTGATTTTCTCTGTATTCTTTCATTTCAGATTTAATGTTTTCCAGGTCTTGATACTTAGATTCAATAAGGTCATTGTCAACTGAAACTTCTCCGTTTGAGTTTAAGGTATTTTGAATATCCGCTTCAATAGCCTCTGCTTTTAACTCTAAATCGCGTTGGATATTTTCTCGAAATTTTTTTTTCCGCGTTGAATATTTTATTGTCTGACCTCTTATTTCTAGTTTTAACATTTCGAACATAAGTTGATTATTAACCGCGATATCAATTTCATTATTATCTTCAGCGATGTCGTCAGCTAGGGCGTACTGTTCTTTAATTCTATTAATGGAGTCTTTAACAATGGTAATGTAGGCCGGATCTTTAAGGAGCGAGACATTAAATTTCCAAAACCCTCGACCTCTTTCTGGAATTCCATTTTCGAGAGACAATGTTAAAATATCATGGTCTGATCTGTATCCAGGTAAAATATTACAGTTTATTGTTAAGTTGATGAAGTCATCAGAGCACAACATGAAATCTAGTCTTGCCATTTGGCGCGGCTTTCGTCTAAACCATGTGAATTTTTTTTCTTCTGGGTGAAGTTCCCGCCAAATATCAAATAAATCGAAATGATTGCATAATTCTTTCACCTTCTTCTTAGAGTTTGGATTATTTATGTGTTTATATTTAAATGTATCTAGCTCTTGATCCATTACTAAATTCCAATCACCAGTAATTAATATAGATGCATTTTCAAAATGTTCCAATTTTGTTTTAAGGTCTGTGAAAAATTTAGGGGTGTCAGTATTTGGTCCATAAATGGAAGCTAAAGTGAATCTTCTATCTTCAACCTTGATGTCTAAAATCACAAAGTTACCATCCTTGTCGATTTTGGAATCATAAACTTTATAGTCGAAATTTTGCCCAAAGAAAATACCGACTCCACGACTATTACTTCTGCACGAACTGATGTAAGCCTCACCGCCCCAATCAAGTTCAAAGTTTTTAGCTGATTCATTTGTTGTATGAATATCTTGTAAGCAAACGATATCGAAATTTTTCTTCTTCAAGTAATCAAAAACGTCGGCTCTTTTCTTTTGATCATTCAAGCCTTGACAATTTAAACTGCTTATTTTTGTCTTACCCATGTTCAAAAAGTCTGCAACTTATAAGTAGCTGTTTTAACCAGATTTTTTTATAAACCCCGTTTAGATTCCCCATTTCCCCTTATTACGCGTGTTCAAGACGAAAAAAGCTAGGCCCGTCGCGGTCCTCTCAAAAACCGCGTTTGCCGGCTCAGCCTATCGATTATAATATACCTATAAAGTATATGTAAACAAGAAATGCAAAAGGAGAAAGATATTTATGAAAAACGAATTCGCATCCGAAACCAAATGTGCAGTACTTGTTTACATTCAAAACATTATACCACAGAATATGCAATGTCAAATACCAGCACGAAATACTGCCACAATGGTGGGCGATGATAATATTTACAACATATACAACAACATAGACAACATTTACAACAACATAGAAGAAATAATGCCAAAATACAAAGGTTTACAATGCTTTCCTACCCAAGTTTTACATATGGTATTTCACCTGCGTAAAGCCCCATTGTCAGTATATATGTGATCTTTCTCAAAATATACAATATTTATATGCACTGTCAGTGACAAGTGTGCTTTACAAAAGAATATTAGGAAATAATGTTACAATGACATGCAGTGGTAGTATACCCGAGTTGTACATACTACTATACCACCTGAGATTTTGAAAATAGGCTTGCACCCACCTGAAAATCCATTTGCACCCACTTGAAAATGACAACAATCATGAAAAATAGGCATATTTTGACAGATTTTGGTCTGAATTGTGAAAATGAGAATTTTGCACCCACCTGAGAAAAAATCCTTGGGAGATCACTGAACTATTTTCCGAAAGTATTCAAGTTTTATACTTTATTTTCAAATATGAATGAAAACATTGAATACAAATATTAATTTTTTTCCAGGTTGATATATATGGTGCTTGTGGGTCCAAGAAATGTCCACGTGGAAGCGAGTGTGAAAAAACCATTGGAAAAACCTACATGTTTTATCTAGCATTTGAGAACACCCTATGTGAGGATTATATAACAGAAAAACCAGGGAATGCCATTATTAGATGGGAGATCATACCAATAACTTATGGATATGGAAATTACACAGCACACCTTCCGCCGAATTCATTCATAAACGTCAACTCATTCCAAACTGTTAGTGATCTGAGTAAACATCTCAATAAGGTGGCAGAGTCAAGAGACCTATATAACAGTTATTTTGAATGGCGCAAAACACATTCTTATTTGCCAAGTAACTCTTATTGGGCTTGTGATATTTGCAAAAAATTACATAACAATCACTACAATTATTACAAAGACATGGAAAAGTGGTGGTCTAAAGATCGATGTATTTCAATGCCAATTTCACTCTGACAAGCCTTTTCTTTGGCTTTTCATTTTAAAGATAGCTTATAAAATTTTAATTGAGTGATTTACATAATCTTATATCCAGGTAACTGCATCTTCGTTCACTCGGCATCCGTCGATGAATGCAGTGAAGACCGAGTGTGCGAAGATGAGGTAACAGTATAACAGTAGAATTCATTTGGGCCACAAGACATTTTGCAGATTTTAATAAATATCTGATTGAAGCCTGAAAAATCTATAGGAGCAGGTGTAGGTTTATAAAGCTATCTTTAAATTATTCAATACTCCTATTTATTATTTTATCAGGTGTTATATATATAATATATATGTGCATATATATCTGATGTGTATATATCGGGAACTATGTAGATATGAAAAGCTATCTTAATTATTTAACACTGCATATCTATTTCAAACATTAAATAAACATTATAATAATAAACATTATAATTCTAAACATTATTATTCTATTATTCTAATATCTCTAAATGAAAATGTTCCATCTGCTCTATCAAATTCACATGGCCTACATCTGCTCTATCAAATTCACATGGCCTAGAAAAATCAATAAAATGAGCAGAAACAAACTTAAAACGTAAGTGATGAATGGGTAATGAATTTATAAAAAATGTTGAGGTATCTAATTGGTCAAGAATGACCTTTGAATATAACTTCTTGGGACTATATATTTGGGATTATAATCCCACCTATAATGGGGTAAAAGAGAGATCAATCAAGGTAGAAACCTGTGTTTTGAAATATTACTCTTGCTTCAGTCAATATCATTATATAACTGAGAGGCAGATGTTTAGAGTGGTGATAACAATATTAGAATAATAAAAAGTACAGATGTGCTTTGTATTTTCTCATACCGATAAACTGAGTAGCTCTGACCAGATTAACACATGAACAAAATGCAGTATTCCTCATACATGTAAATGTATATTCAAGAATACAGCATCTCCCTGGAGTAGCAAATCCCACTTAACTAGGTAAACAGCAACTCCAAGAGTAACACATCCCACCAAACAAATCATATTTTATCAAATCAGAATCCTTTGATGCAGTTATCAGTTAGCAGATGCAAGCGCTACTATGTCCCTAAAGCATCAGCATATTACATTTAAATCAAATACATATACTGGTATTTGAATTATTAAAGATTACATTTTTCAAAAAATGGTTGCCATTTTGAATTGTGAGGTCATATTTGAAATTCCACCTTGAGCAGAGGTCTTATGTCCCTAAGGAACTAAATTAGTCAAATGGTATTAAAGTTATCAAAACTACATGTCTTTTTATAAATAATGATGGTAATTTTGAATTAAGCTGTCATATTGATAATTCTTTCTAGAGCAAAGCTCCTACGCCCATGAGGCATAATAGCCCTGGTCATAAAATTTGGACTGAATTCTATAGCTAGTATTTCTGATAAATTAACATTAGAGGTGGCATAAAGATAAAATAATATACCCTGTACAGTACATACATTTGGACAATACATATTTTCACAACATACCTATTTTTCTTTGTTACTAAATTATATTCCATGAACTTGTATTTATTGTGTTGTTCATCTAGCCTCTGGAGGACCCCTTCTGCCCCCTCACTGTTGTCAGGCTTTTGCATGAATGCATCAACATCTTCCTAAATCAACATAAAAACATGTCAAGCATTTAGTGGTATAACAAAACAGAATTACATGTATATATCAAATCATATGATATGATAATTCTATTGTAATGCGGTTATTGAAATGGAGCAACCTAATAGGAATTTATTTTTTGAGATATGTTCACATATTGCAATTGAAGATTAAATCAATGTCTACTTGAGGCTCGCACAGCATAATGGTCACAATATAGCTTGAGGAAAAGGTATCAAAATGGTGGATGGTAAATGATGCAGTGACCTCCCTGGCAGCATTAAAGCAAGTGAGTGCTGCACCCACTTGAGATTTTAAAAACATGCTTGCACCCACCCGAGAATACGTTTTCACCCACTTGAAAATGAGAAAAATCATGAAAAATAGGAATATTTTGACCAAATTTGGTCTAAATTGTGAAATAAAGAATTCTGCATCCACTTAGAAAAAAACAGGGTAGAACACTTTGATGATTTCAATATATAGTTTTCATTGATGTCAGAATTAAACTACTGCTGTAGATATCCAGCCTTGATGTTTCAACTGGACCAAACTTGCATGACATTGAATATCCTAAGCAGCACAATAAATATTCTTGGATAATGGCTTCAAATCCTTGATATAGAAACTTTATATCAGTTTCTTTGTCATAAAAGCTTGCTACTTTGAACAATGTAATAAATTTATTTTTGATATATTTTTTTATTTTGAAATGTTGATTAAGCCTTTGTCAGCTTTGTGAATTAGAGAGACATCTATTTTGAGTGTTAAAGATTATATTTCTTTTTTGCTATGTTTGTTTAATACAAAACAATATAATATACAATAATGAAAATAACAGCACTACATTATATTTTATGATACATTTGCATGAGTAAATATAAAAACCTCATTGCTACAAATTATATCACTTTACGGATATGTTCTACATGTAATTTAAAAATGTATTTAACATATGCTTAATATGCTTGGCACAGAGGGTGCTAATGTAAAGGTAGAAGACAAAATATCTCAATTCAAAATTGAGTTGATGGTTGATTGAAATCAAGATTTATCAGTGCAATCACCAGTGAAAATGAACAGACTTTACATTTTATTTTGTTTATCTTGTGTGTATATAATTTTGCAAAAAGGACGATGAAAGGATTCGGCTTACTCCAATTATATTTGACTTTTTGAGATGGTGGTCTTGAGTTTGAAATCTATCGAAAATCATTCAAAATTTGAAAGATGGCGGAAAAAGTAGTCATATCTTTTACTTTCAATGGCCTTTCTATGCATAAACATTTTCAGTTTTAAAAGGGGACATATGGAGCCATATCGTGGTATATTGGGTCAGGTACCGAAAATCCTCATTTTTCATAATTGTTCCGAAGATTTCAATGTTTCCCCATTGGATTGTATAAGAGCATTTGTCTGTGGACTTAAACCTATTTCACACCATGTTTGTCTCAGTATGCTATTAGAGTGGCAAATTAAAATGGATCATTAAAAGGAATTAATCAAATACCATTGATAACCATTGAGTTGTCTAGGGGATGAGTTGTCCAGGGGATGAGTTGTCAAGGGGATGAGTTGTCCAGGGGATGGATTGTCTAGGGGATGACTTGTCCAGGAGATGAGTTGTCTAGGGGATGAGATGTCCAGGGATGAGTTGTCTAGGGGATGAGTTGTTCGTAAGCCGTCTTAAGTGGTAGCTCGGTCAGCAGCAGTAAAATGGTGGACTAAATCTTATGGTTATGACTTTTTTTTTAATTTGACTGAAAACTGAATTTGACATAAAAAACTGAGTCTTTATATATGTTTAAATTTGGTATTCAAAAAACATTTGTTTACATGGTAATTGTTATTCAAAATGCAGGATGGAATAATTTAATTTGTAAATTGGTTACTTTCCAAAGCTTTATTTCCACTGCCTTACCTTACTACATGTACCTAATTGAAGTGTTTAAATGTGTTTTTTGTGAATGCTTTCTCAAATCATGGGCTTTCAAAGCCCAAGCTCAAAAAGATAATTTTGTGCATAGAATTTCACTGCAATTTCTACAAAACAGTAAACTGTGCGCTCAAACTGCCCATATAGATAGAAATATGAACTAACACTCAAGAAGGATATGTATAAAGGTATGTTGTTTATCATAATTCTGTTCATATAGCAAGCTAATAAGTATACAATCATAAACTATTGATCTACATGAGCGGCCACATAGCTGACGTTAGGTTGGCATACAGAAATGGCATTAGAAGTTAAGGTGATAAACTGGGCATACACTGTAGTCTATGGCTAAAGGGTAGTATGTATCCAACAGACTGAGTGAATAATATCATAATGTTCTGTCATGTGATAATTGCAGTGAATTTTTTTCCACAAAATTATCAATTAGAGGAACCATTACTTCAATAAAATAGTATAGGCTAGACTTGAGTAATTCCGGATGAAATTGCTTCTAGCCTATTTGCTCTAATTTCCTATCTAGTGTTGAAACCATTTTATTCTTCAAAATTGATTGAGATCTCACAAGATTTTTATTCTTTCAAAATCAAACATGGCGGTAAGTGGGAATTCTTAATTCTAGCAAGAAAGTGTCAAAGTTACCCCATTTCTCGTGTCGACATAACACATTACACCTTACTTCCTGCGAAAGCTATTTGGATTTTGATATAATAGCTTTCCCACGGAGCATTTGGACAGCTCAATGATTGTGACCTTTGAAATCGAATTAAGTCGATCAGCGGCTTACTTTTGGTCTCTAACTGTGTCTTACATCAGTATCGTCAATCCGTGTAAGTATTGGAGCGCTGGAGTACTTCTTTTTCGATCAAGACTTGTAATTGTTAGTCGAGTGAATTGTTTTACTGCCAAATTCCAATATGGCGGTTTCTGCTCGGATATTTTCGTAAATCTCCGGAGGTTGTCCGAACCTAACTAATTTTCAAAATTCATTTCGTTCGTTGCGTATCTCGCACCTAGCAAACCGCCATATTGGAAATAGGTCTAAAAAACTTTCACTCGATGAACAATTTACAAGTTTTGATCGAAAAAGAAGTACTCCAGCGCTTCGATACTTACACGGATTGATGATACTGATGTAAGACACAGTAAGAGACCAAACGTAAGCCGCTGATCGACTTAATTCGATTTCAAAGGTCACTATTGATTAGTCATATAAATCTGACCCTCGTATGATGTTATTTGTTGTTATTTTTTTCTGATTTGGATGTTTATTTTTCTTATTTTCTTGCATACGAGGGTCATAAACACTAGCGCTTGTATATTGCGGGAATTGCTTTCCTGGCATGTCTACCCAACCAAATTCACACAAATGATAAATTAATTTCTTTGCTTCAACTATTAAGTATTTAATCTTACCTTAGGCACGTAAAACGCTTGGTAATTGAAGAAATATAAGCACGCTGCTAAATTTTAAAATTTTCTCATTTTGCCTACCAAGGTCACTTCCGGGTTAATCTGATAGTCTAGATGTAAAACTATATCAAACGAAATCATAAGTTTTTGTTACACAAATATTCAGTTGAAAGGGAAGCAGTGTCGTTGAGAAGGGAAGTTATTTGGAAAAGTTATTGTTTCAAAATGAGAAAAGTAATAAGTGGCAGAGAACGGCTTTGGAATCGATCTCTGTGTAATAAATAATTATGATTCCGTTTCGATACATGTTATTCATTTAGACTACCGGAAACAACATTCAGCAACATGGCGGGCGATAATGAAAATATAATTCAATTGATTATATTTCGTCAATTATCAAGCGTTTTACATGTCTAAGGTAAGATTTAACACTTTGATGTTGGAGCTAAATAATTACGTGATAATTTGTGTGACTTTGGTTAGTATGGTAACTATATTTACCAAGACAGGCCAGAAAAGCGATTACCGCAATTTGTTCCATATAATATCTACGACCGTGTATGCAAAGAAAATGATAAAAAATAAATATCCAAATAAGAACAAGGAATATCGAAGAACAGCATACAATCTAACATGGCTCTCGAAGTGAGTAAATTACACCCCTTTGCCCTACAGTTGGGGACATAAATAAATGACAGGTGGATTTGCTGAAGTGAGGATTTCCCATGTTAAAAATAAGAGAATTTACAAGAGGCCATGATTCAGTGGATGAGATTATACAAAATGTAAAATATACAAATTTTAAGGGATATGTATCTAGACAATATTGGAAATTATGGGCTTTCAGACCACCATAATTAGGAAATGGTGATCGAAAATCGACCTGTCATTTATTTTTGTCCCCAACTGTAGTGTCATGACATTCCTCAAACAGTCAAATTGACCACTTGAAGTAAAAAGATTCTACAAATAATGAATACCACGACTTAACACACATAGTCGTTATCAGCTAGACTTCACATAATGATTCAGCATGTTCTAAGGCGTTAGTAAATTATATTTTTCATTGAAGTTGAAAAATTAAATTCAAAATTTGTGTCAAAATATTACAATTCAAGTTTTTGCATGCAAATGGCGTCTATTCAAATAGAAATTCTACTTGTACGAGCTTGAATATATTTTCGTTAGATTAAGTATACTATATATGTCTTACAACGAATGTAGCACCAGGAATTCCTGTTGAATTTGACTTTTCTGAATCTTTCTCCATCGCCATGGTCGTGATCTCGTCTGCCATTTTGCTTCTCGCCCAACCTCTCGCGTTAGACGAGACCAGAAAAAGAAAAGAAAAGATGTTGAAAGTGAGTATGATTTTTATTTGGGCTAAATATATGTAATATCTGGATTCTATATTCATATTGTTGTCATATACTAAGTGTTAACATGTTGATTTTATGTTTCTTATGGAAAGTAGCAGTTTTACGGCCTCATAAACAATGTATGAAGGCCATTATTGGAAGGCCATTTTTTGTACCAGTCCAAACATTGAAACAAAAACATTTCTCTACCTTGATTGCAGATCTAGATATAGATATCTTAATATTCATGTTACATTGCGTATTGTAGACCTGAAAATCTTGTTTTTGGAATGTATTTTATTCCTGCATTTAGTTTCTACGTTGCCTTGTCTCTATTCTACACATTCAAGTTACATGATTCATCCATATTTAGACCATTGTATACATTGCCATATATGGCAATGTCTTGCTTATGGTCCAAAGCTTTAATATCTGGAGTAAAATAGTGCCTTATTAAATGTAATAATAGTGTTGTTATATATTATAAAAAAATTATTGTGATAAAGTTAACCAAAGAAGGGATCAAATCAACCTACATGTAACATATAGTTCTTATATAAATGAGTTGTCGATCACAATTTCCAAACCATGGTAGTTATAAAGCCCATTGTTTCCAATATTGTCTAGATAGATATCCTCTAAAATTTGTATGTTTTACATATTGTATTAACTCTCATGTACTGATGTATATGTCCTCTTGAAAATTCTCTTAATTTTGAACATGGGAAATCCCCACTTCTGCAAATCCACTACTCATTATCCCATCGAACGAAGTTCGGAGGGATATAGGGAACGCCTCCGTCCGTCCGTACGTACGTCCGTCCGTCTGTCCGTCCGTCCGTCCGTCCGGGCAATAACTCAAATACGGTTGGCCAGATTTTGTTCATATTTTGTACACATATACCCTATGGGGTTAGAAGTTCTGCTCGAAAGCCGATTTTCAAAATGGCCGCTCATTTCAAAATGGCGGCCATTTTAGTGACGATTTTACAGTAATTTAGGTGCAATATGTAAACTGTAATAGCAATATGTTTTAAATGTAAAAAAATTATAAAGGACGTTAATAATGCTACAAATGTAGATATTAAAGAAGCACATGGCAGCCATCTTGAAAAATGGCGGCCTTTACTCGTTATTTTACCATTTTTGCTGTAACTCGAAAAGTAGTGGAGCGATTTTGTTCATATTTGGTATGTGGATACTATAAGCATTGCACACTGTCTAAAGACACTTTTGGTAGAAGGTGGCCATTTTTCAAAATGGCCGCCATTTTAACGTTTTTACTATAACTCGAAAAGTAGTGGAGCGATTTTGTTCATATTTGGTATGTGAATACTATAAGCATGGCACACTGTCCTATGACACTTTTGGTAGAAGGCGGCCATTTTGAAAACAATTTTGAAAAATGGCCGCCATTTTAACGTATTTTACTATAACTCGAAAAGTAGTGGAGCGATTTTGTTCATAATTGATATGTGAATACTTTAAGCATGGCACATTGTCTAATAAAACTTTAGGGAGTAGTCGGCCATTTTGAAAAATGGCCACCATTTTTATGTGTGTTATTTTACAAGCATGTGTGCGATTTTTCAAAAATTTTAGAGGTGGCTACTTAAAAGCATATTATTTCTTCTGATGACAACTTGGCTAGTGAGCAACCATTTTGAAAATGGTGGCCTTTCTGGTGTGTTGTTTTATGATATTTGCGCTTCGTTTGTAAAAATGCCAGCCATTTCTGTTCGATGGGATTCGCTACGCTTTGGCGTTGCCGTTGTTCTGGTTTATTTATTGCTCAGATTGTAGGAAAAATCTATGCAAAATGTAGTGTTGAAAAGTGATAATTAAAAAATAAAAAATAATTCCTTAGATTCGTCAATCATATTTTCTCATAGGGAATAAAATAATTGTTTTGAGATCACATGTTATTTTATTACTCATTAATTAATTGTGTCAATGATGTCATGCAGCATGAAAACTGGATTTGGTTCCATAACCATTACCTTTTTTGAGATATTTGACATGAAAAATGGTAAAAAAAAAACTTGCTTCATTTTGACCAAACTTTTTTAAATATGATCTACAATTTCCCAGGAGTTTAGATCTGACCTTATTTTGAGATTTGACTTTTACTTGACCTTCAGTGACCTTGGTATGGTAAAAAAAGAGGGATTTTCAAATTGGTGTTTTGGAGTCAAATTTTGGTCAGCTTAATCACAAAAGACCTACTTAGCTAAGAAAAAGTAAAATTTTTAAGGTCAAGGGTAAAGGTCATCAAATTAGGTCATAAACTGTGCTATCTAAGTTTCTCAAAGTTCGAGACTACAGATCAATATTTTTGGTTGAAAGTCAGGATATACTAGTACCTTCCTCTAAAGGTTCTACACTGTAAGAGCAAAGGGCCGTGGGTCCTTCCTTCATTTGTAGGTCTAATTGATGGAGAAAACAGTATACGGTATATGGATTATAGTTCATATGTATTATGGCACATGTATGAAATGAACAGTCATTTTTATCTCTGAATGCCAATCATAAATTATCTACATGTCATTGATCATGGCAAACAAAAAAATGAGATTCCTCAGGGACACATGCAAATATCCCTAAAAACACAGTTCGTGATTGACATGTAAATTATAAATATATATCCAAACTATGAGCTTATCTTTGTTGTATAATTTAACCTGAAGAAAAAATAGTCTATTTGTCATTAATTGGACTTAATATATTTGGTCAGTATATATTTATCATGAAGGGTCATCTAAGGAGAAATTTTATTTCTACTGCTCTAGGCTGGAGTGATTGTTATTGTTGATAGAAATATTCAAGTAACATTAAGATTTTCTACTGACTTCATTGTTTGCTACTGCCCTGTCAACCCTCACGCATTAGGCGTGATTGTCACGCATTTGCCGGAAAAATAGAAATCATGTATCAATTTAGCGTGTATGACCAAATATCACGCAAATCACACATTTTGTTGATACTTTTAAAAATCGTTTTTTGTAAAATGCAGACACGGGAAAATACCGAACAGCGAAAAACAGTGAACACATTCCGTTCAGTTTTTGCACCCGATTGCCGTTTATGTCACGCATTTGTTCCAAAATATGTGTATATATCACGCATTTGTTTCGAAAATATTTACACACCCCCCTTAGGTGTCTAAAATCGACCAGTGGTCCCAAGTTGACAGCCCTGTTGCTATATAGCGTCTTTTGTAATGATTGAACCATATCTTATTGATACTCCATTCTCTGATATATGGTAATTGAGAAACAATGCTATGACCTGAAAAACTAAAGGGGCTCATTGTCTATTTCTGATCCTAAAATACATAAAATTGAAAAAGACGGAATAACCTTCACCTTGCATCATCAACAGATTCCATCACAAACCTTCTTTTCCTTCAATAGAAGAGTCTTAGTTGTTAAAACGAATTTAGGTTATTACTATGCTAATCTTCCTGCCCATAAATAAAACATTTGATTGATTAATCTTCATCCAAAATTTCATTTCCATTTTCTTAATGTTGAACCAGTCCATCTAATATCCTCTTTATGAATCTCAATGCCCTCTTATGCTTCTTATATAGTGTCAGCACTATCAGTGATCTCCCCAGCATTAAAGCAAGTAGGCGCAGCACCCACTTGAGATTTTAAAAACAGGCTTGCATCTACCTGAAAATCCATTTGCTCCCACTTGAAAATGTGAAAAATCATGAAAAATGGGCATATTTTCACCAATTTTGGTCTGAATTAAGAAAATGAGAATTTTGCACCCACTTGACAAAAAATTCCAAAGAGAATGCTGACTAACATGAGTCTAAATGTGTATTGTATGAATGTTTTTTGACCCATCCTGTATGAAAGAAGGGGCAATCTTTTATTTGAAAAAATCACTTAATGTCATTTTTGTAGGGAGAGAGTGTTATATGATCCCTAACGCTATTGTTTAACCATCGTCAGGTCCTCTACACTCTACTTATTCTTAGAATATGAATAAATAAGAGTATAAATAGTTCAGACTTTTATTTACACATGTCTATCTGTATTTAGCAACAAGGCCAGGAAAAGTTTGAAGACAAATGGCCGGCAATGCGCCCTACTGTCCTGCGACTTCTACGTCAGGAGCCTGTCTCGAGAGAAGACTGGCAAAATCTCTTCTGGTAAGATTTTTTAAGAAGAAAACTACATACAGTGGTAATTTATAAGAAATAAAGTTCAGTAAAACTTGTTTAGACTGCAGGGTTTGACTAAAATGTTTATATTGGGATTTTTATTTAAATAACCCCATACTTTTTGGGTTAACTTTCTTTCGAGTCTTCATTTGTTTAAAAAATAGAGAATCTCCTTCAAAAACCTCTGTGATATCTTTGGCTTCTCCAAGAGATAAATAGTAACAAATTTCAATGTGTTTCTTTCAGGACCGTCCATTCAGTGTGTCTGTGGAATGATAAAGGTCCGGCCAAAGTACATGAAGCATTGCAACATGATGTGTTGGACTTCATCAAACAAGCACAAGCTGTGAGTGACGTTATCATGATCCTTCTACATAAAATTGTTGTATGCTCATGTTGTTATGGACATTAGCATTCATATGTCGCAAATATATTCACACACATTGAGACACTTTACTCTAATGTGTTTCTGACTGGTCAACATTTGATGTTGAAGCATTTAATTATAAATATTTCCAGACTATTTATCTTTATACATTGAAACACTCCCAATTAATTTTTATTTAGACAACTCACTTGTTCGTTGTATGTGTCTTAGTCCCGGTAATGTTATTGTCTTATAGAGGGATGGGTACTACCCAAAACATTTGGCATTTATCATTTTTAAAATATATAGCTGCTAAAATATATGATATAAGATGTTGAAAAGTAAGATATAAGAGATTATATTAGATATATTTGTAAATATCATTGATACTAACAAGAAGCTACTGGTACCTATTATTTTCACAGTTCAGTCGAATAGTACATGTTTAAGAAGACACTGTAATTTGTAATGCAAAACCAACCAGGGCTCTAATAAGTGCTACTGTGCTTTAAATGGTAATTCTGCATGAGGGAAATTACGAAACAAAACAAAATGTGTTAGAAATTATACTTAATAGTTGTCTGTTGCTATAGTAACATGTGTTGTATTAAATGTATAATTATTAAAATGTAAAATGAGTTAGAAGCAATTATTTTTCATTATTTAATAACATTACATGCCAGCTAAGGTAATTTGCTTTGTTCTTTGTTTCTATATCGTTTTGATTCATGAGTTTTTATAATGCCACACATGCAGTAAAGGGGCAACAAGGCCTGTAGAGAGAAAATTTTTACTTTTTCTGGGCTATCAGGGTGACATTTGGCTTATCGTCTTCTTTGACATACCTATTTTCTTAAAATATATGGATTAACTATCAATTTCAGCATTAATAAGTATAAATTCAGTTCAAAGCTTCTATAAAGGGAGTCCCACTTATAGATTTTTAAGATCCATCACATAATGTTCATCCAAGGGGTTTCTTTGGAGAATAGTCTTAATGAAATATCCAAAATTAGATATTTTTTGGCACTGGTCCATGATCTGCACTAATTGTTGCACCTTTAATAATTTTACTTCATTGATATCAATAGCAAAATTCTGAAATAAATCAGGAAATGCAATTCGATGAAAAATTAAGGCAATAACATTCAAGGCGTTTTTTAGTGTCCTTGTTTCAATTGAAGTTACATATTGCAATTGCACTTCTTTCTGAAAAGTAATTTACAAGTTCATTGACTGTTTTTTCATTAATGTGTCTAGACAGTTATACAACATTATGCGCTGTTATTATATAAGAATAATCAGTACGAAAAGACAATGAAGAAATTAAATTTATTTACAGTAGTTGACAAATACGGTATCATCTTTTAGTGTTGGAATTCACATTAATTTTGAGGTCTTTTTAATATAAAGCTTTTTTGTTTTCATATAGTAAATAATTATATGCCAATGTTATATTATATGAATATCAAAGGTATTTTAGGAGCATTTTGTGAATATTATATCATGAAGTCATGTCATGTATTGTTTTCCTTATAGAGAGGTGCTCCTATTACTGTATTATATTTTGTTTTGTTTTTGTAGCGAGTCTTACAACACCAAGAAGACACAGCCCTCCTGAAGGCTTACATAGCAGAATGGAGCAAGTTCTTCACGCAGTGCAATTATCTCCCAAAGCCATTCTGCTATCTAGAGACCTCCCTCACAGGCAAGGCTCATAGTACCATGCAGAAAAACAGGCAAACAGAAGAAAGTATAGTCAGAAAGGTATATTGAGTTGAAATCACTAGGTTACATCACATTGATATCCCCGCCATAATGCATGCAGTTCCACACTCTGTTGAAAAGCTGAAAATTAAATGCCACCCCATTGAAAAGCTAAAAATTACATACCACCCCATTGAAAACCTGAAAATTATATCCCATCCTGTTGATAAACTGAAAATTACATTCCACCATGCTGGAAATCTATCTGCAACAGTGGAAAGACAAGTACATCAGACAAGTAACATAAGGTTTTGTTTTAATGTTATAAGGTTTGGATTTCTCTTTATTAACAAAGTTTTGTGAAATCATGAAGTGATAATTTCAGTCGCTTATCACATTATTTCATTTCAAAAGATTACTAAATGTCTGTATGTGGCATGTTGCAAGGGCTTGAGCTTAAAGGGCCAGTCCATTAAATGTCTGTATGTGGCATGTTGCCAGGGCTTGAGCTAAGGGCCAGTCCACTAAATGTCTGTATGTGGATATATGTTGCCAGGGCTTGAACTAAGGGCCAGTCCACTAAATGTCTGTTGGCATGTTACCAGGGCTTGAGTTAAGGGCTGGTCCACTGGCCATTTGCTAAGTCACTTTTGATACGGAACAGTTGATTTTTTCATTAGGCAACAATGCAACTGGTTCATAATGCCATTTTGACCAACTGCTCTCAGAACCTTAGCTCAACCACTGCATGTTGCCTAGAAATATTGTACTGCATCTAGTATAAAATGTAATGTTTGCACAATATGAAGTCTGGTGGCTGAAAATGACACACTATATGAGATGCATCATATTTCCATTGCAGTTAATGTTGGACAGTTGGAACATGAACATATTCAACAACATCAAACAAAGGCTACAGGACAGTGCAATGAAGTTGGTACATGCGGAGCGTAATGGAGAGGCTTTTGATTCACAGCTAGTTATAGGTGTCCGTGAGTCATATGGTAAGTAATAGAAAATGCTAAAGTAGGATATATCCCAGGTTTCTCTTTGAAGGATATATCCCAGGAACCCCTTGGGAGAATATATCCCATGTACCCCTTGGGAGGATATATCCCAGGTACCCCTTGGGAGGATATATCCCAGGTACCCCTTGGGAGAATATATCCCAGGTACCCCTTTGGAGGATATATCCCAGGAACCCCTTGGGAGAATATATCCCATGTACCCCTTGGGAGGATATATCCCAGGTACCCCTTGGGAGAATATATCTCAGGTACCCCTTGTGAGCATATATCCCAGGTACCTCTTGAGAGGATATATTCCAGGTACCCCACTTACTGTTTGAGATTCCAGGAAGATGTCAACATAATTTATAATTCAATTAAAAAGCAAAATAAAATCCATTTCACATAACATGTATTTGATTTAAAAAGCCTTTGATTATATCGACGTAATGTTTTACTCTATAAAAATAACATCAATATTCAACACAGGGATGAGGATTATGCAACGAAATACTATTTTAATAATTTCATTGACGACCTCTCTGTGTTGACATTATAGACGTGAAATATGGCAAACAAAGAAACAAATCAATCATTTTGAAATATGGAAATTTTCATTTATCTTTTCAGTCAACCTCTGCAGTAACCAAGAAGATCGGCTTAAAATCTACAGAGATAACTTTGAGAAAGCATACCTTGAGGCTACAGATGCCTTCTACAAGGCCAAGGCCCCCCAGTACCTGGCGGACAATGGTGTGCAGAACTATATGAAATATGCAGACCAGAAGCTTAAAGAGGAAGAACAAAGGGCTACTAGGTATCTAGAAACAAGGAAGGGGTGTAACTCAGTTATAGCAGTAAGTGGTTACTTTTATATGCTCCCTTAACCTCTGTTCAGTAAGATATTACAATGCAATATTTTTGAGATTTTTTTTTTAATTTTTGGGATTTTAATCCTAAATATTTACATTTACATTTTTTATCACAAATGTCTAGCTTGATATTGTCAGTCACCTCACTCGTTGAGACTTCAGCATTAAAACCTTACAAACTGTTGTTTAACCATTGCTAAACTGATTATGATGAAACACATTTGTTTGTACTTGTTTCAGCTAACGGAGTGCTGTGTCCAATCGCTTGTAACTTCCTATAAAGACACAATACTAGCAGACTGCAGGGGAATGATTAAACAGAACGAAACTGCAAGTAAGTCGCAACTTACATATTTCTATTTTATTAATGAATAAATAGAATTTATATAAATTAAGTAATTTGTGTTGATCATTGAACAGACATCGTGTTAAGGAAATGTCTACTCATTTTTGCATGATCTTAACAAAAGTAATTTGTATACTTGATATAGAATATTTTATATATTCTTAATTTGAACCAGTTCTCGTACTCATAATTGTCTAATTCATAAAATTAGCTTAAATTGCCAGTTTTAATTTGAAAAAAATATTAAATCAATACTGAATAATAATCAATATAAACACATTAAAAAATCAGGTAAAAGTTGAATATGATCATTGTGTCACATGATCATGGATTAACACCTAACTATTTCCACGTGATTTCAATGTGACACTCTATATTTGCAGAGTTAGAGTTAATGTTCTCTCTGATGGACCGGGTACCTGATGGAATTAGCCCTATGCTGGAGTACCTGGCCGACCATATAAAGGAGGATGGCTTGGCAGACATGCACGCTGCTGCTAGTATAATAACTACAGTGAGTTGAAATAGTAATTCTTTGAAATGAAGAGATAAAATTAAGACATTAATAGGAACTTTGTACAGTTAAGCAGCCCTCTAGAATCCATTGTTTTTACCGTGACATCATTATATCATTGGTTGTGTACAATAGATTAGGAATTTTTGTTAACTAAGTATCTGTTAGTGACCGCCTTGAGATCATATTCATGGGTTTCACTTGAATTTCTGCCAACAGACAGATTGAATGAAAATAACAAAAAAATAGTTATGCAATTCCTCAAAACAACTTGCAATTTTGGTAAAAACAATTAGAGAAAATTATCAGCTGCCTAGTGCTAATAAAAGCACTGATTAGGTTTAAGGTATGCAATGTAAATAACATGGTGACCATTTTGCTCTTCAAAGTCTATATGTCTTGTTTCCTGGTTTTCTCGACGTTTACATATTGATATTTTAGGCATTTCACACAAGCATGAAATCATTCGAGACTCACCACCACTTTTGTGTCTTAAAAATGGGATGTAATGGATTAAATCATCCATGACCAGTACATGTACACAACCATTAACACAACCAACACTTAGCTTTATTTTGGGGGACCTTGAAGGCAATCCCCACTGGACTACAACATATACTTCTTATGATTTTAGGACTCAGAGAAATATGTAGAACAGCTACTAGAATTATTCAACAAGTTTAGTTTACTTGTAAAAGATGCTTTCCTTGATGATCCAAGATTCTTGACAGCTAGAGATAAGGTAAATCTAACAATAGGGAACTTTTGATTTTTTTAGATGTTATGAATTTCAGTGTGTAAAAAAACAGGTTAAAAATAAAACCATCATTTTCATAATTTCAGGAAGGAAGTTAAACCATAGGAAAATTAACTTTTTCTTTAACAACTGTCTACTATTGGATTCAATCCCTATCCTCAGTAACCTGCTTATGTGGAACACTTTAAGTACCTCTAAAAGTGCTCCACTGCGAAGGTGTTCATTTAACAGAGGTTCATTTTACATCCTGGGATTCTGAAAGTGTTTCATTTACAGAGGTTTTCCAATTGACAGTTTTACTGTTGTAACACACTGATATATTGTAAATTATTTTTTTGTTTTTAGGCTTATAAACAAGTAGTGAACGACACATCTGTCTTCAGACTTGACCTTCCTGCTAAAAACAAAGGGTGAGTCATGTGACTTGCAGACATATCTCTGGTCAGGTTTATATACTGTATTTTTCTAATGGAAATAAAGAGTTAATAAGAACAAATATGCCTAAGTAGTGTTTTGATTGATTTTTAAAAATATTTATTTTTTAATTAAAGTACAACAACAGTTAATGCTCGATACTTAAATAACTGTATCAGTGTAGAAACATAATAACTTTGAGTAATACATTGATAAAAAAGTTCATTGTATATACTTGTCCATAGCCATTGGTGAGTTGTACATTTTATCATTTCACACTTTCCAGTATTGGTGCTAAGACTCAGCCAGAATCTAAATGTCCAGAGCTGTTGGCAAACTTCTGTGATATGTTGCTACGTAAGACACCCCTCAGTAAGAAACTCACGTCTGAGGAGGTTGAGAAGAAATTACGAGACGTGGTAAGTACATATGTACTGTAGATGTAACATGTGTCGAGTAGAATGTATAATTTGTTTAAATGGGTCCACAGGGTAAAGTCAGGATTTTATAATACCTGGGAGAAATGTGAATTTTGATTGGTCTTTCATCCAAAATCACGTACGTCTAATTTTGATTTAAAATATGATGAACACCTTAAGCTGATCCTAAAAGCAAAGAAACGCCTAGAATTGTTCAAGTATGTAAATAAGGTACTTATCAAATTTACGATGATTTTCAGCTGCTTGTGCTGAAGTATGTTCAGAACAAAGATGTGTTCATGCGATACCACAAAGCTCATCTGACAAGGAGGCTCATTCTAGACACATCAGCGGATAATGAGAAAGAGGAAAATATGGTAGAATGGCTCAGGGTATGTGGATTTAAAATTTAAACGGAGAATCAGATCTAGAGAGCAAGCTAAACAAAAAATTGTTTCTATTTTTCGAATATTTTTGGCTCATATCATTTCTTGCCAAATCTATTTTCTAAAAACCCCCAAAGTGCATATTTTATTTCAGGAAAACTAAAGGTTTTCACAATAATGTATTATTTTACTATAATTGGTTACCATTTTTATTATTTGGGCAAATTGAAACATTTCGCCCATTTTGGCATTTTTAATCCTTCGTAAATTCGCTAAACCAATATTTGCATTACAGGAAGTTGGAATGCCAGCAGACTATGTCAACAAATTAGCGAGAATGTTTCAAGATGTCAAGGTCAGTGAAGATTTGAACGTAGAGTTCAAGGAAGCGACAAGAAATAACAATGAAGAAATTGCAGGTACGCAATTTAAGAGTTTCATGAGAGGTAACTATTATTTTGTTTTTATTTAGCTTTTGCTTCTATTTTAGTTCTGTATCTTAAAGTATATGTTGGTCAGGTATTGATCAGAACAAATGGGCAAAAACTTGCAATGGGCGCATCTGTGTGATCATTGCTACATGGTAAATGCATTCAATGAAGTGCAGAATTGATTTATCTGGAACTGTTTTGAAGACTCGTGTTGTCCTCAAGTGAGCAATAATACCAAAATGAAGGCTCTGTGTCATATTCTACTCAATTAGGTCTTAAGTTGCCGGTAGATTGTGAGAGTCAAAGAGCTTGTTGTGATTTAATAGTCAGGTAATAGAAAGTCTTAATTGGTCCATGCTTTGTTCTGAACTTGAGAGCAGAGAAATCTGAAAGGCTGTGAAGGAATCTGCCTGAGCTACAGGCCACCCCAAACCATCTCTTATTATCACATGTATTTTATTGATTTGCTTATTTTGTAAAAGTACATAGATTTAGCCATCTTCTACAAGTATGTACTTTAGATCTAGTTTTTTGTCCTGTCATTTTTTCTCTATTGTGTAATGAGGGTGAAATAAATCGAAAACAGATTGGCGAATATATGCATATGATTATGACCCTATTTGTTCTATTGGATTGGCCATTATTTCTAGACATTAGCTTCAAGACACAACATTTCGAAATTAAGGAAATGAATCCATTGTTTAAAATGCAAAATACAAATATTTGCAATATTGAATATTCAGATTCAATCAACATAAAGATCTTGAATGCTGGTGCCTGGGCACGGAGTAGTGACCGTGTGGCCGTATCACTCCCTATGGAGCTAGAGGACTATATTCCCCAAGTGGAAGAATTCTACAGGCTCAAACACAGTGGACGCAAACTACAGTGGCACCATCTCATGTCAAATGGCATCGTAAGTGACAGCTTTTGTTTTATCTCATGTTACAATTCGAGGAAAACCGCTTATCCATTCAACTTGAATTTTAACAGATGCAAGAACAGACTTACTATAAGGGCTAAGATCTGATAAGGTTTTTGGCATGCTAAGTAAACTTAAATTACATGGCAGCCTTTTTGCTTTTCAAAGTGGGATATTTATCACTTTGTGACATGTTTATTGTAAAATATAATGAATCACCATGTAAGATGCTGTATGCTTATTGTTCAATATGCAGGGTTCTCACTAGGCTTTTAGACTCCGGAGGTTCTCCGGAGACCCTCTTGCTCCAGAGTCTAATAGCTTTTCCAGAGTCTAAAGTGCTTTTTCCGGAGTCTAATTTTACATTTTTGTCACATTATTTGCGGTAAAACTCTTGAGAAAATACATAAAACTGCATACAAACAAGGAATACAAAGTCAGAAACCTTTTAGAAATGTATTAAATTGTGATTAAAATAGGAAGATAATCTTAAGTAGTATTCTAAGAGGATATCTCTGATCTCACATCGGGGAGTAGTAGTCGCGATACCGCGAAAAATCCAGGGTGTAAAAAATTCCTAGTGAGAACCTGATGTAGTAGGTAATCATCTTTTTGTAAATCAATTTTTTCATTATTTCTTTTCAGGTGACATTTGTTAATGACATTGGTAAATTTGACATAGAGGTTACAACTTTTCAAATGGCAGTGTTATTTGCATGGAATCAAAGGCGGAGAGATAAGATATCTTACGAAAATCTACGTCTTGCCACTGAACTTCCCGATGCAGAGCTTAGGCGCACTCTAGGGGTAAACATAATATTGAACATAACTGTTGTTGAAATGAGAATGTCATTGTATGTACATCCCCCAATCTGCACTCTGAAAATCATTGTACTGTATGGTACATTAAGAGTATGGTGCCATATAGTGTTCACAATATCATAGGGTACTGTTCTTGTCTGGGAGAAACTGGGAGAGTCCGTATGATACCATATTTTACAGTACCATAGCCAAAATGGTACCATACGGTCGGAGATTGCCTGTGATTAATTGTATGTCCCTTATATGAATGGCAGTAAAGACTTACGGTGCAAACAATATAAAAAAAACATTGATTTTGGATATGAATCAGTAGATGAGATTATGTATTGCTGAGCTAGTAAAATCCGTAGTAAGATGAACACATTAGCAATCTTTGTTGCCTATTTTGACCTCTTAAAGAGTACACAATTATATGTAAACAGGGTTATCAAATCTCACAATTATAAGTCTTTACCAAGAAGACAGTATGTATGAGGCATTATATATACGATATATGTGGATTAAGTATAAAGCTCTAAAATGACATGATTTTTCTATTGCAGTCTCTCATTGCATTTCCGAAGATAAAGCGCCAGATCTTGAAGTGCCCACCTGACACAAGGTCCCCAAAGGACTTCCATGACAGCACGTTATTTTGGGTCAATCAGGAGTTTGCTCTCATGTATGTTATTCTCTTCAGTAACATGAAACCTTTGTTTCCAAGAATATCTCCCATTAATTTACATGTTTATAAAATCTTGAAATGTGAACAGCTGTTAATCTGTCATCCTGTCTTTGACTTTATTTCCCCATGTGATTATAATGGCAAAATTCAAAAAGACAATCAAGTTAAATGAATCATAATAGACATTACAATATATTTGAGAATGTGCAATTACACAATACCTTTTTTGAATATTATTTTTCCAATCTCTACTGTTATAAAATGTGCATTGTTTTATGAGTTAATATTTAAGCTGTCACTGCTGTAAAGGTGATTGGGAAATAAATGTAGATGGTATTTTATGGTAAATTCTAATATTTTTTCAATAATTTAACATCTATTAAAAGTTGAATTATCATTTTTCAGAAAAAATGGTAAGGTGCAGAAAAGAGGTAAGATCAATCTGATTGGTCGGTTACAGCTGTCTACAGAGCGCAGCAAGGAAGAAGATAACGAGGGTATCGTCCAGCTCAGGATTCTTAGAGTACAGGTTAGTACATGTACATTTTACAGTAGAACAATCATCCAATCTATGTAAAGTACACATGTCTTTCATAAACTGGTGTTTTTAGCTTTTGAAATCAAGAATCAAGTAGCTTTTGAAATCTAGAAAAATCAGTAGATCTATACACTGATTTTGTTAGATTATTACATGAACATCAATCTATACACTGATTTTGTTAGATTATTACATGAACATCATTTACAGAACAAGAATCCAAATTATACAATATGACACTTCAATATAGTTCACACATTTAACACAATTGTGTATTTAGCTTTTGAAATAAACACAAAATTTGGTCAAAAGAACTATTGTTGAAAGATTTTAGTTATGATTGATATAACTTTTTTTGTGGACAGTGTTTGGCATTCAGGAGTTGGTGTTTAATGTCTGTAACAAATGACAGGTGGTTACATTTTGCACATTAATTCCCTTTTTATTTTCAGGAGGCTATAGTAAAAATCATGAAAATGCGCAAGAGAATCAGCAATGCAGCTTTACAGACTGAACTAGTTGAAATACTAAAAAATATGTTCCATCCAACAAAGAAAATGATAAAGGAACAGATAGAATGGTTGATAGAACATAAATACATGAAGAGAGATGAGGACAATATCAACATGTTCATATACATGGCTTAAAGTGAATCAGTTAATATCTCAGAGATGAATCGTTGGCTATCTCCAAGATAGATCCATCTAATACATGGATCTATGGATCTATTTCTTCAGTGGATCTCTTCTAGTTGGATCAGTGAATATCTCCTAGATAGATCCATGGATATCTTATAGATGGATATTGTTGATAAATCTCAGTGGATCTCTTCTAGTTGGATCTGTGAATATATCCTAGCTAAATGAGCTAGATCCATGGATATCTTCATCTATGGATCTGTGGATACATCTAAGATGAATCCATGGATTATATCCATTAAATTGGCCTGAGGATTTCTGCAATATGGATGTCATCCTAGATTGATGAATGAGTGTACAGTTTAGACTATCCGAGTTGATGTATGCTAGGTGAATCTGTGGATATTATCATCGAGAAACTTTACACAAGAATCAGTCAATATCGATGGGTTACCTCATTGATGTTTGATCAATTGATTTTTTTCAAAGATGAATCAATGGATATAATTCAATTGGATCCATGGATTATTTAAAGATGGATCATTTGATATCCCAAAGTGGTGTAAAATACTTTTATCAAGGTTTTTGAACAACTAATGGTGCATTAAACTATTTTTTTCTCATGTGAAAAGAGACACACTTAACTCTGCTTCCCAGGATTTTTGTGGGTGCAAATGGGTTTTTATGTGGGTGCAAATGGGTTTTTATGTGGGTGCAAATGGGTTCTTATGTGGGTGCAATTGGGTTTATGTGGGTGCAAATGGGTTCTTATGTGGGTGCAAATGGGTTCTTATGTGGGTGCAAATGGGTTTTTATGTGGGAACAAACCTGCTTCCAAATTTTCAACCACTACCTTTCAATAACATCTTCTGTCATCTAACCTTTTCATAGAGTACATTATTGAAGGAATTTCACCAAAACTGCATGAATTTATCATTAGTTAACTTTGAACTGTTCTAATCCACTTTCAATTTGTTCATTTTAGTATTTATTTTTGGAGTGTAACTCCGTAGCTCAAGCTGAGATTAAGATTCATAGTATGTATGTGTCATTTATAGCAATGCTGACTATATTAGAAACAATGATTTGAGTTAAATAAAGCAGGTGTTTTAGAAAGCCCATGTTATATATTTTTCAGTCATGTATTCGAAATAATTAATAATTATAATTAATAATTGTGAATCAAGTTTCATTGACTCGACATATATTGTTGAATTAAAATGTATGTAATAATAATTCCTGTTTTTGGAGTCCAATGTTATTGTATTTATTACTGATTTTGTTCATTGCTCAAATTAAACTGATTGATGTAGAAAATAAGATTGAAACCAGTTGGTTTTCTTCTCACTTCTAGTCTAAATTGAAAGTTAAGATTCTGTCCAATGTCTTGTTCATAATATCATCATTTTATTAATGTGCCAAACCCAACAAAAGTATAATTTTGGAATTTAGACTAATATACATCACCTCACCTAACCCTTGATGTGGATAAATAACTGTATGGTGTGTGGAGCCAATGGAATCTGAGAATAGATTTTAAAGTATTTTGCTAGGAGACTAAACTAATATTGAAAGGTTGAATTTAGATTATTAGGAAATTGACTATCATTGAAATTTCTTGGCCAAGTCACTCATTATACAGAGACTAATTTTATTAGGCCTTATATTCAGGATTCAGATTTGCAGTATGTAAGATTATTTATAGCATTATAGTTCTGAAAATAGTTGACAATCGTAGTTAACTGATATTGTTAGTAAATCCTTCCAGAGACAATTTTTGTGTGCAACAGAAGTTTGAAGTTTGAAATTGAGTTGCTGTGTAAGGTAAATAGAATTGTTAGTCAGTAAAGTTGTCTTGCATTCATATTAAGTTATACTAATTGAAGGGTCTTTATGAATAGTTATTCTAGGGTTTGTAACTTCCGATTCCGAGAAAACCTGTCGATGAACAATAACTTGCGACAAATTCGTAAGTTATGACAGTGTTGAAAACGAACCCCTCAATCATATTAAATGGAATAGGTTCAAGGTTTTAACATTTTTTCTAACTGGAAAAAATGCATATGGTTCAGAAAGACTTAAGTACTCATGTATAAGAACTAAAAATAAATGTTGTATATTTTTGTTTTAAATAATGTTGTCCTGAATTGCTTGTAAATTATTATTAAACTTTCAGTTTGCTTTATATGTAATCTCCAAACAAACATGCGATGAGCCTCACTTTGGAAAACCCATTCAGTCCATTTATCAAATTTATTGGTCACTCATTATGAGATGGGCAAATAAATTTATGATTCAGTGCTTTAGGAAGTATAGATTTTATCCACATTCTGTACAGTGTCAGTGTATTATGTACTTGTACCAATACAGTGAGTACCGTATAGAAAAGCCATCTACAGTTTTACATTTACAAGTATCACTTATCTTGTATGGTTTAATCTTTTTGATAAAATGAGAAGCTCAAGTTGTATTGTGACATAATGGTATAATCATTTCAAATCCTTCTCTGTAGATTGTCCAGGGTGCGTTGAACATGACATAGGGATTTTAATTTGAGTGAAGACCTCTCCAATAATGCCTGACCTCTTTAGGTAAACCAAACACACTGCAGTGGTGCATATTGGCTAGATAGTATACAATATGATGTCATACTTTGCAGGTACCATTGTAGGTACCAAAATTGAAAGGTTTTGAGCATGCATCCTCGCACGCTCGGTCTTCATTGCTTTCAACAGGAGCTGTGTGAACGAAGATGTGAGCATGCCTGTTATCCTATTTCTGCTCTGTAATGGAGCTGTCACAATAGGCAGGAAGGGCTCACTGTTTGCCACTGTATGAATACTTTGGGTCAGACTGCATCACACAGTGGGCAAAACAAATATTTTTACTGCAAAATATCCCCCCTCACACCAAAAACAACAAATTGATAATTGAAAAATTAACGCCCAAAATTATTCACATGGCGCCGAATGGTAAGCCAACACTGCTAATGTCACAGCTACTTAACCTGTTTAAGAAAGACATCATAACCATGATTTACTGGATAGTTCTCATGAATTAAAAGTGTGGCTTATGACATTCTTGAACATTTTATTCAGAGTAACAAGAATTGTTTTAATCTATCAATTCTTGCTTATCTTTCCTTGTTCATTCACCCTCTCTCAAAATCTGAAGGATTGCAAGTGTGGCATATGTCACTATATCTTCAGACTAGTGTGACATATGAGTTTGAATGTCACCATATTACCGTGTATGTATTGTAATATAAACTAATGCTTTGTAACTATGTGTACATAATGAGAAAATAAAATAAAAAACACCTGAATATTATATCTCTGCCTTCTCTATTTGGATTATATTTTACAATAATTTACAACACAATCAACATGTACATCCTATATCACATATTCGACAATGATATGTCACCACTTGTGGTGGTGACATAATAAAACCTGTCAAGTTGAACACCTTTATAAGTGGAACACTTTTGTAAGATGAACACTTCAGAGTCCCATGAACCATTGATTATTAATTTATTAGGGGGGAACCAAGGGTGTTCAACTTGCACAAGTTTCAAAATATTGGTGATACATAGATCCCCCATGAATAAAACTGCAGATTTTTAGTATCTTTGCAATGGAGGTTCCAATGATTTATTTTAGTGTGTTGAAACTAAAAAACAAGTTGAATCTGACTTCCAGGGTGATCTAGAAGTAGCCTTCAAGCCAAATATATTCATGTGATATCACATGATTTTGTGTAATACCATTTTCAGAGTTTAGACGAGTATTGGCACAAGGGAGTATAGTGAACTCTTGTTGATGTTGATTGCAAGAAGCTGTTAAGAATGAAAACAAGGATCCAATGATTATTTCCAAATCGTTGACCATCCTCGCCGATAACCATGTATATGGTTGCGATACCAATGCCATTCAGTTAATGTTTGAAAACAAATCCAGATGCAGTAGGAATAACCGAAAACATAACAAGACACACAGTGATAAATATCGCACTTTGAAGAGCAAACTGGCCAGCATGCAATTTACCCAGCATGGCCAAAACCTAATCAGACCTTGGCACTAGTCTGCTCTTGCATCTGTAAACATTTCAAGTTGACAAGGTTAGCGGTTTTCCTGCAATTTTGATGACAAGAATTTATTTGTAGTCTTGAACTTTGGGAAAATTTAGATAACATTGTTTGTGACCTAATTTGATGACCTTCGACCTTGAAAATTTCACTTTTTCAGACCTCAGTAGGTCTTTTGTAATTAGCTGACCTAAATTTAAATCCAAAATATCAATTTAGAAAATCAAATTTTTGACCTTTTCAAGGCCACTGAAGGTCAACGAAAGGTCAAATCTGAAATCTAAGGTCAGATTTGAACTTCTGAGAACTTGTAGATGTTTTTAAAAAAAAAATTTGGTCAATTTGGAGCAAGTTGAAAAATTCAAAATGGCCGCCAAATTGAAAAATTCAAAATGGCCACCATGTAATTCAGCCAGCATACCCAAAACCTAATCAGATCTTGGCAATAGTCTGTTCTTGCATCTGTAAAAATTTCAAGTTGAACGGATAAGTGGTTTTCCTGGAATTTTGATGACAAGATTTGTTGAAAAATTCAAAATGGCCACCACGTAGTTTACCCAGCATGCCCTTAACCTAATCAGATCTTGGCACTAGTCTGCTATTGCATGTGTAAAAATTTCAAGTTGAACAGGTTAGCGGGTTTCTTGGAATTTTGATGACAAGAATTGATTTGTAGTCTCAAACTTTGAGAAACTTGGATAACATCATTTGTGACCTAGTTTAATGACCTTGACTTTCGACCTTGAAAATTTCACTTTTTCAGACCTCAGTAGGTGTTTTGTAATTAAGCTGACCTAAATTTAAATCCAAAATATCAATTTAGAAAATCAACTTTTTTGACCTTTTCAAGGTCACTGAAGGTGAAGGAAAGGTCAAATCTGAAATCTAAGGTCAAATTTGAACTTCTGATAACTTGTAGATGTTTTTAAAAAAAAAATTTGGTCAATTTGGAGCAAGTTAAAAAATTCAAAATGGCCGCCAAATTGAAAAATTCAAAATGGCCACCATGTAATTCAGCCAGCATACCCAAAACCTAATCAGATCTTGGCAATAGTCTGCTCTTGCATCTGTAAAAATTTCAAGTTGAACGGATAAGTGGTTTTCCTGGAATTTTGATGACAAGTTTTGTTGAAAAATTCAAAATGGCCGCCACATAGTTTACCCAGCATGCCCTTAACCTAATCAGATCTTGGTACTAGTCTGCTCTTGCATCTGTAAAAATTTCAAGTTGAACAGGTAAGCAGTTATCCTGGAAATTTGATGACAAGATTTGGTTTATGTCCCGCCCGCCCGCACGCCCAAACGCCCGCCCAACAGCACAAGACGACGACAATATAGCACTTTTTCAAAGTGCGATAAAAAAAAGACACACAGTGATAAATATCGCACTTTGAAGAGCAAACTGGCCACCATGCAATTTACCCAGCATGGCCAAAACCTAATCAGACCTTGGCACTAGTCTGCTCTTGCATCTGTAAACATTTCAAGTTGACAAGGTTAGCGGTTTTCCTGCAATTTTGATGACAAGAATTTATTTGTAGTCTTGAACTTTGGGAAAATTTAGATAACATTGTTTGTGACCTAATTTGATGACCTTCGACCTTGAAAATTTCACTTTTTCAGACCTCAGTAGGTCTTTTGTAATTAGCTGACCTAAATTTAAATCTAAAATATCAATTTAGAAAATCAAATTTTTGACCTTTTCAAGGCCACTGAAGGTCAACGAAAGGTCAAATCTGAAATCTAAGGTCAGATTTGAACTTCTGAGAACTTGTAGATGTTTTTTTTAAAAAAATTTGGTCAATTTGGAGCAAGTTGAAAAATTCAAAATGGCCGCCAAATTGAAAAATTCAAAATGGCCACCATGTAATTCAGCCAGCATACCCAAAACCTAATCAGATCTTGGCAATAGTCTGTTCTTGCATCTGTAAAAATTTCAAGTTGAACGGATAAGTGGTTTTCCTGGAATTTGATGACAAGATTTGTTGAAAAATTCAAAATGGCCACCACGTAGTTTACCCAGCATGCCCTTAACCTAATCAGATCTTGGCACTAGTCTGCTATTGCATGTGTAAAAATTTCAAGTTGAACAGGTTAGCGGTTTTCTTGGAATTTTGATGACAAGAATTGATTTGTAGTCTCAAACTTTGAGAAACTTGGATAACATCATTTGTGACCTAGTTTAATGACCTTGACTTTCGACCATGAAAATTTCACTTTTTCAGACCTCAGTAGGTGTTTTGTAATTAAGCTGACCTAAATTTAAATCCAAAATATCAATTTAGAAAATCAACTTTTTTGACCTTTTCAAGGTCACTGAAGGTGAATGAAAGGTCAAATCTGAAATCTAAGGTCAGATTTGAACTTCTGAGAACTTGTAGATGTTTTTTAAAAAAAAATTTGGTCAATTTGGAGCAAGTTGAAAAATTCAAAATGGCCGCCAAATTCAAAAATTCAAAATGGCCACCATGTAATTCAGCTAGCATACCCAAAACCTAATCAGATCTTGGCAATAGTCTGCTCTTGCATCTGTAAAAATTTGAAGTTAAACGGATAAGTGGTTTTCCTGGAATTTTGATGACAAGATTTGTTGAAAAATTCAAAATGGCCGCCACATAGTTTACCCAGCATGCCCTTAACCTAATCAGATCTTGGTACTAGTCTGCTGTTGCATCTGTAAAAATTTCAAGTTGAACAGGTAAGCAGTTATCCTGGAAATTTGATGACAAGATTTGGTTTATGTCCCGCCCGCCCGCACGCCCGCACGCCCAAACGCCCAAACGCCCGCTCAACAGCACAAGACGACGACAATATAGCACTTTTTCAAAGTGCGATAATAACACATCATTTGTATTAACAATATCAACAGAGGATATCCCATGATTATGCAAATATATAAGGGTTATGTACTGGGAGGTTTTGGATATGGGGTTTATCCAGAGGGAGATATGCATATCTACCTGAGGGACCGTAGGGACCGAAGGTAGATGTGCATATCTCACGAGGGATGAACCCAATATCCAAACCAACCGTACATAACTGCTTTATCCTATACCAAGTAGAGTTTTCAGGGGCATATGGCCATTTCAATAGTACAAGGTGTAAAAATAAACAAATCATTCATATGCAAAGTCATTTTATTGCATTTCCACTACTTACCGGAAGCGGGAAGATATGCACCAAAGCGGGAGATATGGGGGGAGATATGGAGGTTCTGGATATGGAAACCTCAAAATCAGGATACGGGATATATCTTACCAACTTATCTCCCTAAAACTCTACTTGGCATAGGATAAGAAACACTATTTTGAGGGGTCACAGGTATTCCACTTCCACATTCGTATATTACTGTATCACCAACGTGAACTATTCTGGAAATCCATATTTTCTGAATCATTTGTCCACAAGGCAGATATGTAGAAAATTGTCAGGGTAACTAAAATGTTCACTCAACCACAGTAAGGTTGTTTCCATAGGAGGAGTAATACCTTGTACCAAAACCCTCTGTTTCGCTTCTGAAAGAACATAATACATTGTGATATTATTATATAATACAGTAAAACTTGTAATCCACCATTTGGGGTGCAGGTAATCACATTTTGATTTTTTTAAACATAGAAGTCTATTGCATATTAAACAAGGCACAGGACGTGAACGAGATCACACCATCAAATAGGCAGACACTATGAACCAGGAAAACTGTTCTCCTATTATGTTTACAAATTTCAAGAACAAGAAAACAAGATGGCCGCCCAAAAGTTAATCAGCTCTAGTACTTGATATCCTCTATCATTTGTGTAAATTTGAAGGAAATCCGATGAGCGGTTTTCCTGAAATGGCGATGACAAGATTTTTCGAAAAATCTTCAAAATGGCTGCCAGAAAACAAGATGGCCACCCAAAAGTTAATCAGCTCTAGTACTTGATATCCTCTATCATTTGTGTAAATTTGAAGGAAATCCGATGAGCGGTTTTCCTAAAATGGCGATGACAAGATTTTTTCGAAAAACCTTCAAAATGGCCACCAGAAAACAAGATGGCCACCCAAAAGTTAATCAGCTCTAGTACTTGATATCCTCTATCATGTGTGTAAATTTGAAGGAAATCCGATGAGCAAATTTTCGGAAATGGCGATGACAATTTTTTTCGAAAAACAAGATGGCCGCCCAAAAGTTAATCAGCTCTAGTACTTGATATCCTCTATCATGTGTGTAAATTTGAACGAAATCCGATGAGCGGATTTTCTGAAATGGCGATGACAAGATTTTTCGAAAAATCTTCAAAATGGCTGCCAGAAAACAAGATGGCCGCCCAAAAGTTAATCAGCTCTAGTACTTGATATCCTCTATCATTTGTGAAAATTTGAAGGAAATCCAATGAGCGGTTTTCCTGAAATGGCGATGACAAGATTTTTCGAAAAACCTTCAACATGGCCGCCAGAAAACAAGATGGCCACCCAAAAGTTAATCAGCTCTAGTACTTCATATGCTCTATCATCTCTGCGAATTTGGAGAAAATCTGATGAGCAGGCGATGACAAAAAGCGGGACGATCACGATCACGACCACGATCACAACCACGATCAAGACCACGACCAGTATGACGACTATATCCCACCGATGGTGTGATAAAAAATGGGTCTGAAAAAAAGAATTCACATTGAGAATAAGGATTATGTTATTATGTAGTTGTTTGACATATCATATAGGGTGGGCCAAAAAAACCAATACCCAAGTTTAAAGATGAATAATTCATTTGATATATGTTAAGCCATGCCATATATTAAATATCATGTTGAAGATAAAACAATTCCTAACAAAATGACACCGTCCAATAGAAAAACCTTTGTGTTCTCGAGGAGATAGAAACTAAAATTGACACCAGGGGTGCTGTAAGTGGCCAAGAATCAAAAAAAATGAAAATTCCCAAATTTCCATCCATATTGCAGTCACAGCTGCACTCAATATGCTTGACTGAATCATCATAAATTTATTAAGAGTAATACACAATTGATAATTTATTAAAAATATAGAAGTATTATTGCTGAATTTTGCACTATACTTGTATAAATGTACCTCTTTTGAGGATGCCAAAGTTCAAATTTCCCTCCATTTTTCACAATTTGGAAATCTGCAGTGAATAAATTTTTGGTCGCTCATGACACCCCTGGTGCCAATTTTAGCCTCTAACTCCACAAGGAAATAACAGTTTTTCAATCAGATGGTGTCATATTGTTAGGAAATGATTTATATTTAAAATTATATATAATACGAGTACATGGCATGGTTTAACATTATATCATATGAGATTCATCCTTAAACTTGGATATTGGTTTTTTGGCCCACCCTGTATGTAGATTCTGCTATAGTTTTAAACATAAACATGGACTTGATTAGTGCAATAGGGTTATAGGTCGTGACACACATATTCAAGGAGAATCTGAAATGCCTTATTAAACATAAGATAAAACAGGCATTAACATGACAAAATGTCACCACCTAGTTGCTTACAATATTGTTAGTTCAATCTTAAGTCAGATTTGAATTTCTGAGAACTTGTAGATAATTTGGAAAAAAATTGATACATTTGAAGCAAGTTGAAAAATACCTCTTTTGACCCTGAGAATGTCATTGAAGGTGAAAATCAAATGGTTTGAACTTCTGGGAACTTGTACATGATTATGAAAAAAAGAATTGGTCAATTTGAAGCAAGTTGAAAAAAAGACCTTTTTGACCTTGAGAAGGTCATTGAAGGTCAAATATTTTCATGACCTTGAGAATTTCATTGAAGGCTCAAATCTATAGTCAGATTTGAACTTTTGAGAACTTTTAGATGATTTTGAAAAAATAATTGGTCAATTTGAAGCAAGTTATAATATCTTTTTGACCTTTTTTGACTTTGACGAGGTCAATGAAGGTCAAACCTCAAATCTTAAGTCAGAATTGATCTTCTGATAACTTGTACATGATTTTGAAAAAATTGGTCAATTTGAAGCAAGTGAACTTCTGAAAACTTGTAGATGAAGTCAGTCTCAACAGTAGTTTTTAAGTTATTGGAAGTTTTAAGAATTTGTTGCATACGCCACCCGCCGATCACCAACCACCAAACACTGATCGCCAACCACCAACCATCGTCACAAAAAAACGAGGACCATTACAATATGTCACCACTGCTTGGTGTTGACATAAAAATTGGAAAAACATGATTTTAATTGATCCAACTGTACTAAGCATTTTACTTTTCAAAAAATTAATAGCAATTTTAAAAAATAAAATCATTGCTGAAAAATTAAGAATTGTGACTTTTACAAAATCAGCAAATTTCAACAAACATCTTTCTTGGATATGAATCAAAATAAAGCACTACCCATGTAACAATTCATCAGACAATGTTCAATGTACTGTACCTTCATCATGACTAGCTATATCTAACTGTATAAGAAGGTCATGCAAGGTCATATGTTGACCCGTATCTTTCATGGGTTTCACAAGCTTTTGTAAGTACACCTTATCCTGACGGTGAATCCTATATGGGACATACTTGAATGTGTCATCATTGCTTCCTTCCATCAACTTCTTATTAATGCCCCAGAACAGGTCAAAACGATCTAAATTAAGATAAATTAAGAAAAACAGAAATGTGATTAGCCTTTTATATGGGATCATATTTTAAATGTGTGGTCATATATGTTTAAGTTATGAATCTATAATAGAAGCCCAAGAACTAGCCTTGCCCAAGTCGGTCTCTTTTACTTATCTTGATTTCTATTATGACCGGCGGTAATAATTCAAGATCAGATAAGTAAAAAAATACCGACTTGGGCAAGGCTACCCAAGAACTTTAATAAAGAAATAAATTTGTAGATACAGTAAAACCTATGAGGAGGTACTCAAAGGGATTCTTAAATGACAAAGTGGAACATTTCAGAGTGCTTTTCTTGACCTTATTTTGTTGTCAATCTTCTTCAAAGTGGAACAGCTTGTACAGGTACATGTTTTTAACCTCTGTTTCGTACGTGACATACCATTCTGTAGGCCAGTCCAGAGTTGTCTATGGTCTTTCTTCTGTAGGTTATTGATGACTTGGGACTTGTGTTTGAGGGCATCAGCCTCCTTAACTGTAGACATAAAGTGGGACTCTACCGCTGATTTGCTAGGGCAATGTAATATCTCCTCCTCAGGAAAATTCTGAAAATGCATGGTTTTTACACATTGCATTTTATGAATCGAAGTAATAGAATTTAATTTATATAATTTTGTTAGGGAGATCACATGTTTGACACTGCTTATAACATCTAGCAAGCTAGCCAAACATGAAATGTGGGAAAGTGAAACATCAAAGCAAGCCATGTATTATCAAAATAGACAATAACCATGTATGGTCTTCATTTTCTCTGATTGGTCAAAGGTGACAATGTATGACTTGTACAATTCTAGATCAGTAACTGCCATAAAGCTACTAAAATTTATTGATGGTATTTTTCAAAAGTACTGATATTTGATAAATCTAATATTATTTGAATATTATACTCCCAGATACTCTCTGCAGAGGTATATATATTTTTATCCCATACTTGGACGTGTTACGGGTACATAAAGCTGGTTTGTAAAAACTTATATTTTCATCAGCGGGCAGATATAGCTTTACGTCCCGCTCCGAGCGGGCAGATATAGTATATCTGCCCGCTACGTCATAATCGCCGCTCGCATATTTGTTCTTAATTTGTTACTGTAAACGACAATGGAGAAAACACAGACAATCCGGATCTGCTTGATGGTTTAAAAAAGGGAAAGAGCATCCACTTAATCAATCAAAAATTCGAGAAAATAAATGTGGGAATATTTGAGAGAACAGGAAAATCTGCCCACGGCCAAGAAAACAAAACTGGACATGAATATTCTAAAATATTTCCACGATTGAACAATGTGAACCAGATGACCAAGATTGGTATGGGATAAACATATTATCCTATAGTCGGTTCAGGATATTGGAATTATCCCTTGGCCAATATAATATATTTTCCCTCGGGACCTGCGGCCCTCGGGCAAATATATTATATTAGCCTCGGGATAATCCCAATATCCTGAACCTCATATAGGATAATCTCTATATATTCATGTTTACCTGAAAATGTACAGTTATATTCCATGGCAGCAGGGTGTCTGTGTTAAACATATCAAATAATACACCAATTGGGTAGTGCCTGGAAGTATACAATAAAACAACATAAGCAATCTGCCTTAAACACATGACTATCAACATCAAATACAGGGTGTCAAAAACAACAGGACCCTCCACTTACCTTCCCAAACCCTACTGAGCAAAAATGACTTCATTAAGCTTGCCAGAACATTTCCAAATCCAAATTTTCTGACTTAGTTTCCTTGCTTTTGCTTAAAATTATTTAAAGATCACTGGATCAAAAAATGCATTCTTGTTCCCTGTTCTTCTCTTCACCATGGCAACCTCAGATTTGTCGTAAAATTAAAGAGAATTTCTGGTATTACATGTACTAGATTTGTCGTAAAATTAAAGAGTATTTCTGGTATTACTACAAAATATTATTTTGCAGATTTTAACATATAAAAATCAATCAATCTACATAAAAAGTACATTAATTCATAATATAGAGTGTCCATAAAGTCTCACAATACAGAGTCTGTATTCAGTAAAAAGAGATTTTATGGACACCTTGTATTTACCATTTTAGTGGTTTGCCTTCATACTCCAGCCATATTTCAGTGCTTTGTTCTTGTATCCCTGGTTCAATGTGTTTTATAAAGTGACGCTGTACTTTATCCGTTATTAGAGGAAAGTAGGTCTGTCTTGGTGCAAGTATCTAGAAGCATCATATAAAAAAGTCAGTTTAAAACATCATTGAATCAAAGATTTTTTAACACAGGATTTAGGAATGTACAGCATTGAATCAAACAGTACCTAGTAGATCCTGTTGTAAACCATTCATTTCACAAGATATAACATATCGGATTTGAACATTTCATCATCAAAGTTGGAAAAATACTGGACCTGATTGAGAAGTCCTGGAAAAAATCTTCTTGTATAAACATAACCTTCAATGTCCTTTAAGATTTAACATTTTTACAAAACCAATGTCCATATATATGGTAACTGGTGAGCTTTCATACATTTATACATTACCCTACAAATTCACATAAATAAATAAATAAAATAAAAATAAATAAACATACATGTAGATAACAAGCTAATTCTCATACACATGTACTTACATAATAAGGTTCAGGTTGGTCCATTGTGTATAATTCATCCATTGACAGGTTGAAGCAAACTGGTAGTTTTCCCTCCCAGATCTCCTTCAGAATTTCCCGATCTTCAGCCATGGTGCTTTATCTTATCAATGAACCATCTGCAAAGCTAAAAAAAATAAACTGACTATGAGCTTGTAGTTATAATAGAAGGTTGGCACTTGAGATCTCATATATAACAGGAATATTTAGTCTTGATTCAAATAGAGGCTTTGCTGTATAGAAAAATCTCAATGAAGTCTTGTTTTCAATGAGATGTCAAAAGATTTGCTTGTTTAGCCATTGATTTGAATTCTGTGTATATTTCTGCTAGAACTTTGATTTTCACAATTATTTTCTTGTGTTCAATTTAGCGCATGAATTTTCAAATGCTATGTAAAGCTTTAAATCTTAAATCTAAATTTTAAGCCTCACTATCAAATTAACAGTTTTTAAAATAGACAGTGCCTAAAATAATGACAAATAATTTTCAAGGGTATTTTTCTGTGGTAAAAATCAAAGGCATTAATCTCAGCTTATAGCCTATATCTCAATCTGTCTAAAATTTACAGTGAATTGCACTTTGTTTTGAATCTACCCTGGGGATTCTCCTCATTCCTTTCTCTAAGATGGTCAATATAAATCAAAATTGTGTCAGCATACCTCCTATAGATTGACTAAAGATTCCACAAAGATCCCGCATTTTGGCAAACAATTCTAATAGTTGACAAATATAGACTAGTCAAGATTGTATCCTTATCATTGTTTTAATAAATATGCCTTCAATTTGATCAATAATTGACAAAAAAAAGAGAATATCTTTCAAAACAATCTTGCAGGATAGTTTTTGAACTTCCAGGTTGATAATTCAAAGGTAAATTCAAATTGAGAACTTGCCTGTGATTCAATAAAATAGCGAAATGTAAGTGTCAGATCGGTCCAAACTCCAAAGATAACTTATGGCAAATGGACACTATATTACATGACTGTCAATGTGTATTGTTGGCAAATATACTAACAATTCACCACGGCCATACAAGTAAATATGGGGCCAAAATGCTAATTGCCAGGCAAGTTGGTTTCAACTAAACAATCATATTACGAAATATGGTTTGCGACTTAGGGCGTGATCAAATAGCTAGTATAAATGTGCGATTCATTGTTCAAGCAAAAAATCTTTCTGAAAGTGGGGTTCGTTCGCAGCCTGGGGTTCATTGATCTTTCAGAAAACAGGTTGTTCCCAGTCAGGGCTCAATGTATAACGAAAGGAGTTTCAAAGCGAGTGAGGGGGTTCTCATGAACCAGATGAATCTACGCCATGCATCTTTCTTCACAATACACGGCATTGAACTGTTTTTGAAAATAGTGATCTTGGATTTTTTTCATAAATTATGTTGATCAACTTGAGAGAGGATCAGGTACAATCTGATTAGGGTTTGCCAAAATCAAAATGCAGTTGACCATGGGCATCCAATAGAGGACTGACACTTTCTGAGTGACAGTGAGTGAGCAGAGGGGGAGAAACACCAGGGTTCAAAGATGACATACGCTTATAATGTAAATCTGTATTGAGATGACATTGTCGCTGATTGGTCAAAAGTCGACAAACAAATGACGTCATCGATGGCGGTTTCAAAATTTTCGAAATACGCTTCGAATAATATTATGTTCATTTCTGGCGTGTTAAGCAATATCATAGCTTCTCATTTTACAACAAGATAAAGCAAGGTGTACGGAATATGCCTATGTCAATTAAAACATCCCATCGAAGTGTAGTATTTGATAACTAGCCGATGAAAATTCGAACGAACGAAGGTGGTAAGCAAGAGAGGTAATTATGTCTGTCATCTTTAAACTCTGGGACTTTCCCTCCTCTTGTGAGTGAGTGTTCTGTTTGTGAAAATTATTTAATTTTTGCTTTCACAATTTATAAAGATTTTGCAATAATCCAAAAGCAGAAACATAAATACCGGGAAGTTTGTAATAACGTGCTATGTTTAAAACAAATGTATACTTACGATATTGTTCGTTTATTCCTTATTCTGTCAATAAAGCCAGGAAGGAATATTGGGAAGGAAGTTTATTTTGAGTTTCTTATCAAGAACATTCAAACCGCTCTAGCGAAATCTGACGTCACGTGATCAGGCCTCATTCTGAAATAAAAATTAAAAACACAGAAAGTATCGAGTGAAATTATTAGCAACTATCTTGAGTTTGGAGGCTCAAATATGGATTAATCCAAAGGCAAGATGTATCGAATAACACCACATATAAGTCCAGAAATGTATGGGATGTAAAACTCAATGAGATTAAAGTTTGGAACTAATTTATAGCACCTGCATTTTCTGGGTTGTGTTGACACAGGCTCACTGATTTTCCAACTCACATTTACACATTCCATCAAAATCTAGAGGTCTCTAGATTGTTAATTATATAACACCATGTAATATGATGCTCGTATCACTTTGATCAACATTTTACACAAGAGAACTATGGATACCACAAAGAGATTATGTGTATTTTTGCTTGGAATTATTCAGGTAAGTCGACCTACTCGGCTACCAGGCTTCAGAACATTCTAATTTTATGATTGGGTGTCCGATTAGGGAATTCACTATTCCCCTGCATGAATTTTTGAGGGTATCATTATCACCCGTAATGATATGAGTAACCTTATTATTTGAAAAATACTATTTTCCCAGTCATGTCATGGATATATGATTCATAAAGGGGTGTGGTCAGGGGTTTGTAGAAAATACCGGGTACCAGGTAGTAAATCCTCCATACTGGGTTCAAACTTGGTATCCGGTACCCAGTCGAAAAATATGGGTACCCCAAAAATGGGTTTGTAAAAACATACATTTCTTTGCAGTAGACTAGAACAGGAATAAAGCTTGCAATCCCTTTATTTACGTCATATTTGCTGTTCTATTCACACCGGAATTATTATATTATATACAAACACACAAAGTACATTCAGGGGCGTAGCCAGCTTTCACTCAAAGGGGTGTGTGATCGTGGCATAAGCAACGACTAAAATTTGTTTTGAATTTACAAAAATGTATGTAACTATCCTTCAAAATTGAGCTAGAAGCTTCAATTAAAAATAATTTTAAGGCTCTTTTCTTCCTCTATCATCATGGTTATATTTTCATTGGTTATGGGGGAGGTGCGATCGCACCATTGCACCCCATCCTGGCTACACCTATGACATTGTAAGACGTAACAATTTACACTTCAGTGGATGTTTCGTCGAAAATTGGGTAACTTGAATTATGATTAATAATCAAAATCTTACCAGTTGCATCATCTAAATTAACATACGTCACCTCTCTGCTAAAGTAATGATAGCTATTTACAGATTTAAATCATAATCAAAACAATTCACGATACGTGTCGTACCAACATACGAACTATTGAAAATAAAGTAAGATTGATTTGTCATGTTTTTCAAATATTACTTGTTATATTCATGTCAAAAAATTATTTTTCGTTTTTGGGGTACCCGGTTTTTTCGACCGGGTACCAAGTTTGAACCCAGCATGGAGGATTTACTAACCGGTACCCGGTATTTTCTACAAACCCGTGTGGGCAGATGTATATACCTCTAAGAATGATCTAACGAGATACGGTATACCTCTTCAATTATGAAGTATATTATGGAGCCTTCATCATCTAAAGCACCACATTTATTTATTCTGGACTGAGTGGTGATCATAGGCCAAGGGAAAAGTAATAGTAAGCTGTAAATACACCTTACTATTACTTTTTCCTTGGCCTATGATGGTGATGTTGTAAATGGATACTACATTAAAAGCATGTCTATATTTAAAGCTAGCTGTTCATAGTGTTATTCAACACGCAAATTGACAAAGCCTACATCTATATCTGGGAAGGATTAATCAACAAGTTGTCAACATTTATATGAACATAAAGACTTTTAAATCTCCAATGATTTGAAAATCTGATTCAAATAGATTTATAAGCCATATATTTCAGAAACACCCAATCAATGTTTTTAAAAATTTGGATATCACGATAAAAAAAATTGAATATTTTTGAGTAAGTTTGTATGAAATATGGGATATTTTATAAAAAGTGTTCATATCAGACAGGTTGTTTTTTCAATTCTGAATGTTCACTGTTCGAATTAGGAGGTGTTCAGATTTTAAGGGAACCAAAGGGTGGAAAAATCTTGACAGAAAAAGTGTTCAAACTGGTAGGTGTTCCAATCAGCCAGGTGATTGGATATACACGTTATACTGCCTGTATATATAGCGATAATGTTAGACAGGCTGCCGTTGTGGGTTGGGCTATCTGATTAACAAAATGACTCCTGTCAGGCTTCTGATATATAAGCTCAACAACATCTCAGATTGATATATCACAATGATAGGCTACTTGTAGAGTTGGCATTCCTATGAATTTACATTTTCATCATAAGGTTTAAGGATGTCTCTATACTATTAATATCTTGCAACACAGAACAAGGTCAGAAAATTTGCTTGATAGATTGTTGAAATTGAATGTGTTCTGATGACGAGGTCTTTTATAATGGCTATACCATTTACTAGTTATTATCAGTCAGCTGATTTGTTTAAAAAAATTCAGACAATTTGGCTTCTAGGCATTTTAGGCATTTGAGAAAGTATGAAGTGCATATACTTTCCTTGCCTCTAATAAATCAGAATAGGATGGCCATGATTTACACAGGAGAAACAATTTATAGGTTGAAGTCATTCAAGTCAACCATCAACTGACTACAGGGTAGGCTTAAGTGGCAGAGTTCACTTACTGTTCCAACAAATGTTCTTGTAGTTTAGAAGTATATATGTATAGTTGCCTACAGGTGGTTTGTTTACATTGACATAGCAAGAAGGTTTAAAACATTCAAATAGCCCATAAGTAAACTAGCAATGATCTACTTGCAAACAATCTGATCAACATTTTTTCAAAGCAAACATTTGTTCTCTAATGGTTGGAAAAATATAGCCCTACACTACACAAGGCCTATCTTGAAGTAGCATTTGAAACTTGAAAGGAGATCTTGCTTCATTATATATTGATTCAGAAGCTGAAATCATTTGGTTTTAATTAATTGTTGGTAATTATAAATTTACATATAGTGAAATCTATAGTCTCTAATAGATTGGTGAAGAGATAATATCTCACAAATATTAGATAAAGAGATTCTGGTAAATCTTCTGATTCTGGTAAATCAGAATATGAAATCCAGGATGTTTATAAAAATGTCATTTAAAGACAAAATGATTGAAAATGAAGGTTTAAAAGAGGAGAAAATCATAATTTTTCCTGGTTGCAGACTATTTTGAATAGAGTCACCTCGGATTACTGGTAGACCCTCACAAAATATATATACCTAATAGATGATTTATCAAAACAGTTTCTAAGAATATATTTTGTATATCTTAGTTATGTTTTAGAACTTCTGTTTGTAAATGCTTCATTGAATAATGAAATTAAAACATATTGAATCAAGTCAATCATTTGAAAAAATGTATTTTCCAAATTTTTGATAAAGGCCTTTTATAATATTAATCATTTAACATTTAATAGTCTTGTTTCTATAAGGTCAATATCTAAGGTCTCTGGTTGATTACCGGCTGTCACCTTAGGGCAGATGATAATATATTGTCATATTGGAAGACAGGTAGTTATACAGAAAGTAATTACCACCTGTATTTGGTCTTTATGATAATTGTATTGTCCAGTGTTTATTACAGTATTAATTGCTATTAATAGGGTCAGTTTTCAATATTAATTGCAATAGATATCCAAATTTACCAGTATATGTGACTTAGATAGATATTAAATTTTTTGTACAAGTGATGCTTGCACTTTAACTATTCCAGTCTCTAGAGCATATTAGTGTTACATGATTTATTTGCACCCCCCACTTGAATTGAAACATTCCTTTGAAATAAGCAGAGGCTTCATGTACTTGACTAGTAGAGGCTTCTACCAGTTTAAAATTCACTTACTGTTTATCAAGATTATACTACCCCCACTACAGTATGGATAAAATCCCCAAGTCATGTACCGGTCAGTCTGAATGTTCATCATTTCAAACATTATTTCATAGATGCATATTTATTCATGACATCAACCATATTTCTATTCCTGTCTCATGATCCATTTTAATGTAGCAAATCCTGATCCTCTTACAGTAAGCCCCAGTGATTATTTGCCTTCAGTATTAAGGACAGGTTCATGTTTAACATTGGTGGACTACAAATTTGGAAAGTTTAAAGGCTCTTATGCAACGAACAGTAGCCTATTCTGTAAGCTCATGACTTAAAGCCACTGGTAATTGTTCAAAATTAGTGTGTCTAAAAGTGGACTCAGTTATATTCATATTTGAAAATTTTATTTTTAAAAGTCTCAATTTTACCATGTCATACCTTAATATTCTGAAAGTCTAACCATTCTGACTTTTTACCTTGATAACAGTTTGATTTCCAAGGTTGTTTGATAATAAAAGGAGAAAGGAGATATCTCCAAGTTTTAATCCAAATCGATATAGACATTTCTGCATCTCAAATCTTCAACTCCCACATTTAATCAGATATCTAGATTATCTGATTAAGATAATTAATTGTCTGTTATGAATTAGGATTATAAGATAACTTTGGCATTTTTAAGAGATTAAACCTTCCATAAGTTTACATATGTACTGTTTTTCAGTAACTTAAATTATGTGTTAAGAAAGTAAGGAATGGATTAAAAATTTTGTTTTGTTTTACAGGTTTTATATGTCACCTGTACCCCTACCACAGTCAGCAATACAACTGCCATATCTATATCCTGGGATGCGTCATCTTATAAATTAGACATTTACAACTACACAGTCAAATATGACTTGGTGGGAGCATCAACTTTAGACAATATAATCATAATTGAAACGGGAGATTTAAAAGATGAACAATTAATTGAGATTTCACCACTTTCACCAGGAGAGCTCTTCAAAATAGAAGTATATGCACAATATAAAAATGGCAGTAATGCTTTATTGTATACCTTGGAGAAAGCAACAAGTAAGTATAAATGAGCTGAATATTATATCTAGGATACTCTTAATTATGTCTGAAATGAAAAGTAATGGAAAATGATGGCGATAAGTTATACAAGAGTTCATAGTTTCCACTTAACAAATGCGTTGGTGGCAAAATAAGTGGGAGTTAAAATTGAAAACAGTGTTTTCATTGTTTCATTAGATTTTATCTAGTTTCAACATATCTTCATACCTCTATTTTGTAGGTAGTTGAAGCTGATAAATTCTTTGAGGGGAGTGAACATAACTCCCTCTGCTGCTGTATAAGATGTGCAAATCGACATGTATATTGCAAAATAATTAGGGAACCAACTTGTCCATAACTAAACATAGATTTATACTAATATGCTAACATACACAAAATTATTAAATATTTTTCTTTCAGATAACCTAAGATGTCCATCTTCATTCTTATTAGTCTAGATATCTTAATTTTGAATAAATACTTTTTTTAAATCTTCAATAATATTCCAGAGCCTGTTTCCCCATTACTAGTCACCTTGGTAACAGTCTCTACTGACAATGCTATGTTGTCATGGCAACCAGGAAACTCAAATACTACATTCAGAATTACAGTTCGAAATCAAGACAGAAATGTTATTGATTATCTGAATACAACATCAAGTTTTCTAGACCTGACCCAGTTGGTACCAGGGATGTCATATACTGTTGAGATTTCTTCTGAAAGTTATGGAGAAATTAGTGAAGTTGTAGCTATCTCTATGGCAACAAGTAGGTGCTTAATAGGTTGTTGTTCAATGTTGTGATGTCTGTATTTCCTGGCTAATTTTTCAGAATTTTTATTTACCTGTTATATGTAAAACCATATGCTAAGTGAAAAGATGAGAGTTAGTGATACATGAAGTTGTGAATTATTTTGAGTGCAACAAAGCACTGTCAGACTTTCCCCTTCTGATGATTTTGTTCATTGAGCAATTGATACATGGCCCCTCATATGACATATCCTGATATGTTACATTTGATTAACAAAGTAAATGATTACAAACACTTGTTTTTATAAACCTTTAATTAATTAGCTGAAAGGTTTAACTTAATAGACTCATGTAATGCAATGGTTTTCTATGGAGTAATCCAGCCCTGAGTATCTGTCTCAAAGTCACAGTGGAAAAATATTGTTAGGATGTGTTGTTGCACAGACATGAGTTGGAAAATGGAGGTCTAGTTGTACATGTACAGGTCTCTCAGTACGTTCAGAAATGTTGTTAAGGTTATCAAACCCATTAAGTGGTGGATATTGGCAAAAAATGACCCATACCTAATTAGACCATGTATAACCCTGGTGAGACTTTTGTGTGGAAACTCATCTGCCACTCATTTGTGAAATATATAAAGATAGTGAGACATGTCTACTTTGTCATAGGGCAGTGCAGACTCTGCAACACTTATTATTTCACTGCCAGGCAGTTGAGCATTTACGTCATCAATTAAACAACATTATTGAGAACAGTAACCTATATGGCACTGATTTAGAAAAGATAAGACTTATCCTGGACAGTAGTCAGTTTGGAGATAGGGACTGTCTATTAATATTGAGGACAATACATGCTATCTATGAAATGCACAGGGATGCATTAAAGCAATCATCGAACCCAAGGGCATATAAGTATATGTTCTGTACACCACCACCACCCTTTACTATCACTGTAAAATTGTAATATTGTTTTACTTAACTTAATATATACCAGTATATGTATTTGTATGATCAATTTATGGTCCAAATAAAGAAACATAAACATAAACAAAACTAAATGTCACCTGCATGAGATTCAGTAAAAAAGAACCTAGTGAGGTCATAAGAAAAAACTTTAACTTCATGAACTTTATCCGTAATCTGATCAGTTTTAGCACTAAACATGAGAATATTACTTCATGCTTCAGTTTCATTTTTAAAGAAGAGTCATGTGTAATTTTACATTTGGTTCACACTATATATATATATATATATATTATTTATTATATCATTGAAATGTTTCTCGCTTTCTCATTGGATAAGAACCGATCACATGATTAAAAATATTAGGGTGTATTTCATTGTTTCCTGCAGTCTCCAGCCGCAGCCTCGTTTTCAACTGTATATTCCACGATGTATATACCACGGTAGAAAGTCCCGGATGTTATGTTTTTGTTATGATTCACAACAATATTGTGGAAAATACCTGGATATGCACGGCAACAAAACTTCATTGCTATGACGTCACAGCTTATATTTGTAGTATGAGCATGGGTACTCATAGCAATTGTGCATCCGTTGCCATGTTCTTGATGTTTATAAACCAGTGACGTCACAAGTCATCTTTCACGTGTGACTTTTGAGGATGAAAGATGGTAATATCTTGCATCTAAGAGTGGCTGTAGTAAGAGTGGTTATTCTGATGAGCACAATATGTATTGTATCTATGTATTAAATGGTTAAAAGAAATACAATTAATTTATAGAAGATTCAAATGATTTAATAAATCAAATATTCCATTCTATTTTCGGTGAATACATGTTCATCTTTCCCTCAGGTGTATTTCCCTTGCCCTTCGGGCTGCGGGAAATATACTTAAGAAAAGATGAACATGTATTCACCCCAATAGAATGGAATATTTGGTATACATATATATTAAACGACAATGGATCACCCGTAGTTGATATATTTACACCCCACTGGTTTTGAATGTATATTTACATACTGTATTATAAGTAAAAATAAATCAATTATAAGTGCACTGTATCTGTATGCCAAATAATATGACCATCATCAATGTGAAAGTAATTCAGTTTTGTTATCTGTTCATTTTTTTGTTATTAGCCATCTGCACTGCCAATCTATTTCACATTTTCTTTAATTCAAATACAAGATGGTTTAGTGAAGGTCTGAAGGGGTAGCAGGTTATAAAACAAGAGTGTTTTTAAATCAGAAGTAATTTAGAATTTTAGAATCGGCCTAGTTATAATGAATTAGTGAAGTTAGGATTTATATGTATAAGGTTAGGCTAGCTAGAATTATTAATTCTTGACAAATTGGTTTTTCTAGAACCGCACCCTCCAGAGCATTTAATCATTGTCAGTTCTACATCAATGTAAATGTGGTTGCCATGGAAACAGGATGTTTCTACCAACATTGATGGATTCATAATATTATATTATGAAGCCAGGTATACTCATATAAAACACCTGTTAATAATTGCATAGCATTAGGCCAGTTCTCTGATGGAATTACATAGAGATGTGTCTAGAGCTGTGATTGCAGTTCTTAACACCTGGGATCTCATATCGTTACTCTGGTTACCATTAGCAACAATATAACAAGCAAATGTGTTTTCAATTTGGTTATTGGAGTAATAAGCAAGCATGTATTATATAGCAAGTTAGATGTATAGTAGTTTATGATTTGTCATAAATGATATAGACTTTGATGATATAGACAGATACGGACAGTTAAGGTTTTTTAAGATCTGGGGGGGTGTCATTTTACCAGATATTATATTATAGATTTTTCTCAGCAAAACCATGTTGCATATAACAAATGTAAACGGCTGTATTTTATTAGTCTCGTGAAGATGTGATGTGATGTCAGTGAGTCTTCAAACTGTATTTTGACAGTCTTCCTTCATAATTCATATCTGAACATCTCATGAAGCCCATAAAAACGCCTGTAGTCATGTAATTGTATCTTGATCATCTTCCTTTCTCATCACTTTTAATGGTTGTTGTATCCAAAGTATTACATAATCTGATTATAAAAACAGTATTTTATATCCTACATCAATTGTCAAATCTTATGCTTGTGCTCCGGTCTCAATTGTTGCATGCATGTATGTTATCTCCAAATTCAAAATTCTCCCTCTCCTATGCAACGTTACTGTAGACTAGTAGCTTTAAAGTATTGTTTCTCCATGTCTAAAGGTTCACGAAATGAAAAGTATTTACTTTATAATTGTCCTTATGCTTCGTTTTGGAAGTTTAAAATAATATGTCATTATTTTATTATTATAATATATATAATTATTTTTATTCATTTTATGTTATTTTTAAGAAGGATAGGATTACTCATATAAACACTTTGATACTCTATTGATTAATCAAAGTTCTTATTCTAATTTTAGAACCCTTGCCCCCAATTCAAGCACTTTTGACAGATGGCAGCACCTCATCAGTTCAGTTGTCATGGCAACAAATCCGGAGCAGCATCATTGACCATTTTATTGTTGAATACTTCATTGTTGACAGTAATAAGACACTGTCAGTTGATACAAGTGTCTCTAAAGCTGTTGTGAATGTGTCAAATGCAGTGTTGAATGTGTCTGCCAACACGGACACAATCAACTATAATTTGACTAATCTTAGACCAGGATTCTGTTACAGGATATGCATTTATGGAATTAGCAATGGGATGCAGAGTGATCCGGTGACGCTTGATTTTCTTCCATGTATGCAAATGTTTCATTATTTATCATAGATACTAGTATTCCGTAATTCCGCGGCGTGGACGGAATTTGACAAAACTTCAATTTTTTGCAGAATCCCTGATTTTCATGAAAATCCCGCGGAATTACCAGAATTTCCAGAAATTTCATATTTTACGATCTCCTACCTTTGCGGGGTATTTGAAGAGTGTTTATGTCCAACAATCAATCATTATTGAGTACAAGTACGATTTCACCGTGAAATTCAACATTCTATCACGTTTAAATTCGCTAAAGCGAGTTCGCTAATGACGCGCAGTTCTTACCTAGAAAGTAGCTGACTTCCGTTTCCGTTGCTACGTCAATTTTCATCGTTTTAAAAGATTGCAGAATTTGGACTTTTTTGAAAATTTGTGCAGAATTTCGATTTTCTCCTTGCAGAATTTGCTTTTTTTCTTGCAGAATTTTTTGCAGAATTTTGTTTATAGGTATTGTCATGTGGACTGTTGGAGATATAAAGTTTTGCAATGGAAATATTAATATTTAATAATGTTTATGTCTGATATACATTTTAATAAACTTCACTTCCCCTTTATATAATGTGCATTGAATTTGCAATAGATATGAAATTATTATACAGCAGAATTGCTATCCTCATATTCCATTCGCACTTACATATTATATTACCTTATTACCCTGGCATAAAATATGACTTAAAATGTCATCCTTAAATTCTTTTTAAACCACAAGCAAAATATATTTTAAAATTGTGACTTTTTATAAAGTTTTCCTCATTTTATATGTTTGCATCCATGCACTTCCAACTGTTTTGATAAGTCCTGAGTCTTGTCCAGTTCTGTGATTTGATGCGGGCTGCTATTTTGTTATGTCCGTTCCATCAATGGGTTTATACTCACATAATATAATATGTTACTTCTTTATTGGCCAGGATGAATACATTTGTATTTTCTACACCATTTGTTCAATCTTACATGTGCTAAAAAAATTATTCAAAATTGGCTGACTAGTATAGAAAGAATAGAGTAGACAGCATTTGGAAATAAATATTTACTGTACATGATATAAACTTGTATCTCCATTAGCTTATAGAACCTGTGTTTAAGAGAAAACTCTAACCTTGAACTGTAGAGAGGTCGACACAACTTAGTCATCTTTCAAATCGTTCCTAACCCTCTGAAAATATTGAAAAATCTTGAAAGTTCATGTGTTTACTTATTGCGTGCAATGAAACCTGTAAAGTGGAACACTGGCTCTAGAAGTATAACACCTCTGTCAATAGAATACTTAATAGAGTCCAAAGTACGACTGACTCAATGTTAAATGAACATCTATAAGTGGAACACCTCACAAGTGGAGCACTTTTAGAGTTCACTTAGACAGGTTTTACAGTAATTCGTTTAATTAGTTTTTAATTGTTTGTTCTTTATTTTTAGCACCTTTGCCACCAACTAACTTCACATTGCTCAACTTCACTTCAGCCAGCATCCTGTTGTCATGGCAACCAGGAAATGGAGGCAGAGTGGATTATTTTATCATCAACTACTCCCCAAGTGATATAATCAATTTTAACACTACTAACTTCACTAATACCCTCAATGTGACAGTGTCACCAAGGAGTCAGAATGTGTCATCAAGAGATACATTCAATCAGGAAGTGTCTAATTTGACACCTGGAGTAAATTATTCTGTGACACTATTCGCTGTCAGTTATGGTATCCATAGTAACCATGTGGAGATATTCGCAGTTACAAGTATGCATATTTCTCATATCAATTAAGTAATGCCGATATACATGTTGATGGCTTTGATTGTCCAACTTCAGAACTCATTTGTTGTATATTTTAATAATGTCAATTTCAAGAATGCTTTTATTGTTGTTTACAGCAATTATGTCCAGTGGTAAAAATAACAAAAATGATACCTTTCCTTCCAGTAGAATATGTTTTTTTGATTTTTATTTAACCTCTCCCTTCTTTTAACAGAAATCAGGCAAAAAATCCTGTTAGACTAATATTAAACAAATACTGGATGACCATGAGGTGGATATGCCAGAATACCTATCCGAGGAAAAAATACTAGGCGAGGCGAAGCCGAGCCTAGTATTTCTTTTCGAGGATAGGTATTCTGGCATATCCACCTCATGGTCATCCAGTATTTATTTTATTATGCACCTCCTTTTAGAAATACTTTATTTTAAAGAATGGGTCTACTAAAACAGAAGCCGAGCCTATACTCTAAAATCCGATGTTCGACAATCAAATATTCCATTTATTCTCTCATTTGGCCTTATTCTTAAGTATTCCCTCCATATCTAATAAGTTTAGCCGATCCCTTATCTAGCGCCGCCTACCTTTTGTCGGTTAATCACAGGGAATTGAATAGAAATCCCCTTCTCTCATATCACGCAAATCATTTCTCCCTCGCATTCGTCTCAAATTCAACATGGAAGAGATTCTAAGAAAATGACGTCATCGACAATTGGACTTGTTGAAATTATTTTTTTCGAGGATAGGTATTCTGGTATACGGGATGGTTGGAGATCTCGTTGCTTCAATACTGGATAGAACGAGATCTTGCTGCCACGTATGGCAATAGACCCTGCAGCTCTTAACCAATCAGATTTAAGTATTTTAATGAGGTGCATAATAATATGAAATACTAGTCGCAAATATAATCTACACGTATGATGAAATATGTGCTAATCTGTTTTTGCTTCAGAATGATCACACTTTTTGATTAGATATATATTTTATGTTGTTTGCTTATTTTCAAACAAACATTCATATAAGACTAAGATTGGAAATTCTGATGGCTTGAAGCTAGATTGAAAAGAATGTTGGGATGGGGATGGGGCATTATATATTGCTTTGATGCAGGTTTATATTAAACCATAATGCAGTATTTTCCCCTGGTCTTCATATTTCAAATGGCTGCAAAACGCTCATAATTCAGAAACAAATTTACGTCAAAACAAGCCTATTTTCATGTTTTCTCATTGCAAGTAGGTGCAAATAGATTCTACATTGGTGCAAGCCTGTTTTTAAAAAAATTCAAATAGGCGCAGCATCCATTTTCTATGAAGTTGGGGAGATACTGTGTAATGATATTGTGTATATGTGTACTAATACGTATACTTAATTGTTGTCTTTCTCATCTCTTCCAGTACCATTACCAGTGATATCTGTCACTTTGGTTTCTATAACAACAAATACAGCAGTGTTGTCTTGGCAACCAAATCCACTTAGTAACAACATTGAGTTTGAAATCAATGTCAGTGAATATTTCAATGAATTCAACACATCTGTATGGATTAGTGATATGACATCATCGAACAATTACACAGCCGAGGGCTTAAACCCTGGTCACACTTATACTGCACAAGTGAGAACATTTTCTCATGACGTGTTCAGTGACCCAAGTCTCAAATCATTAACAACTGGTAATTTTTATTGTCTTGGGAATCGGAATGGTTGTTGTTATGGTTACATAGTAGGGGACTAGATGAACATTTTGATATTGTCCAAAAATGTAATTACATTTCATATTTTCCTCCCTGTCCTCTAAAGATAGACACAATGATTATTTTTTCAAAAAATGTCATTTTTTGTTAATCATTTTATGTTGACAAAATTCCTCTCCAAAGGTAATCAATTACATTTTTGGGCATATATCACTTGCTCTTTTTTTACCTTGTCCCTAAATAATTTGGATTTCGCATGTTGCCCTGCATTTTCTAACGTCACAGGTAAACAGGTTCAAATATTGGCCACTCTGACAATTTTTGGTTTATATTGCACTAGTCTTATGGAATGGGTTTTGCATTAAACTCAAGAGAAATCTTTTTGTTACTAATTTATTGTTGATAGCTATTTTAAATTTATAGTTTTTAAATCAACAGATTATTTTGTGTCGGGCATCTCTTATTATATTTTTGGAGGGTCCCAAACAAAAACAACTCCAAATTATAGCATGCAAGATTTTATCTTGAATGTGGTATTTGTATTTTAAAGATGTTGTGTTCTGTTTTTTGGAAATGGTTATCACATTTGGGATTGTTTTTTTATATGTTATGGTTTGATACCCCTGCACTTTCCTTGCATATTACCCTGATCTATGTGTGTCTTTTATTTTAGTTACTTGTTCATACCCTGCATTTTTATAAATGTTTTCAGCTATTGCATAGTCCTAAATGGCCCACCTCATTAATAATCTTGTATGCAAATCACCTTATGCTTTTGGCCTATAAGAGAGAGATTAAAGACCCTGTGATACCCAACTGTGTGCTCAATGTTTGTAATATCAAATTCCTGTATCATCAAATCGGGGCTTAGCACACAGTATGATAGAATAGTAAAGGGCTGTTGTCTCTTGAAAAGTTCCTGCATTTTTGCATGTTTTGTCTGTTACCATATATGGTATATGCACAATTAAAATATTTGATGCATGGCGATGTGCACTTATTTGCATATTAGAACCATGCATTATTATGCATCTTGTATGAATTTTATATTAAATGAATTGTTGTCTCAGTAGAGAATCATGGAGAATTAGTAACATATATATATATATTTGACAATTGTCTCATGAAGGAGAAGCTGTCAATGACTTGAGTTGAGATATTTGAGTTAATGTTGCAGGAAAGTTAACTTTCAAATATGAATATTGAGATCATTCAGATTCAAATGTCATAATTATTTCACCTATCTAATGAATAATTAGCAGCTAAATATTATCATACCAGAACAGCTTGTATTTCATTCACACTTAAATGTGTTACTGTTATCAATTTAATTAAAATCATGTCTAATCCTATCCTGTCCCTGTATATGTAAATCAGTCATATTATGTTTCATGTTTGGCCTGATCTTAATTGAAGATTTAAATGTAATCGTATCCCAAATAACTTTATACTTGAGCATTGTCCTTCATATGATTTATATACTTTTTGTTTCAGTACCCCTACCAGCTGCTAGCTTTACCATACATAATGTGACAACAACCACAATCCAGTTCTATACCAATATAGATGCCAGCAGCAAACAGGACTACTGGGACATCTTATATAAAGACTTAAGTGGGGGAACCAATACTGAGAAGAGTTTAAACTCCACTGGGCCACTCCATACCCTGCCTGGTCTCCTGCCTGGGCATTGGTATAGGATCACTGCTGCAGCAGTCTCAAATGGAATCAGAAGTACTGACAATACTGTCGAGCAAAATACAGGTACTGAGCACATGTTTTACCAAAAGGGCTCACAAAGATTTCTAGTTCATGTACTTTATATCTTCAAAGTATTATATATTTTGTCCATGAATATTGACATTTGTGATTTTAAGTTAGCACTGTGGATGACCTACCACAGAGTTAACCATGTTTATGTAGAGAAGTACTCTTTAAATTGCTATAATTTTATCATTGTGACATGTATTCTACACCTTGGCATTTATGAGTATTAAGTATAAAACATAAAGCAGGCATAGTGATCCCAATTAAATTTGAATTCAATAAAACAATATTTTTGAGGAAATCTTAAAGCAGTATTGCAAGTGATTTGCCAATGATAGAACATTTTGACAGTCCATTTTGCCTGAACAAAAATTTTCAATGTAAATTAGTTTTAAATTAATTCTATCTTCTTTGCAGTGCCCCTATCCCCTGTACTTGTGGCAGTATCTGCAGTGAATACAACATTCGTATCTCTACAATGGGAACCAGGAACAGATAGTTTGCAGGTATATAGACTTTACTTGATACATACACATAAACCCTCCCAATCTAAAATTCTGATTGGGTACTTAACCCTTACAAATATGTGCATCATATATGTTGAAATGAACTGTTACAAAAAGTAGAATGAGTCTGTAGTGTAGGTGAACCAGAAGTCCATACTAGCGAGTCAAAAGTATCAAGTTTTCATTGTTGTTTAGTGTTTACCGTTAAAAGATATGCATATTAGATTTTATATTTGCGATATACAGTAACTTTAAATGAAGAAGTATGCACATTATGAATTCTAAATATATTCTGGTGTATAATATTTTACCAAAATATTGAAATAAAACTATTTTTTTTAAAAACAAAAATAAAAGACATTGTGTTTTATTTCAGGATACTTATGAAGTGACATATGAGGGAGTCACTACCTGTTCAGGTCCAAGCACAACATGTCTCATAGACACCAGTTCATCTGCTGTATTCCCTCCAGGATATCTATTTACATTCAATGTATATAGTATAAAGGATGCTCAACGAAGTAGTCCCCTACAAGTACAACATAGTACTAGTAAGTATATAAAAATAACAACATTTATTCACAGTTACAACATGATTAATACAATAACAAGACATATAGTACATCATCAGGGATTTCATTAGAATTTTAGAATTTGTCATGAAATGTCGAATAAATGTAGATTCCTGTCTTTCCTTGTTGAGTGAAATATGTGTACTGTCCCCATTTACCACACATCCTAACTACATGTGTATCCCTCTCTGTTATACTAACCATATCTTTCATTTCAGAACCTATTCCACCTAGTAATATCACCATAGTAACCAACTCAAAAACATCATTAACTGTCTCCTGGGATGAGCCTCAGGCAGAATTCCAGACCTATACTATCTCAGTGTCTCCATCTGTTACTATAACAACTGCATCTGTTGCTAAGGGCAGCACAAGGGAGACGGTACTAAGTGATTTAGTTGCTGGGCAACATTACTTAGTGTCCATAGTAACTGTTAGTGGGAGTGAGGAGAGTGCCGCATACTCTAGATCCTATACAACAGGTCTGCTAATCTGTCTGTTGATTAAAATTAACATTGATCAATACATGTTGTTTATAACTTCCCTGGTCAAACCAATTTTCTGGCTATTTATGTGTATTTGTATCAACCACTCGTTTAAATTATAGAGCTTGGGAAAACTTCTTGTCTCCTTGGTCTATTTACCTGTTATATTCAAGCAATAAACATATTTGTTCTGAACTGTTAAGAAAGACAATTTAAGTCAAAGAAGAAATATACAAACTAGTTTAAATAAAGAAAACACCTGTTCATTTTTTTGTGTTGATTTCAGAGCCACCTGCAGCCAAGAATCTCAAATCTGTCAGTTCAAAGGAGAGAGCCCTTGATTTACAATGGGAAGCCCCCACTGAAGCAGATGGAAATTTTGACAGATTCAAAGTCAACTTAATGCCAGCTGATGGAGCAACCTATCCTATGTAAGGCTTACTTTGTGATTTTACGAAATTCATGGACTGATGTATTATTTAAATATTATACCTGTCATTCTTTTCTTATAAATGTTTAAATATAGTCAATATTGATAATTTAAAAATGTACTGCTCATTTCCAGTAAGCTGCCATCTTTTAAGATTTTACTCAGGAAGTGATGTCATCGACTCTCAACTTCCATGACCTTGCATATAACAGTATAGGGAAGTAGCACAAAAGTGGTTCTTACTTTATGTGCAAAAATATTTTCAGAGTTTGTCAGCTTAGAATAATAGAAGAGACTTATAGAAGGATTAAATCATAGACAAAATTGAAAAAGAATGCACAGCTGGTTTTTGTAATTCTTAATAGCTCCTTATAATGTTATATGTAAAGTTGAGAGTCGATGACATCACTTCCTGAGTGAAATACTAAAAGATGGCAGCCTACTGGAATTCAGCACTACATCTTCAAGTGATCAATATTGACTATATTAAAACGTTTTCCCTGTTTTGCTAAATATGGAAAGTATATATATGGGTTATAGCTACCATATTAGGAGAAAATTGGTCTGGCCAGGAATGTTCCTTTAAGCTGACAAAATATAACAAATGTTCAAAGTACGATTTCAGATTCTTTATATTGAATGTTTGCATTCATTTCAGCCACCAAAAAGAGGTGACATACAGAGTGATCAAATTGTTTGAATGAGATTATTTTGTCACTGAAAAAAAAATGTGACACATTGTTACAGTCCTCATGGTTTTGGCATGCATGTCTGTAACAATGGTTGTTACACTTTATGATTGTTGTGTTCTAGATATGTGAATAGTTCCATGCCTAATATCACATTAGAGGATCTCATTCCTGGGAAGCTATATACAGTGAGTGTATTGACCATCAGTGGGGAGGTAGAAAGTCAGCCACTATCCCAACAGTTCAGAACAGGTAAGATAAAGTACTATGTCTTAATGCATTCACAATCTCTCAACCTCTTGTATTCTTTATTCATTCCCTTCTAGTAGGCAATCAGTGAATTCTCAGCAAGGTAGAGCTGGTCACTGTATCAGAATGAGTTTCCATGGATATATGTTTATTTATCTGATGGATAAATAGCTTGGTAGTCTAGTGTAGTTGATGTTTTGATTTGCAGTGCCTTTACCTGTGCGTTCCGACAGTATTTTCCGACAGAATTATACAACAGAATCAGTTACTTTCACATGGACTGGCAATCCCAGCTCAGATCCAAATTCAGCCGTCCATGATGATATTTATGCTGCAACACTACTGACATCTGGTGGTGAAATTCAGGCCCAGAAAAATATTTCTGGTGATCGAATTGTGACTTTTGATGGGCTTAGTGCTGCAAGCCAATACACATTCCAAATATCTGTATACAGTGGAGAGTTGGAGAGCTCCATACAAAATCGTACAGCCCTGACTGGTAAGTTGGTGTTTTTTATTAACTTATCAACAAATTCAGATCCCCTTGTTTCTAATATTCCCTGTTTTCATGCGCTCAAGTTTAGTCACATTAGCAAGATACTGGCATATTTGTGTCTGGAATGGAATAGACATACATTACTTTCGTAAATATAATACTGGAGTAACACATTGTACACAGCCTTATATTCATTTTACAGGTATCACATGTATACTGTATATAAGTGGTATTTAATCCGAGTGGTTTATTTTCCGAATGGTCAAATTTCATTATTTTCCTAATTTTGATTTTCCTAATGACAAGAAACCTCCCATTGGATAACATTATAAAGACAATATTTCCGACATTTAATTTTCCGAACCTGAAAAAATTAGGAAATAGGCAAATTAAATGATTAGACAAAATTACCACTTATACAATATAATGCTGCAAAGTCTATGTTTTATAGAATTTAAGAATTTTGAGTTAACTCTACTTCAAAACTTATAGTGAACTTTTCATCATTTTTAGTATGTTTTATTTGGTCTGCAATTAATAAACATTTTAGAACTGCAAACTTATTTACTTATTCATTTTTTTTATTATTTTCAGCACCTAACCCTCCAAGAAACTTCAAGATTGATAGCGTAACTTCAACAACCATATCTGTCTCATGGGATGCTCCCATAAGTGGGGACTTTACTTATTACCATATATGGTTATTCTATGCTGGGACTCCCTCAATCGTTCAAAACGAGAATACAACTTTACAAACATTACAGTTTAAGAATCTCACCCCAGGAAATCGCTATGGAATAACAATGAATACTTATCTTCAAAGAGATCAATATTTATTTACTGGCAGTGAATTCCTTACACTGACAAATATAACAACAAGTAAGTTGACAATACAAGTATGATTGAGATTGTATCATGTCAAAACTTCAAATCTACAGATTGAAATGTCATCGCAGGCCAGTTGTTATAATGTTATTTGCTATTCACACAATGTCATGATGAGACTTAAGAGCTGGTCTGTGGTAAAATTAGTTGTCTAGCAGTGCTTCGATGCTGCATCCTTGTAGCATTCATAAAACTAGGGGTAGTCATGACAATACATTGGGCTTTTATTGATTTTTATCGTTTGCATTGGTTTATTCCAGTGTTTCTCGTCAAGTTTTTCAATTTGAAGCTGACAGATCCACAAGACACACCCAAAACCCAATCCCCAAATTAAAGCAAACCTCAACAGGAACATGACACTAAAATGTTTTTAATCATCTCTAAAACACATTTTCATTATTTCAGTACCCCTCCCCATTAATGACCTTCGAGAGGACCCTGGTAAGACCAGTACAACCAGCCTAGGGGTGACCTGGAAACCCCCACATAACATCTACTACTCTGCGTTCAAGTTACAATTACTCCATGGGTTGACAGAGATTGCCACAGCTATTACTGATGACCTCACGTTGATGCACCAATTTACAGATTTAGTGCCTGGCCGCACGTACACTGTTAATGTACTTGTCTTGAGATATGATGCTGAGAGCTCAATCATTTCTGGATCGTTTACGACAAGTAAGAAATACCAAACTTTAAATGCTTATTTGGACAGAATCATTTCCAATATTGTATTAAAGTAAATTTGTTGATCTGAATTTGAATTGAATTGAATCTTTATTGCATTAAATAAAAAAAATGTTAATATATTATTCTTTGAATAATTATTATATACTTGCAGTTGTTTGCATGTAAAAATTTCATCATAACATTTCATCATAAAATAGTATAAAATTGTACCCTCATTTGACCATTTGTGTGTGCTTCAGTTCATTTGTTATTTTCACAGTATTGCATGTACTTGAGTGATTGTGGCTTGTATCATGTGAACATTAGTGTTTCTGTGTTTCTAATACTTTAATATTAAAACTTGGTAATGTTGTTGTGTAGGATCATTTTTCTTAATAGACTACCTTTGTATTGATATATTCAGAAGTATAGACACATTACTAATAGTAGTTGTGAACTTATCATCAATTCCTGATATTCAATCGTTGTAACCATGGTAATCGTGACATCATAGCAAGGGAGGAACCAATAGGATTTCTGAACCTGACAAAAGTCATTTGTCCTCTTACTACAATAATTGATAGCAAAGAAATCATTTTACATGGAGAAACATAACTTTTATGTGCTATTTTACGATATATACCCTTAATGATTGAAGCCCAATATCTCATTTCCATTTAACCCCCCCCCCCCATCCCCCTCTTATTTAGGTGTCCATGATATGAATGATGATGTCATCAAATTCAGTTCATCAGATATATAAAGGTGCAATAAATGTTATATTATTCAAACAAAGGTAGTCTAATATGCACAGGCCATTACATCTTGGAGGGTGTAACCTTTTCAAAAAAATACCTGGTTATGAAAGTCAAAAAAAAAAAATTGGATAGTCTGAGAGAAAATATTCTGAAGAATAATCAGATGGTCGTTTTTGCCTACTGAATAAGTGTTCAGTAACAAAAAAATACTTTGGTCTAATTAACAAAACATTGTATTCAAGGATGGTGGGTGAAAGGTTAAAGTTGACCTAAGATGTAATGGTCGAACAAATTTATTTTATGACCATGCTAGTCCTGCAGAGTTGATATTGTCCTGCACTTGTGATCTTCTTCTTTAGTTCCTATACCACCTGGCGAATTACTTGTCAATCACGTCAGCCAATCAGAAGCCAGACTGGGCTGGGTCATCCCTACGAGTGATTACGAAAGTTATAAGTTAACTGTGAGAAAATTGCCTGACTCGACACTTGAGCAAATTATTAGCATCCCAGACAAAGCAACTCAGTTATATACAGTGAAGAGACTCCTAACAGGAACTCAATATGAGATAGAACTGAAAACAGTCAGCAAGGATAAGAGCAGTGAATCAGTCATGGCAGTTATTGAAACATGTAGGGTTTATTATAGGCAGTTTGCATTTACATTATATATTGTCTAAAGCTGAGCACCAAAATAAAAATAATAATGTGTTAAGGAGAAAAACAATACCATGATAGTATAGAGGACCCATGTAGTTTTTGTTTCTTTACTTTGATTGATCTATAGCAAAACATGCTTGAGTCTTCAAAATTGTTATCATCAGAAGATATATCCCCTGTAGATACATGTATAGAGGATATCCTATGATTTATGAGTGATATGATTTTTATCCACGGATGGATATGATATCTGCACGAGCGAGCGTAGCGAGAGAGTGCAGATATCAATAACCATGAGTGGATTAAAATCATATCACGAGTAAATCATAGGATGTTCTTTTTATTCCATAGTTAAAGTCATCATCAGAATTGTCGGAAATTAACTCATTTAATTCAAATTTTCCAAACGATCCGGCGATGTTGACACTTAGCCTCGTTTTGAGTCAGAAGTAGCAAAAATCCATAAACCATCGCATACGACGTCGTATGTCATGGCTAAAAAACCGTATGCTATGGTTAAGTGAAAATTTGTCAAAAATATCATATTTTACCACTGATTACAAAAATACCGTTTTTATTTTCACATGTTATCCTATGAATATCATGCTAACTAAAACTATGGAATAAATACATGTATTCAATGCAATGTATTGAAGATGCACATTAGTATTTTGGTACCTGCTTAATTTGCACATTAAATGAATGGCTGTACATTAGTAATTGATGTTATACATTATGATATTGTCTAACTATATACATGATTTCACTAGGATTGCCTGCATGTATTTCTTTAGATTCAATAGTTCTGTATGTTGTGCATACGAAAGATACAAGTAAATATGAAAGATACAAGTAAATATATAAACATCTCATATTTATTTCCTCCCACACTTTCTAGTACCTCCCACTGTGACGGCTCTGCAGATTCTTAATGTGACGGAGACAACAATAGAAGTTCGTTGGATTGCCCCTGAAGGTGGTGACATCACGAAATATAAGTTGGAAATAGACCACTTGGGACAGGATAAAAAAGAAAGCTTTGAATTTGAAAAGTATGAATTTAAACTAATAGAAGAAGCAAAATTGATTAACTTATTTATGATGTGGATATTGATCATTTTAGTATAAAGAATATTGAACATACATGTTGTAGCTTTTTAGAGCTGAACAATAGTTTCTATACTCTGTGCAATAATCTACTATAATTTTTTGTGGATTTTGTTCGGCAGTTGGTGTTTGACACTTGGCGGCTGTAACAAATCGCAGGTGTTGAAATTTTGCATTTTAATGCCTTTTATTATCCATGTTTCATTACAGAGATGCTGAGCTTCAGTATACATTTACTGGTCTGTTGCCAGGGCGTAGTTATAATATTACCATAGAAACCCTTAGTAGCAACCAGACAAGTGCACCTAACAATGATGTCCTCACAACAAGTAAGTTCATCAAATTCAAAGAAATATTTTTTAATTCAGTTTAAATTCGTAAATGATTCTGATTTTTGGATTCAATTTTGAATTATATAAATCTGAAGTTGGCTTAAAAATCTGAAATCTTCTCTTTCAGAACCTCTCCCCATCTATAACCTGCAGACAAATGCGTATAATACATCAGCTATCCAACTATCTTGGGATGTCAATGCCTCCAGTGTCCAGGATATATTCAGGGTAGGTGCTTGTATATTTTTGGATGTACAACATATGGGTTTTATTCAACAATTGAGCGTGTCTGTGTGACTTTATCTATCCAATCTTCACTGATATTTTTGTGCCTTTACATTACCATGAGTTCTATCAATTCCTCCTGGGGAAATATTTGGAAATCGTTGTTTACCTTCTGCCATTTTGTTATTATGAAACATATAAAATTAAAATTACAATGGATGAAATGCCAGCCAGGGAATAGGCTTTAATGATTACACTGATTGAACTCACTTTTGGCTATTGCTTCTTATTTCCAATGATATAAACCAAACAGATAGTTAGGTAGATGACAGTGAATAATGAATATGATGCTAAATATTTATTTTATGAGGTTCCATACTTATACCATTGGTCCATTTTTGACCCACTTAAGGTAACAGATGAGTTTTATACAATTTATTTTTGTGTTGATTCATATTAGAACACTCTATATTAAAGCTGTCATTGAACTAAAATGTTGAAAGTTTTTTTCTTCTTGAAATAATAGATTATCTTCTTAAACATTTCGTAAAGTACGTTTTAATGGCATGTGCTATGTGAAATTCTCACGGTTGATGATCTGTGAAAGTTGGTAATTGTTTAGTTAATTGTCTTAACATATAATTATAATTATTTTCAATTAATTTTTAAGTAAAACAATGATCATTATACAACACATGTTTTCATTTAATGTTCGGAATTAAATGATTTCCAGTTAGGTGGCAAACTATAATCCATTTTGGGGTGAGAGAATAAACCAGAAAAAGAAAAAAGAAAAAACAGAACTAAAATATATTTTAACCTTCAGGATTTCTTCAGATATTCAATGTAAACAAAGTCAGATTTGATGATTTTATGCTAAAATTGCTTTTCCAAAGTAAAGGCCTTTGCTTAAACTATTTATCAGAAGGAATCAACTAAATATGGAAGTGCAATTATAAAGAGGAAACCACATATAAAAAGGGATTAAACTATAAAGAGTTTGGACTTATGCATTAACTGTAATATTTCTTCTTTAGATCCTCTATAATGAGGAAAGTGAGAATATAACAACAGACATGGTATCAGTGGAGTGGACACCTGGCCAGTATTCCTACCAGGCAGCACTCACCAATCTCCTTGCAGGACAGAGGTATCATATCCTGGTGAAAGCAAGCAGTCAGGATGTACTCAGTAGTCCAATCTGGGCCTACCAGAATGTGGGTGAGTGAATTTCATTTTTCATTGAGTATTTTTTTCTTATGGGTCTTCCAGAATGTGAAAATGAGTAATTTGTCTTTATCTTGTAGATGAGTGATTTTTATGTTTTTGAGTAGTCATGTCTGGTTCTACCAGAGTATTGGTGAGTTTATTGCGTACATCTTTGAGTACTCCAGTCTGGGCCTACCAATTCCCTTTGGAATGGCTCGTCTGGGCTTACTAGCTAGAATGTTTGTGAGAGGTTCAATAGGGTTTACATAGTCTTGAGTCTGGATCTCATTTCCAAGTAGTGTGATTAAGGTAAGCAGCATAAAAATATTTGTATACTGCTTTACTTTAACCCTTCATACAATGCATTAGCAATGGGGAAGAAAATGAACAAATAAATAAAAAACCTTAACCTAGTAATACTAAAGGAAAGCAAAAAATAGATAATCATGGAAATGAATATGAGATGTAGTTCAAATTCTGGATGTATTGTTTCGAATCTTGAAAAAAATTTGAAAATTGAAAAAAATTCATAAATTGAATGTTCATAGATGGATGCAGGCCAATATCACTAAAGTGTATTCATTAAAACTTCACAAATGATGAAATACTCTGAAAGTAGCAAATCACAAAATAGATGGCGTAAAATGCATCCCATTTATCATATTAATTTATTGTCCCTATAATTGTTTTATACCATGTAATTGTATCACCACACCTTCAACAGGTGTTAAGGTGATTAAAGACATATATCTGCTCCTAGTTGTTCATCACACATGTCTCCCGGAGATGTCGTCTGCAACATAAAGTGCATTATGGGAAAATTGAAAAATGACATTGAAAAATTAAGTGATTGATAGCTAAGTGACAGACTGATTGAAAAGCTGAAAAATATTGAATAATGATAAGATAATACAAAATGTTTGTGTCCTATCATAATACAAATGAAGAATAATTGATGGATTTGATAAAGTGAACAGCTGATTATCACATACTGGATATGAGTTCACTGTTTGTACCATGACTACCATGTAAAATATTCATGAAGAAGACCATGCTTTATTATGCAACTAATGAATTCTGTGACTTTCAAAACCACACAAAGCACAGGAAATACATAAATGACATTTGAAACGAAAAGGTTAGAGTGGTACCTGTTTCGCTATTAGGAAATGATAATTCCATTGACTACATTCAATCCTGGAGTGGTATATATTAACATTGGTACCTAAATCAAAACTCATATCATTCAATAGATGAGATCAGGAAGATATACACAAAATTTCAGCTGAATTGAAGAATGTAAAGAAAGTTAGAGCCTTGTGCATTACTTCTGGGACTAAACCCTCTTAGGAATCATTTGTAAGGAAGACCAGAACATTTGGAGTATGTGCAAAAAAACTGAAAAAGTGACAAAAATGTATACTTAAATGTGTGTTCAATAGTCCATCTTTTGAGTATAATATACAGCTCGCTTCCCAAGAATCTCAAGTTCAATACAAAATATACTCAATACACTGTAATAGTATGGGAGCAAAGGTCATTCCGTGTCCTTTTTAGAGGCGAGCTAAGCGACATATATTTTCATGAACTATACTTGATACTTACCAAGAAAAATGATGTTGGCAATTCTGAATCCGCGACGGCGTTGCTATGGTAACCAAGTAAATATGCCACGCCCACTTTTAGGGTCTCTTTTCAGTGTATGGTCCCTATCTCTGTCATTATTGCTCAGATGTAGATGAAATTCACACCAAATGAAAGGTAATGGATAATGCAATCAGGAAATATTAAGTTGGCATTTCTGAATCCGATATTGCGTTGCTATGGTAACAAAGTAAATATGCCACGCCCACTTTTCGGAGCTACTTTCAGTGTTTGGCCCCTAACTTTGTCATTATTGCACAGATTTAGATGAAATTTGCACCAAATTAAAGGTAATAGATAGGGCAATCAAACAATGTTTAAAACATGCAAAGATGGTGATTTGCATTTTAACTATGACGTCATAACTGTTTGTTCTTGGATATTTTATTTTAATCATAATGTATAAATCTGGGAAATCATTGTCTTTAAAATGGTCAGTATAATGCTTTTAACTAGTTTAGTTTATTTCTTTCATTTGAGATTATTAGTTTAATTCATTTATACATGTATGATCATAAAAATTGAATAAATATAATGAAAGTGTCCAATTCACACTGTTGCTTTGGTGACAGCATGTAACAAAACTATCTGCTATAAACAAGAATTCTTTAGGAAATGTTACATTTTGACCAGTTGAGTGACATGTATTCTTTTTAAAATTTGGTGACAGAAAATAATCTAACAACCATAATTATTAAATTTGGATTGTGTTATATTATGATGTCATAATGGCAATTTTGAATCAGGGGCGCAGCCAGCTTTCAGTCAGAAGGGGGCCTGCGATCGTGGCGGAGGCAACCCAAAAGTATTTATAAGATAGGTTTTGAATATTACAAAAATTGATGCAACTTCCTTCAAAATTTAGCAAAAGGCTTCAAATTAAAAGTCTTCTTTTATCCAATGGTTCTATCTTTATTGGTTATTAGGGGGTGGGTGAACCCAGCGCACCCCCATCCCCCTAAGCACTACCTCTGTTAATCCAATATGATGTTGCTATGGTAACCATTAGGTGAATATGCTAGGTGAATCAGACAATACATGAATAATGTAGATTGGCTGACTGACATACTAAGTACCTGTTATGGTATCATAGCTGCTTTTTGTGATTATTTTCTTGAAATAAGGTAAAATTGCTCAAAATGGTTCCAAATTGGAACCTTGTCCTTTGACTTTCACCATAAAATGAGGCCAAAGCTGAAAACTATAATTGATTCCATTTCTTTACAAGTACGAGGGGCGTTTGAAAAGTTCGTTTCTTTTTGCTCTAATTTTTTTATGAAACTTTCAGCATATGTGCCATATACATATATCTTGAGTTTACATCAATATTGATACAATTCCTCATAAGGAAGTGAACTTTTGGTTGCCGTGGCAACAGCGAGACTTGGTTCCGTGGAGCACCTTACAAATTCAATGAATGAAACAATGCATTCAATGAAAAAAACTTAATACGTTTTTTTGAAAATAACAGTTATTTGTTTAAAATGTGTTGCCATAGCAAAAAGTTAGTGGTATAATAGTGTTCTACAGGTGAATGGACTCACTGTGCTGTCAGTGTGATGTCATAATCCTCCGTCAAAACAGTCTCACTCTATTCACTAAAATTTGGTGGAGCAGGTGTTTCCAAACAGTGGAGCGAAATGGTGAATGAACTTATCAAAGAGCAGATACCTTGCATTAAAATCTGTGTAAAACAAGGAAAAGACTGTAAGAACGTGAACAGCAACATATGAAGACACCTGTTGTTCCTTTCCCATGATAAGAAGCTGGTTCAACAAGTTCAAGAAAGGCATCTCAACCAGCGAGGATGGGCCAAGAAGCAGGTGAAAAAGGACAGCGATATTAAAATAAAATATTGACTTAGTGAAGACAATAATTGAACAGGAAAATGCCTATATGGATTGGATACGGAGGTTTCGAAAGTGCATTCTATTGGGGGAGAATACTTCGAAGGAGATATAGAGCCCTGGCTTAGGCAAACTGGCTTAATGTTGTGGCAATGATAAGATAGGTCCATGGACTGCACATTATGGTTGGATACATTGATTGTGACGTAAAAGTATCCACATTCAAACTGCTCCGCGGTATCGAAACAAGTATATTTCAAACGGATGTAAAACTGTGGCTATAATATGTTGCACTCTATAATTTTCACAGCTTAATAATAAATATTCAAACTACACATCCTAGAAGTTTTGTCTTGTTCTGAACATTCCTCGTATTTTTAGAGCAAAAAGAAAGGAACTTTTCAAATGCCCCTCGTATGAAGTATGGAAGCCCTTGATTTCAGATATGCTTTTGGTTTTGAAATCCGACATCCGACCATTCGGTTCAAAATTGATACAGTTGTGTCTACATGACCTAAAAAGATGAAATAGGCTAAAGTATTGACCAATACCATGAAATGATATTATTTTTATTATGTAAATTGACATTGAACATATTTTTCGGATTTCAAAACCATTAGCAGCTATTAATGCGACAATGGGTATGCCAGTCAGTCAATCGACATAATCCATGCATTGTCTGAATCTTTAGCTTCAATTTGGTGAATATTTCTCAAGCTGTAATCATGACAAAGATAGAAGCAAAACTTTGGAAAAGCCCCGAACAGTTGGAATGGCATATTCACCTAGTTACCATAGGAACATCATATTGGATTAACATATAGGCATTGCCAGGGGTGCGATGCGCCCCCATAAACAAAAAAATAGAATCATTAAATAGAAGAAGAGCTTTAAAATCATTTTGACTTGAAGCTTCTAGCTCAATTTTGAAGGGAGTTGCATCAATTTTTGTAAAATTCAAAACAAATCTTAAAAACATTTTTGCGTTGCTTGTGCTACGATCGCAACCGCCCCCCCCTCTCCTGACTGAACGCTGGCTGCACCCCTGATTAATAATTGCCATTATGGCATCATAATATAACATAATTTAAATCAAATAGTTTTCTATAGTTATAAGATTATTTTCTGTCATCATATTTTAAAAAGAATACATGTGTCAGTCAACTAGTCAAAATGTAAAATTTCCTAAAGAATTCTTTTTACATCAGATAGTTTTGCTATGTGCTGTAACCATAGCAACAGCATAAACTGGAGATTACATATTTAGATTTATTCAGTTTTTATGACCATACAAGTTTGAATGAAATACAATTATAAACTCAACTAAAAGAAATAAACTAATTAACTAGTTAAAAGCATTACTGACTATTTTAAAGACAATAATTTCACAGATTAATATATCAAAATTAAGATAAAATATGCAAGAACAAACAGTTATGACGTTATAATCAATTTGCAAATCATCCTATTTGCATAGTTTACTGACTGTATGATTGCTCTATCTATTACCTTTAATTTAGT